ACAGTACGCTCCTAGCAGAAATGTGGGGAGGGGGAGGCGGGGGGGGGGGGGGGGTTGGGGGGGGGGGTCCAACGGTAATGAGTATTGGCTGATGGGTTCAGAAAGTGTGATGTGGAACTGAATTTGAAAAAAAAATATTTGGCGTATTTGATTGGAAGTTGTAATAAAAGAAGATACATCTTACTCAATGTTGATCCTGATCAATATATATTTGATAGAAAGAAAATTTCATTTTAAAAATACCAATTAGAATAGAGGTGTAAAGCTATCGTGTGAGGTCATGGGGGGGGGAGGCAGGCGACATATTCTGACAGTGTATACATGGGGTGACATTTATTGTGACGATGTATAACTTGGGGTGGCATATTGTGACGATGTGTACCCACCCCCACCTACCGAAGCGAGATGCCTGAAAGAAACTCCGGATAAAACGGTTGTCAACCCCGGGCGACGGAATGGGTCGCCATGCCTCTGATTAGGTTGGGGATCTGTCTGTGGGAATGATCTATATAATTACTATATAAGGTTTTGTGGGTTGTGTCCTTTATATTCGACGCCACATTACAAGGGTGGAGGGGTTCCACATGTTTGACGATGTGATGACATACTATTGATGCACCGTCAAAACGGCCCGGGACAAAACGGTCCGGGACAAAACGGCCCCGTCTACATGACCCCGACAAATCCCCCCCCCCTCCGACAAAACGCTCTAGTCAAAATAGCCATTTGTCGGGAGCCTAAATGACGGGGTCAATATGTCGCTGGCCCCTTTGACGGGGTTCTTATGTTGGAGTTGTTTTGTCGGGGTCGTTTTGACGAGCCATTTTGACGCCGCACGCACACTATTAAATTTCGAAAAGTTATTTTGTTAAATTAGTTTTAGCCGTTATTTTGTGCTTTTAAATTACTTTTTTTTTTGGAAAATTTGATCAAAATCAATCATATGCTCAATGTTTCCCCTGCTCAGTCAATAATTTATTCAAACATAGCACATTTGAGGGGGGGGGGGTGATGAGTTAAGGTGTGATGTTTAGGGGTGGGATCTGACATTTTGTGGAGAGGAGGAGAGGATGCAAAATCCATTTTGAAAATAGTAGCGTTGTTTATTGGTGACTCCGTAGAGGATGGCCCTGTTTTAGTATTATATAAGATATGCGTAAGCTCTAATTATAGATAGGCTTACAATTTTTTGCTAATAGCCAAAAATATTAAGTAGCCACTTGTTTGTCTTCAACTTGTTGGCTACATAGATCTAGATCTAGTTCTATATTATGCCCAAACCTTTTTAAAAATTGAACTGGCTAAAAAATTTGCCGAACTCTTTAGCTTTTAAAGTATTGTAATGTAAAAACAGCAGCCGAACGAAAGTGAAAACTATTCAATAAGTTAGGAGTTAGCTTACATGTTTACTACTTTAGATCGAGATCTAGATCTAGGCCTAGAGTTCTAAAGTCTAACATTACCATAGTGTAGGGTCACACTGTCTCCTGCGATTTCAGTTGTTGCTTTTTTAAAATGATTGAACTTAAACAAACAAGTGAGTTACCAGTTACCAGGCAACTCAGTGGAACTGCTAGGGCCTACTAGGGCTAGTGCTACTGACCAGACTCAAGACTTCTAGAAATCTAGATAATTTAATTACTATTACTTGTACTAAAATTTAAATTAGATATTATAGAAATTATAGATCTAATCAGGGGCGTAGCAAGGGGGGCGGGGGCGGGGGGTGCGGACCGCACCGGGTGACACCATTTAGGGGGGTGACACCAAGGCAAAACAATAGCAAAAAATATAGAGAAAAACTCGAGGGCGGGTGCAAATCGAAAGTTTGAGGGGGGGGTGCAAATTGAAAACTCGGGGGGGGGGGGGTGCAAATCGAAAGTTTGAGGGGGAGGTGCAAATTGAAAGTTTGTCCCTGGGAAGGGTCTCTATGCCTCTGGGGGGGTGACACCATTAAGTGCCGCACCGGGTGACACCCGACCTCGCTACGCCACTGGATCTAATACTAGTACAAACTAATAGTTTAACTTGATTTTTAGACTACTCTACTGTCACTAGATCTAGTCAAGTAGATTTTAGGCTTGGGACAAACTCCAATTTTCAATTTAGTCGCAACATGTAAATTATTCGCTGCTTCATGAATGTAAATGTTGGTAAAATCACGATATAGCATCGTAAATGGACACCAGTGAGTTGACGAAAATCCTTCCGTAATGTTGACATGGAATAAAAATGTGCTTTTTTAGATTTAGGACCGTAAAAATAATTAAAGATAAAATTTTATTAAAAACGTAAGCCTAAAATTAATTCAGAAATTTAATATTTTTAGAATCAATACTATAATAGTTGCAGATCCAGAGAACTTGAAAATAATTTGTTGAGTTTAAGGCTACATTTCTATTTATTTTTATCAAGCCTAAGTTATAACCCGATGTTTCACTTTCATTAGACAAACATTGTACAGGAACTCTGTGATCGATTTCTGACAGCCCCACTTTATAGTTTTTTTGTTTACAAAACTATGCAGATCAAGTTTTTAATTAACAATCCAAATTTAAACACCAACACATTACCTAGTTTTCATTTTTAAGCTTACAATAAAATTTATGGCGGCCTATCGAATAGCAGGATGCCATTGTTTATGTCGCCATTACACGTGAAAACCAAATTGTTTTTTCGTTTTTGTTTTTTTTATTTAGTTACCGAAAATATTAAAAACATCAAATACATCCAATCTTTAGTTAAGTCCGAAAAAAACCAGACAGGCTGGATTTTTTAACCATATTAATTGTAACTACGCCGTGCATGATTTTTAAATTAATTTATGGACCTCTCAAATACCTTTGAGACTTTTCTCGCTGGTGTCCATTATCAGGTGATTTTTGTTGAGTTTCGTTAACATTCGTTACTTTAAACCATATTTTATTTCTCTGTTGAAATAAAAATAAAGTCAAGTGCCTTAAATTAATGTTTTAACTTAATTTAAAGTTCAATTGACAGAAAATTAGCAACAATTAGTAAATCTAAAAATATTGTTAATAAAGTCGAGTGTAAAAATTAATGTTTTTTTAAGAAACACAGAAAAAAACTTGCAGAATGTTTGCGACATCTAGATCTAGTAAATTTAAAGAAGATGATTAGATTTAATAGTTGAAAGTAGTAAGAAGAACTAGAACTATGTTTTGTAGCAACAATAATTAGCACATACTTTTAAATAATTAGAAATACAAAATAAATAGCTAAACAGTATTTAAAATGCAACTAAAATCAATCCATGCAAATTTGTAAACATTATGTATTAAAAATAATATGACGGCAAACAAATGATGGTTTACAGTATTTCCTGTGGTTTCCAGAACGGCTGGACAAACTACGCCATGATTTTACTGTTTTTTACTGCTGTACAATTCTGGAATAATAAAGGACGCTATATCGTGATTTTACCTAAATGTTCACCTCCAGTTGAGCATTTATTAAAATACAACCGAAAATCAAAAAATATTGGGAAAACTACTTTAAATAGCTAGTCTAATAAGTCTAGTAGACTAATATAAAGTAATAGTCTAATAAAATAGGCCTGCTACATTTATTCTTTAATGAATTTATATTTTAATTAAAAGGGAATAATATTTAGAATCGACCCTTTTAATCTCATGCAGAACAAGCCCCAGGCATGGCTTCAATTGCTTGTTGCAATTTGTTAAAAATAAACTCAAAACTTTTCCAGTAAACAATAAATACTTTTAATAAACTTATGCAAATTATGTTTAGCTTTATCAAATGTTGCTTAATCACCAAAAATACTAGATCTATAAAACATTAAATATTTCTAATCTTTAAAAAAAGTCAAACCAACCTATCAAGTTTTTATAACAATATCTGTTTGAAAACAAACTGCACACAATTTAAAAAATAATTAGGCAACTAACAATTGCCAAGTAAGGTACAATGGGCTTGATGTGTAACAAGTTATTCTTTCACCTACATCAATTTCAATTTATTCAATTACGGTAACACAGATTTTTTTTATACTAAGTAGACTCCAGGATATATTAAAAATATAATCTGATATAAATTTAATGCTAGACTAATAATTATGAATAACAACAGTAGTAAACATTAATTGTAATAAAATATTGTAGTAATGCTGTTCACTGTATTTAGTTAAGTAAGAAGTACTTTAAATATTACATTTACTGTTATAAATGTAAAACTACACTTTAAACTTTAAATGGTAATGTAATTATATTTAGGCCTATTCTATGTTTTTTAAAAGTTCATCTCTGAAGGTGGTCTATATTTGGCCAGATATTTTAGCTACATGTTTTTTTGTCTATTTATATACATCCCAATAACAATTGCTTTCAACTTTAAAAAGATATTAATATCCACAAGCAATGTTTCTGTGTTTTAAATATTAATGCTATTGTATTTTATATTATTACTCTTTACAGTTATTAAAAAAAAAGTAAACTAAATTCCAGATGGAAGCAGAAAGTTATCCATTTAGCAGTGACACAGTTTACCTGGAAACCAGATTGGTAGAACTGTTCAATGAGCATGATGTGGACAACAAGGGCTATCTGAATGACCAGGAAGTAAACACTCTCTGTACAAGTCTTCAGCTGGGAACACTGAAGGATTCCATTTTTCTCCCATTGCTAAGCAGGATAAAAACTGATGAAAAATTAAGTATTTATTTTAAAGCTAGTTGTTACAGCATTCTTTTTTAACACTCCCCATTCCATCTCAGGGTATTGACCCCATCCACCATGAAGAATATTGCATAAGGAGATCACTCTGTCAGCTCCAACCTCAACACTTTTCTCTGTAATGACAAGATCAAAAGACATTATTCCAATTGTTTCATTAGCTATATATTCAGTTTAAACTCTTCTAACTACTAAAAAAAATAGTATCCTTTAGGTGAAGATGAATTCATACATCTAGTTTGTTTATTCTTTGCATTGTTACATTTCTACTTTTTATTTACATTTCAGGTTTACTTTGAAGATTTCAGATGTGCATTGTTGCAATTTCTTCAGATCTTTGATTCTCAGTACTTTCACTGCCCCATTAAACTGCATGTTAAAGGTATAACCGAAAATGTTTTCTATATTTAAATGTCATCATTTTCTTGAGAGAATATGTTATCTGTTATAGTGTCAATTTTTTCAAATATACTTCATCACTAGACTACAATATTTTCCCATTATCTTCAGTGATACATCATAGATTAAGAAACAATGTTGCTATTATTAAGGATAGGTTTGAGTTTAATAGGTGATGTCCTGTTGATTTTCTAAAACTTACAATAAGGAAATCAATTATAGACAAATCTGATCTACTTGTTGCAAAGAAATTAGTCTCATTTTAAGGGTCTTATTTTCCCTTCAACATTCAGGACCTGATGTGTCTCCTAAAGCCACACCAAAGTTTGTGATTGGCAACAAAAGCTATGGTCGGAGATCTTTGCCATTTAAATGCAGCACAGACCTAAGCCAACACCAAGCAGGCAGAATGTCTACAGAAGACAAAGTTTTCTATTTCAACAATCTTCTCATTTCCTCTGAGGTATGTGCTGATTTTCATTTTCTTGCAATTGCTGTTCAATTTTTTTATTTTACATGTTGCATTTAGCGCTGTTTTATTAATTTATACTAAAGTGTATTTATACTAATCTTAAATTATACTTAGTTATTTGTCTCACTTGCATATGTTATGTCATATATTATTTATGTGTAAAATAAAGGCAGGGTTTAAGCTCTATATAGTTCATCATAAACATTGATTTTTATTGATAGTACTAGGCATGCTGCCCAGCTTCGCTTAGGCTTTCGAAAACATTGAGAATTTGAATGCTTAATTAATTCGCCCGAAGGTCGGTCTACGACCTCAAGAGTTATGAAGAGGTTCCTCCGTGGACATTTTTTTTCGATTTATAGCTCATATAAGGTACCGGTCAGTCGAGGTCAGTTTTGACCCCCACATCGTAGACTTTTCGGCCAACCGGCCCCCGTGTTCTGTCGCACCAAGGCAAGATCATGCCAAATTTGAAGCGCCTGCGGCGCCGGGAAGTGCCCTATCGGACACCCGACAATCTAGAATCTAGATCTAGATCTAGATTCCTAAAAGAATTTTTTTTTTAAGTTTAGCCCGAGCATAATAAAAAAGAATACATTAACCAAGTTGACTTGCTGTGTCTCGAACCCGCACCACCTGCGTGGTTTAATGTACACTAACATCTCCGCTATTTAGGCACCTTATAAAATACGGAGAATGAAACACGTATTTTAAAATCTTAACTTACACGAATATGCCTATTCTTTCAAATTATTTTTTTATCCCAAATTAGCCAGTTCATAACAAAGATTTTGTATAAAATAAATAAGTCTTGAAATAGTTTAGTCCTAATATAGAAATTTATTTTTGGAATAGATTTTAGAGAAGTTAGAGTCTAAATCTAGATCTTAGCGTCTACGTCTAGATTATAGATCTAGTTATTGCGTAGATTTAGATTTAGTCTAGATCTAGAATCTCTAGATCTAGAATCCAAATAAATAAAATAAATTTTATGAGTTTAGGCCGGAAAAACTGTATTGTATACATTTCATAGTGTACGTAGATCTAAATCAAATTTGAATGAAATAGTTCATTTCTTTTTATTCAAAACACAGCAGATGACGTCATTAGTTAATGTATAAGCAATAGCGACGTCACAGTTTTATGCGTTCTTTTTCACATGTATTAATGCTTTTCCGGTTGCATAAATAATACTGTTTCTCTACATTCGAATACGCCTTTAATTTTTATTTTTCTTCTTTAAGTAAAATTGTGGTTATACATTTAAAACATCTAACATATTATTTTCAACAAAAGTCCGTAAAAAGTTCTCGATATATCGCTGCCGATTCTGACGTGATGTCCGGCGAAAATTTTTTGCGGACAGAGAAAGAGAGAGAGAGAGAGAGAGATGTGCGCACATTGGGCTTTTATAAATTAGGATGTTCACAATTTTTGTAATGCTTGCCAAACTTCTAAAATTCAAACTAAATGTATATATAATTACGTGCTTTTCTTTGTGAAAAAGAGAAAGACTGTTGTTCAATGTTTTGATGGGTTTTTCTCATCTTTTTAAAAGAAGAAAAAATAGGTTGTTTCCCTTATGTTAGTAATTTTAGGGAAGTTAAGGTTGTTTTTTTTTCTGTGTCTTTATTATATTGTCATTCCATTTTTAATGTTATTGTAGTGTTTTACACATCATTTTTTATCATTTACAAATGTAGCACAATACATTTTCTTTTTATTCAACTTGTCACTGGGCTGTTCTAAGCCTCCACATCACAAACATCCCCTTATTTGAAAAGTAGCATTTTCTTACTACTGTTCATAACTTAAGGTTTGAGATTAGACTTAATGATAAGGTTAGGAATCGGGAGCATCACATGGTTTTAAATTATAATGGGGGAGTAACAAAATTAAGGACAATGACCTACACCCTAGAAAGGGATGATGCAATCACAGTTCCTACATATGTATACATATATATATATATATATATATATATATATATATATATATATATATATATATATATATATATATATATATATATATATAAATGAAAGTATGTGGATTTGGATGTTTTTTATGCATTACAACACCTTTTATTCAGTCGCCATGAAACTTTGGGAAGTTGTTGAGAATGCACCTAAAAACATTTCAGGGGGCGGCACCCTGATGGGTGCGATTTTTTTTTTCACCATATTCTGTATATAAAAATATTAGGTGGATGCCGTTTGGCACCCCGAGTTCCCTTAGCACTTGGTGTCTATTGATTGGGTGTCAAAAGTGCTACCTGATTCAACACTAAAACTGCACCAGGCACAATATACTCAGACATGCTGAGCAATATACTCAGACATGGTTAGCTACAATAATCTCTCACTAATTCAAATGAGGCACATCCTTGGGCTCCCCGTGAGCACTATGATGCCTACGTTTATGTTAGATTGTGATTCAAATCGAGTGTGATTTGGTGCCCCGGGCTCCCCAGTGAGCACTGAAGCTCTAACATTTGTTTTAAATAGTGAATACACTATGGATACAATAGGCTACTATAATCGTTGAGTAAATTGAATCAGGTGCGTCTGCCTGTGCCCCGACAGTTGGCTGACCAGCAGTAATGTAACTGGTGGCTCCAGAGAGTGCCAGACAATGTCCCTGACACCTGGGCGATCATCTAGGTGTATTTTACCTCACAATTACAGAGGGTAACTAACGTACACTCACGGCTTTGATACAGCACGACCAGGGGCATCTGGGTGGTGGTCTGGACAAACCTGCACCCCAACAACTCTGATCCAAGAAATCAACTGCCTGCTTTGTTTACACTCAAATAACTGGTTTTAGAAAACAAGGTCATACATCTAATCCTCTTAAAGTATTGCTTCAGCCCGCAGCTACTGGTGGGACGGGGTCTATAATATATAAAAATAAACCTGTATTAGTATACATATTTGAATTGTTGGGTAAAAACATTACCTGCACTAGTTTACATATCTGTACTCTAATGCATATTTATGTATATTTGGACTGTTACTTTTTTGTCTGTAGTCAAATAGTAATAGTATATACCTGTTATATACCTGCAGAGTTATAGAGTAGAATAAATATCTGAGAAAATCCATCCATCTTGTCACACCTCATTCAACTCTAGGTGTAACATCACCATACAACTGTGGGTGTAACATCACCTGACAGAATCCATACCTCGTACAACTGTAGGTACAACATCACCTGACAGAATCCATACCTCATACAACTGTGGGTGTAACATCACCTGACAGAATCCATACCTCATACAACTGTAGGTACAACATCACCTGACAGAATCCATACCTCATACAACTGTAGGTACAACATCACCTGACAAAATCCATACCTCACCTCATACAACTGTGGGTGTAACATCACCTGACAGAATCCACACCTCATACAACTGTGGGTGTAACATCACCTGACAGAATCCATACCTCACACAACTGTAGGTACAACATCACCTGACAGAATCCACACCTCATACAACTGTAGGTACAACATCACCTGACAGAATCCATACCTCACACAACTGTAGGTACAACATCACCTGACAGAATCCACACCTCATACAACTGTAGGTGTAACATCACCTGACAGAATCCATACCTCATTCAACTCTAGGTACAACATCACCTGACAGAATCCATACCTCATTCAACTCTAGGTACAACATCACCTGACAGAATCCATACCTCACCTTATACAACTGTATGTGTAACATCGCCTGACAGAATCCACACCTCATACAACTGTAGGTGTAACATCACCTGACAAAATCTGTGTCTAGACTGCCGACCTAATCTTTCCATGAGAAAGTTTTATTTTATCTTACCCTGAGAAAGTTTTTTATCTTACCCTGAGAAAGTTTTTTAATCTTACCCTGAGAAACTTTTATTTTATCTTACCCTGAGAAAGTTTTTTATCTTACCCTAAGATAATTTTGTGTTCCCTCCTTTTGTCGTGAAATCTACACCACCACTTGCCCATGTCAGCGTGGATAGAATGTTTATCTGTTAAAAACACGAGCGGTTCCCTCACTGCTTTCTCGGTTAGATGGGAAGCATTGAAGTTTAACCCTCGACCCATTAGTGTAAGTTGTTAGATAAAGAAAATAGGAATCTTTTTATCTGAAAGGTAAGGATCCAAATGTAAAGTTGTCTTTCTGCATTTCTTAATGGCTGGGTGCTGGTATAGGTAGGTAGGAGGGCATTGTTCAGCCGTGATTTAGCACCAGGTAATCGTCGCCAGGTAACATTTGGCGGAATACGTCTTGCATCCAACTGGAGATAACATTTTTAAATGAATTAGCTTGAGTGATTCGTTAGCAAGATGGTGTCACTGATACCTGTTATACTTCATTCACCTGCAGTCTAGGTGGATTTGGATTTTTTTTGTTAGAAATTGTACCGGTACAACACCATGTTAGTTGTGTGCAGTAACTATGCTGATAGTTTCTTGCTTTCCATTTATGCGGAGTTGGTGCACACGTGACTTACGATATGTTGACAAAATGGAATATTCTTGCTGAGTTGGGTAGATGCAAACTGTGTGAAGATTGGTTTACATACATTTCGCGTAAGTTTTATTACCGTATCATCTGTGCAGTCTAGAGGGGTTAAAAATGGAAACATGAATACATTGTTTGCTACCTCGTAATTTTTTTTTTTTTTTTTTTTTAATATATTCTTTGCGTGTTTTGCAATAAATCAAAATCCCATTTTGATTTCTTAATTGCCGTGTCTTTTATTCGCATGAAAGATCCTTTGTGTGTGTGGGGAGGGGGGGGGAGTGTTCAATACATGTTCAAGTCAACTTCATTGGCAAACGTCTACCATGTGTAGCTTGTTGTGTGACAAAATATGTATCGCCTGACAGTGTATGCCTGAATTTCAAAGCGGCTGTCATACAAAGATATCATACATAGATACACACATGATCTGTCATAGATACACATCGCCTGTCATAAATACACACATCGCCTGTCATAGATACACACATCGCCTGTCATAGATATACACATCGCCTGACATAGATACACACATCGCCTGTTATAGATACACACATCGCCTGTCATAGATATACACATCGCCTGTCATAGATACACACATCGCCTGTCATAGATACACACATCGCCTGTTATAGATACACACATCGCCTGTCATAGATACACACATCGCCTGTCATAGATACACACATCGCCTGTTATAGATACACACATCGCCTGTCATAGATACACACATGATCTGTCATAGATACACACATCGCCTGTCATAGATACACACATCGCCTGTCATAGATACACACATCGCCTGTCATAGATACACACATCGCCTGTCATAGATAGATACACACATCGCCTGTCACAGATACACACATCGCCTGTCATAGATACACACATCGCCTGTCAAAGATATACACATCGCCTGTCATAGATACACACATCGCCTGTCATAGATACACACATCGCCTGTCATAGATACACACATCGCCTGTCATAGATACACACATCGCCTGTCATAGATACACACATCGCCTGTCATAGATAGATACACACATCGCCTGTTATAGATACACACATGATCTGTCATAGATACACACATCGCCTGTCATAGATACACACATCGCCTGTCATAGATACACATCGCCTGTCATAGATACACACATCGCCTGTCATAGATACACACATCGCCTGTCATAGATACACACATCGCCTGTCATAGATACACACATCGCCTGTCATAGATATACACATCGCTTGTCATAGATACACACATCGCCTGTCATAGATACACACATCGCCTGTCATAGATAGATACACACATCGCCTGTCATAGATACACACATGATCTGTCATAGATACACACATCGCCTATCATAGATACACACATCGCCTGTCATAGATACACACATCGCCTGTCATAGATACACACATCGCCTGTCATAGATATACACATCGCCTGTCATAGATACACACATCGCCTGTCATAGATACACACATCGCCTGTCATAGATACACACATCGCCTGTCATAGATACACACATCGCCTGTCATAGATACACACATCGCCTGTCATAGATAGATACACACATCGCCTGTTATAGATACACACATGATCTGTCATAGATACACACATCGCCTGTCATAGATACACACATCGCCTGTCATAGATACACATCGCCTGTCATAGATACACACATCGCCTGTCATAGATACACACATCGCCTGTCATAGATACACACATCGCCTGTCATAGATACACACATCGCCTGTCATAGATATACACATCGCCTGTCATAGATACACACATCGCCTGTCATAGATACACACATCGCCTGTCATAGATAGATACACACATCGCCTGTCATAGATACACACATGATCTGTCATAGATACACACATCGCCTATCATAGATACACACATCGCCTGTCATAGATACACACATCGCCTGTCATAGATACACACATCGCCTGTCATAGATATACACATCGCCTGTCATAGATACACACATCGCCTGTCATAGATACACACATCGCCTGTCATAGATACACACATCGCCTGTCATAGATACACACATCGCCTGTCATAGATACACACATCGCCTGTCACATCGCCAGATATTGTCAAATGTCGTCTGACTGTAATACCCTATCATATGTATTTTTTTTAAATGATCGTATAATTGCCATTAGGATTGATACTCGTGTTTAATATTGAGCATTCAACTTATTAAGCATGTTTTGTAAACCACTTTGTCAAAGCTGGCAAATATTCCTTCAGTTAATATCCGACGTTTATGCGATTGTCCATAAAGGACGCCTTGCTTGTATGGGTGGACTTTTGTGACGATGTGTGAGGAGGGAAGGGGTGAGCAGAAAGTGTGACGACACATGAATTGTAGTAATCTCGGGCTTTTTAAAGACTGTTTAGGTCAATTGAAAATTTATTAATATACTCAGTGTACACAGAATTCTGTACATATTTAAGAAATAAATCGATGTTTAAAAAAAGAAAAACACAGTATTGAGGTGGATGTTGTAGTCTACGGCGTTAGGCCATCATCTAAAGGTAGCTTTTTTTGACGATGGGGAGGGGTAGGTAAAATCGTTTTAAAAGTCGTACCTTTCTTTATGGATAATTTCTAATGAAACAGAGAAGAAACGTTTGATTTATTTTATTTTCGTAAATTTTAAATCTCTTTGGAGGGAAGGAAGTGGTATGCCAGTCCATCTGTTGACATTGCTACGAAAAAAATATTGATCACCACTATAAAAGATTAAAAATCATTGTGCTGTAAAGGGATTTGTGCATTTCCCACAAAGGGAGGTAATCAATTGCTGGTTGGTTTTTACTTCCCTTGGATGAGGTAAAATCATTCGACATTCTAGCATTTTCATTTAAAAATTTTTTTTAAAATTAACAATGTAGATACCAATCAGATGGATTACATGTGAGACTGACTACTACTTTTTTGTGAAAAATATCCTACTTTTTGTAGGATATTTTTTTTTAATCCTACATTTGACTTTATTTTATTAATAGCGCATTCAGCACAGCTGTAATCATTATAAGTTGTGTTGTATACAACTGAAAGTTTTGTGTTTTAGTGTCCTATCTTATAGATTGTGTCACATACAACTGAAACTTTAGTGTGGTATCTTATAAATTGTATTATACAACTGTAAGTTTATTGCATTCTTGTTGATTTTTAAAAATGATTCTGCTTCATATAATAGAATGTGTTGAAGTGATGACTTTGTACAAAACCATATAGCACTTATTAAAAAGCACCAGCTATGTTTAGACACTAATCTACATCTGTACATGTGTTTATTTGTCTATCTCTGTACCTCTTGTTTCATCAGGTTTAGATCCCCACACATGGACAAAAGCTGCTACATAAAAACTAGTTTGGCTAAACTTAACCCCACGTTGTACAGTTGCGTGAGGCTGGGCAAGTTTAGATCCCCACACATGGACACAAGCTGCTAGACAAAAACTAGCTTGGCTAAACTTAACCGCACGTTATACAGTTGTGTGAGGCTGAGCAAGTTTAGAACCCCACACTTGGACATGAGCAGCTAAACCCAAACTAGCATGGCTAAATGTTTCCCCAGGCTGTACTGCTGGGTGAGGCTGGCCATGAGACGGCCTCGCCTCTTCTACACCCTGGTACTGGTTGTCATTGTCGTCTACTTTGTCTTCATAGCCTACATGGCCTGCAGCAAAGCCCCTTTTTTGGACAGTTCACGCATGCTGGCCCCTTACATTCTGGACTTCAATGGCCAGTGTATCTATGAATTTGATTATCTGAATTATAAAAATATTTCCCATAGAGTTCGCTCCACCTGCAAGGAGAAGACAAATTTCGTTTTCATCAAGGGCATGAAATGTGCCACGTCAACTTTGCTGGGAGTTTTCTACAGGTTTGGCTATCTCCGCAACCTGTCCTTTGTTTCACCACTGGATAACAAAATGTACTTAAACTGGCCATTCCCCATGACCAGGCTGGACTTCCGACCTTCTAGCAGGGGCTACAACATCCTCACCGACCATGCCATTTTCACTGAGACTGTCATGGACGCCATCATGCCCAAAGATACAGTGTACATCAGCATCATTAGAGAGCCTCTAGCACAGCTGAAATCCATCTTCCAGTACTTTAAAGTGGCCAAGATTGCAGGTGTGCCAGAGGACTCATCCAACCCAATAGCCGAGTACTTCTCACATCTGGAGCTCTACGAGAAGTCTTACACCAGCCACAGTGCCAAGTACAGGTGGTGTGTGCCTGATGGCTTCTCCATGACAAAAAATCTCATGGCATATTGTCATGGGATGCCCTTGGGATTCCCTGCTGGAACTAAGGATATTTCCCAAGATGAAGCAGCCATTGATCAGTTTATCCAACACTTGGATCAGAAGTTCAGTTTAATCATGATTGTTGAGTATTTCTATGAATCTCTTATTCTCCTGCGGAGGCTGATGTGCTGGCAGTTTAAAGATATAATATTTATCTCAGCCAACATTGCCAACTATGATTTTAACCCAAAGCAAGAGAACGAAACAGTTCAAGCTATCCATAGGAATTGGAGTCATATAGACTACAAGCTTTATAACTATTTCAATAAAACTTTGTGGAAGCATATTGGCACCCAGAGCTCAGAGTTTTTCTTGGAGGTTGAAGATTTTAAACTGGTGGAGTCTCAGGTCCAGACCTACTGCCAACAGGTGTATACACTTGGTAAAAATATCATGTTGCCTGCTAGTATGTCCCAGTTCAAAATAGCACCATCTAATTGGACGGATCAGTTTTCTGTGTATCCAAGTGACTGCTGGATGCTTGGGCCTAATCCGTATGAGCTTTTGCATCAGGTGCAGAAGGAGCATGATGCTAGGGAAGTCACCTTGCTGGCAGAGTTTAAGAAGATTCCAGATAACAGGACAGCTGATATGAAAGGGACATGTTGAACAGTCGACTGGACTTGTTGTTAAGTTGACTGGACTTGTTGATCAGTTGACTGGACTTGTTGACCAGTTGACTGGACATGGTGATTAGTTGACTGACTGGACATGGTGACCAGTTAACTGGACATGGTGACCAGTTGACTGGACTTGTTGATCAGTTGACTGGACTTGTTGACCAATTGACTGACTGGACATGTTGACCAGTTGACTGCACGTGATGACCAGTTGACTGGACTTGTTGATCAGTTGACTGGACTTGTTGACCAGTTGACTGGACTTGTTGATCAGTTGACTGGACTTGTTGACCAGTTGACTGACTGTACTTGTTGTCCAGTTGACTGACTGGACTTGTTGACCAGTTGACTGACTGGACTTGTTGACCAATTGACTGACTGGACTTGTTAACCAGTTGACTGACTGGACATGTTGACCATTTGACTGCACATGATGACCAGTTAACTGGACATGGTGATCAGTTGACTGGACACTGCTCTGTTTAACTCATTCCTTAGATATTTTTTTCCTTTTATGTGCAATCTTTTAGTAAGAGCATAATGTAGGTAATTTTTATTTATTTCAGTATTTAAACTAACAAATTATTTTCAACCTGATTCATTATAGAAAGCATTATTCGGGTGCAACTCACTTTCATGTTCCTGTGTGTTTTGTTGCTTTTTTTTATTTTATTTTACTACACTAATGATGTCTTTACATTTAAAATTTTGTTTTGTTTGAAAGATTGACATACTCTTTATGGCCATCTGTTAATCAAGCTACATCAAGAATTCACCTCATGTTAGGCTACACTTATATCACGCTAAGCCTACTCTTGTATTAAGAATACCCTTACTGATGTACTTCTTTTTTAGAGAAACCAAGACATTAAGTATAATGGTAATCACTTAATCAAATATATTTAAAACCACAATAGCTGTGTATTTGTCTTCTGCTTTTTCAAGAAATCCAATAAATCACAACAGAAGGAAATATATGAAGGATTATCACATATCAGCTTTGCTTAGATTATCTGCCTAACTAGGTGGTAGCAATACTTAGCTTAAGGGCTATGTTCATTTTATTAGTTAAAATTTTGTATTGACAAAATTGTGGAAATCTCTTTTAAAATGAGGATGGGTAATGTATGTACAAAACATCTTTGATGTTAGTATAAAATTGTATTAACTGCTTATTTTTCAATTATTTAATATTGTATTTCATATATCTTTCAATTACTATATTTTTAAAGATAATAATTCAATCTACAAATGTACTTAAACTGTGTATTTTGTGTATTTTGATACTAGTTTTACCTATTTATAAACCAAGTGAGTTTTATTCTATGATATTTATGTAGTGATAATACTGTGCCTTAATTTTACACATTTTCTCTTGAAACCCCTACATAGTGATGGATGTTTGATTCATTTTTGTTCAAATTAAAGTTGCAGTGAATTTACCATTTTTAAAGTGGAAATTTTTATTGCTTTAAACTCTCACCTCAGGGGAGATAGTGTTACAGACATAGTATGTAATAATACCCAAATGGTGTTAGATTATGGTGTTACACATACATATGGTGTTACACGCATGATGTTTGTTTATGATGTTACAGTTAAACATGGTGTGATGTTGAAAACATAGTGTCAGATTATGGTGATACAGATATGGATGGTGTCATGTTACTAATATGCAGATAGTTAACTAATGCAATAAAGTGATCCCAGTTTCAGGCAGTCTATTGATTCAATAACCTGATGATGTAACCACATGTAGAGTACTCACATGTTTTAATGTCCTATACTTACCTTGTGTATCCGGCCAGATTTTTTTTTTTTGTTGACCATTTTGTTTGTGATTGGTTTTTTTTTTAATTGGGTGGAAACTGAAATTAAAAAATTTAAAATATTGAAAACGTGTCGCTGTTTTAAATTTTTATAACAGTAGGTTGTGTGTGGGTGTTGTAAACAAAAGGTGGATTGGACTGTGAACCTGTTACCTAGCAACAGTCTTAACTAGCTGTGTGGACCTGGGTTTTATCACTGGCTCCCCTGTCTGTTTGGGTATATGCTACACACATTTTAAAACTCATCTTTTAAGTCCTACATTTATTTAAACTGCTTGAGTCTCTGTGGCATTGGCCCTGGGGGATAGGCTTAGTGGTGTTTTAAAGCTGCCTCTAAAACTGGCGAGAACTCCTACAAAAAGTACACATTCCATTAATTGAACATAACACAGTAGGTACACAATACTCAAATAATAATTACACAAACAACAGAATAAAAAAACCTTGACACAATAATTACTACATGCATTAATTTTTAAACGATTGTTAAGAGTGGACTCACGAAATGTACATTGTTAAAACTAGAACAAAAATGTTTCATTCTTAAACAACTTTAGCAAGTGCTGCTAAAAAATATAATTGTATCTTCACACTGCTTTATCATAGTTCAGGTTTTTCTCTTGATAAAGTGTTATTCTTGTTAACTAGTACACTTTGTTTTAGATTTACCCTTTATGACATGTTAAACTGTATACTGTAAATCAACAAAGGACTTTACAGCATTTGTTAAGATCACCTTTTTAAATGGCCTTTGTTCTGTAATGTGTTCCACTTATTTTTATACTAACATTAAATTTCTAATCTACGATTTAATTTATCATTAAACCTGTTTTCAATATTTCTTCCAGAATTTTTTCTTGGGGGGGGGGGGGGGGGGGGGGGGACTTGATATTTTCGGGGGCGGACACCATTTTCTTGGTGGGGGTGGGGGGCGGACACTGCTAAAAGTATATGTTTTCTAAATTAATCCCATTTCGTTCAGGGGGGGGGGTAGACTTTCTTCTCTCCCCCCCCCCCCCCCCCCCCCCCCCCCCCCGAAGAGATACCTGGAAGAAACTCTGTTTTGTAATATCCCTGGCCACTTAAATAAAATGTTTACCTTTGTTGTATAAATAAAACATCTGTAATTTTCCACATAAAATGCTACTTATGCATAGTTGTATAAACTTGCACCTAATTACCAGGTCGACACACTATAGGCCTATGTAGCTTCAGCTCATCAAAAAACCAACACACTATGGCTGTTGTCGCTTCATCAAAACGCGTCATAAGTAGCCATTAATAATGCCAGTGAAAAGGGTGAATTAATTAATGAAATTCTTACATGAAACATTACGTAGCTCTGACAATTCAAATTCATCAAGAGTTGGTGTGAGATTTCGGTATTTAGCACGAGTTTTCTCCACATTTGGGCCTTGTGCCTGGTCTGTTATTTGAAAAGTATAAATTCGTCGTCCTTTCCTCTCTTTAAAGCTTATTTAACATAACATTAAGTAATCAATTATAAAACAGATTAGTCAGATTTAGATAAAGCCATTTGTTAACTAGCTTTAGGTCAGCATCAACAAACGCCAGCTGTTTCACAAACTATCCTTAAGCCGAGTCTACAAAACTAGCTGTTGAACCAACTATCCTTAAGCCGAGTCCAACAAAAACTAGCTGTTGAACCAACTATCCTTAGGCCGACATCAACAATGCGTCACCGTTGTCTAACTGGCACACCAACTTGTAGTTGTCACCACCATTAACTGTCACTTTATGTTAGCTGTCCGTCTCCGGATGTGTCACCCTCATCTTGTCACCACTCCTTATCCGTGTCACCCACAATTAGTTATGTCACCATACACACCACCACCCCACCCAGTGTCTTTTCCGTTTCTTCTGTCATCACCGCGGCGTCCAGCTGTCCAATGTTGTTGTCCAGTCTACCCCCTCCCATAAATCAATGACGCCCAACCGTTAGCTTGATGTCGCACATTATGTATCCTCCCTGAGATCGATATCCTACAATGTGTCCTCTCTGCGATCGATATGTGATGGCATACATCACTAAACAGACGATTAATATCCTTGTCTCTGTATAATATAGCTTGGGAACTTGATCAACTCATCTACTCTCTTGTGTCTGTTCGTGTCTTCCTTTGTAAATATGGATTTAGTTGACCTTAAAATGTTTTAAAACAATGGCCAGATAAATCTTTTCGTCCATCTCGTGGAGGACGGGCAGTGTCCACTATCTCCCATATAACAACAGACACATGCCTTGAGTGTCCATCTTAATTCTAAAGTTTAAAAAGCAATGTCTGTGTGATAAGTTTTCCCGTATTCGCCAAACGTTTAGAAAATAGTGTCTTGCTCTCTGTAAAAGATACACAGCTCAAGTCTCATTATAATAGACGAGGTGCTGAAAGCATTAGCTGCATTATAAAAACCATTCACCAGAACCCGGCTAACGAAACACACAAAAAACTTTTAAAATTCATACGCCACAAGGTTTCTGATTTAATGCGCAGTTTTAAAAACAAGGGGGATAACCTGCACTGAGAAAACGTAACAAGTTTTTTGACTGATTTATAGATGATGAAAGACAATGTGGCAGCTAATTCGTGCGTGCAACCGAATCCACCTCTTTTTAACTACAGTGGTGTATGTGCCAATATAGCAGGCCTACATTACTCTCCCCCTTTTGTTCCACATCTCTTATGTTTTAGACCATGGTTAAAACCGCGTATGTATGTATGTTTTTTTAATCCCGATGTATTGATCCAGCGTAACACGTGCGCGACCTGTGAGTAAGACTGTATTGGTAGGTGAACACACCTGTGTCGTGTTCTCGTGTAGTGTGTCGTGCACATCTGTCTCACCCGTGTACACAGATACTGTGTGTTGTTATCGTTGTTGTGGGTACCAGCGAGCACTGACTGAATACTTTTTGTTACAATCTAGAAGGTTCCGTGAACTATGGGTCATCGGGTGAAGCTCGCCTGATGGATGCGGGATGTCGCTCTCCAAGGTTCGTGTCACAGTCTCGTCCATGGCGTCTGGGAAACGTCTGCCTCACGTCTGCTTCATGTCTTGCTCCAACCTCTTGTTTTCATCTGACGTAAATTGGTCAACGAGTTGTACGTTTTGCTGCACATTGGCAATATGTTGTATATTGGCCAATATGTTGTACATTGGCAAATTTACTGCACATTGACCAATATATTGCACATTGGCCAAGTTACTGCACATTGACCAATATGTTGCACATTGGCCAATTTTCTGCACATTGGCCAATTTACTGCACATTGGCCAATTTACTGCACATTGGCCAATTTACTGTATGTTGGCCAATTTGTTGTACATTGGCCAATTTATTGCACATTGGCCAATTTACTGCACATTGGCCAATTTACTGCACATTGACCAATATGTTGTACATTGGCCAATTTACTGCACATTGGCCAATTTACTGCACATTGGCCAATATGTTGCACATTGGCCAATTTACTGCACATTGGCCAATTTACTGTATGTTGGCCAATTTGTTGTACATTGGCCAATTTACTGCACATTGGCCAATTTACTGTATGTTGGCCAATTTGTTGTACAATGACCAATTCATTACACATAGGTTTAGATCTTTATCTTAGCCTAACATTTTCTATGACAATATATTTCAAGAGATCCATGCAACACTAGATTGAGCAAATAATTTGTATGTTTTTTAAAAACAAAATTCAGCTGTGTAAATGAAGTTTTCTCCAGATACCAATACACTTGTGACAACCTCACTGCCATAAAGTAGTACTAGTACAGTGCTAGTCACTACATAAGTTATGCTACCAAAACTCAAACAGTATTTCTAAGTGAAACTTGAATCATAGCACTGTAGTTTTAAGATTGGGAACTGTCAATATCAGGTGACATTAATATATGAGAAGAGGTGATCTCTGCAAGTAAAATGGTAGTGGCACTGGCCTCACACACCATAAAAAGATACTAAGTAAATGACTAGATGCTTAAGATAGTAGTTATCTCCCATTTTCTTGTATTTAATTAAAAATACATTTTAATGGCTAATTTTCCACTGATTTGAATTTCTTTCAAATGTGTGTGAAATATATTATTAACAATTTTTTCCTTTAATCCTAATTAGGATGTTGAGTCCAAGAAAAAACACACGGTGAAGTCTGGACCTAAACACCACATCAACAGTCATACTAAAGGGGAAGTAACCTATGAGGGGGATGGTAGTGAATTCTTTCTATAGATTTTTAAATGACAACTTTGTTAAAATTTTATGTCATCTTATTCATTTTATGACAAAGCAATGTAACAGGAAAATGAATTGCTGTTGTTTAGAGTGGCAAAGAAAGATTGTCTTAATTAATGATTGGTGGACTGATGATGTGTTGATAGAAAAGTCCTGTTATCAAATATAGGGCAGGATTGTGATTTCCCAAAATCTGTTGCTCCAAAAAGTTTAATCAGATCCATCTGTAAGTTGCTAGAGTTTATTCATTAAGTGCTTGTCAAGGTGTTCTTTTGTAGAATTGTAACGCACACATTGTAACTCTTTGTGTTGTCTGGGCAGATTTTTTAAGGTGCCACTTTAGTGCCACTTTGGCTACCAAATACTGTTTTCTTCAAGTTGGGAAAACCCTCACATTGTTTACTGGCTAGAAAAAAAATTATTCTGGCCAGGGTAAATCTGTCAATCTAATTAGCTTGTAATTGGATTAGGCATCATCTCTGATCCTGCTCAAAGACCACCAATTCATATTTCTGTTGAAGTAAGCATTCCATGACAGGTAGTTATGTTAAATGTGACGCAACATTTGTGATCCTATTCTGGATTTGTTGTGCCTTCCATTAGGTCAGCTGCACAGTGAGGTCCACCTAGAAGAGCCAGCCATGCGTGGAATGAGAGAGCTAGTGGACGTTTGCCAGCAGCTTGGTGTTGGAGCTTCTGGAGCTCTCACCCAAGCAGAGTTTAAAAAAGTTTTTGCTTATATTGGCATGGGCAACATCAGAGACAGAGTAAGTCAATGCTCAGTGTATAGCCTTCATGTTGTCTTGGATGAATGTGTTTAATGTTAATTCTGTTACTTTTTGTTAAAAAGTTTCTGTTACATTTATCTTTACAATTTTTAAATATTAAAGTAAAATTAAGTTCTCCTTCTAGACCTAACAATCCATAGGGCAGATAAAGTAGAGTTATTCTGTTTCTTGACCATAGTATATGGGATAGTGGTCAGCACTATGCCCAGCCGCCTTTACTTCCCCTGGGCAGACTCAGGGACATCTTATAGTCCTTGATTTGAACTCATGACTTTTGGGTTAGCAATCAAGCCCTCAACCAGCCCGCCACCAGTTTTTAATTATAATCCCCATTAATAGATGAACATATCTCTGTATTTTAGGAACTGTCCGACCTGTTCACAAAGCTGGACACTAACAAAGATGGCTATGTTTCCCTGTCTGAACTGGTCAGTGGCCTGCCCAAAAATGCAGTGCTCCATTCTCCCAGGCCCAGCAGCAGCTCTGTGCCCAGAACCCCACGGGCACCTCGCCCCAGTTCTCACCCCAGGGCTCAGGGGGAGGACATCAGCCCACCCAGCTTGATACACTTTTCTAGTGAGGATACTAAGGGAATTTTTTCGGCCTTAGACTCCAACAATGGAGGGTAAGTTCAAGTATGTATTACAACATCAGATGCTGAGATTTTGTATTCCCCTCGAATAACAAATGCTGATGTGATTTTGTATTTCCCTAGAATAACAAATGCTGATGTGGTTTTGTATTTCCCTAGAATAACAAATGCTGATGATGTGATTGACTTGTGGGAGAGCTTAGGTGTGACTAATGGGCCCATGGTGTTGTCTGTAAGTCATTTTCTAGTTAGGATTTCAGATACTTGATTTTACTTGTGAAGATTTAGGGCACTAAACTTATAAACATCTTACTTCAGACGCTCGGCTTTGATCCCAAAGGCCATATTAAATTAAGTGACCTGACAACAGTATTACACCATGAGCTGACCAACCCTGAAGCCCAAGACTGGATCAAGCATGTAGCTCTGGTCTCTTATCAACAGGAAGTCCAGCATCTCAAGTAAGTTGCTGGTAGTCTCTAGCAGTTTAAAATCTCTATTCAAGTACAAAACATTCTGCTTACATGTATACTTACTATGACATTCCTTGTTTGATGGGGAACAGAGGCGTAGCGACCCTTCCCGCCGCCTGGGGACAAACTTTTCGATTCGCATACCCCCTCAAACTTTCAATTTGCACCCCCCTCCCTTGAGATTTCAATTTGCACCCCCCCCCCCCCCTCAAACTTTCGATTTGCACCCCTCAACCTTTCAATTTATTTTTCCATTCCATTTTGACGCCCCCTAAGGTCGGCGCCCGGGGACATATGTCGTCCCCCCCCCCCTTCGCTACGCTACTGATGGGGAAATAGTGGAAGATTTATAGAACTGTTATCTAGAACAGATTAAGAACTTTTGAGAAAATTTATTCTCCTAATCAGGTCAGCACTTGAGCAAGAAAGAGAAGAAAATAAAAAACTTCATCTAGATTTGTCAGAGTCAAACGCTCGCAACTCAATGTTGGCCAGAGAAGTGGATGAAAGACAGATACATTTAGATAAGTCGTGGGAGTCTAGAATGATGTAAGCCTGCTACTGCTATTCTTTTATTTGTCATTCACTTTTTACATGATTAACTAGACTAGAGATTTATAAAGGAAAATGGCAAATGAAAAAAAAAGTCATTTAAAAGAAAATGTCATTGAATGTTTTTATATTACTTGAAGTGACACCCTAGGAAATATCAAAGACACTTACTGGTGAGTCATAGATGGTGGGGGAGGCTACCCTGTTTTGTTTTTGTTTTGTTCTCTTCAAACCTAACATAAAAGAAAAACTGGCTATGATTGTAAATATTATTTTAAGCTTATTTATAGTAGTTTTATTTCAGCTACAAAAAAATCTCTTTAACAATCTATTTTTAAATGTGGCAGTGAGAGGATGGCTTTATTTTGTCTAGAGAGAACATTGAGATGTGACACCATCAAGAACATTCTCAACACATTCAACAGAAACTGTCACTGCCTGACTTGAAATTTCAATCACACTCTCAAACTCACACCCACACCACATTTCAGTCATAAACAATACCCTATATGTTAGCACCTTTTAGTATTGTTCTACCCTTTTATTTATTTTTTACTGTACTGCATATTGTTTTTGTAATTAACAGATTTCCGCTTAGATTTTTTAATATTTTTACAATGTCTACAAATAAGTTTTTCTCTCTTATTGAATGTAAAAATAGTAATTCCTGATTTGAGTTGCTAACTGGTAAAGTACCTAAGTCGCAACAATATTCAATTAAATGTTTTGATTATTTCCCTTACACTTTGGGTATTCTGGAGAAAGTTTTCTGTCTAGTGAGGTCAAAGTATGGGCGATTTGTCAATTTTGTATTTATTTTTGCCAGTTTTATTATTTCTAGCTATTTATTTAGCTATCATTAGAAACACATTTGGGGATCATGTTAATATTTTAGTGACACTTGTGTTTTTTTATCTCCCATTCTGTAAACCACAAATATAAGCTGGAGCCACAGTAGAACATTTTAAACCAGCAAATATGTTGAACCATGTTTACACACTAGTGAGATATAATGAATTTTCACTCACTAATCACAAAAACTTACATCTGCTTATGTAACTTTGGATATTATTTTAAAAATCTTGAAAAAGTATTTAAAAAGCTACTTCTTCTGATCTGATAGTCAATAGAGCAGATAAAGTCGGGTCCACCTTTATTTGACATCTTGATATGAAGGGATCTTGTGGTCAGTTATATGCCCATTCACCTTTACTTTCCCTAATGAATTATTTGAAACATGTACTCATCAGAGCTGGGTGGGACTAAGTATAAAGTTAAGCCAATAGAACCTAAAGCTGTGTTTGTGTCATTTAGGACAGTAGAAAAAAAGTACAAGTGAAGGCCATACAAGCAGAGCTGGGTGGGACTGAGTATAAAGTTAAGCCAATAGAACCTAAAACTGTGTTTGTGTCATTTAGGACAGTAGAAAAAAAGTACCAGGACCAGGTGAAGGCCATACAAGCAGAGCTGGACAATGAGAGGAGGAGCTGTGCTGCCCAGGTGTCCCGCCTCAAGTCACAGCTGGACGACATCCAGAACAGGTCCAACAAAGATGAGCAGATCATCTCAGAGAGGTTGTCACAGGATCAGAAGGTGGGCGGGGCTTATGCTACCATTAATCTTGTATTGGTTTCTGCTAAATTTGTCTGATTTGTCACATGATCAGTAGGTGGGGTGGGGGCTTATGCTACGATCGATCTTGTAATTATTTCTACAAAATGTGACTGATTTGTTACATAATCAAGAAGGTTGGGCGGGGCGTATTCTACTATTGATCTAGTGATATGTGCTGAATTTGTCTGATTGCAAAAAATTATGTATGTAATCAGGAAATAGCAAGACTGGAGAGAGAGCTAGTGGAAGCCTGCAATAAAGTCAATGTTCTCATGAAGCAAAATGATAACTTGAAGCAAGACATTCGCCAAAAGGTCAGATATTTTAAAATTCTTAAAACAGCTCTATAAAGCTGAGTATATAAGTAAGACAGAAATAGCTACATATCAAACAACACGGGTAGTAAATTAACTTTGGCTGGTCAGGCTTGTTAGTCACCAGTTATCTATAGAAAGTGGTGGGGTCATGCTGTAACGCTTCTGATTATTAACCCAAAAGTCTTCACTTTTGTAAAACATCCCTGTCTACCCAGCTCTGATGGGTACCTGACCCAGGGAAATTAATGCTGCTGGGCATAGTGCTGACCACACTATCCCATCATAAGGTCAGAGAAACAAATGAACTCTGCTTGATTAGGCCATCAAGATCTGAAAGGGCACTTTAATTTTTTAGTCAGAAAAGTCACAGCTCTGTTTGAGAATTTAAAAAAAAAATTTTGTTACTTCAGCTTCATCCAGTCAGTGACTCACCTGAGGTCAACTCACAGAAACAGGAACTGCTGGAACTAAGGCAGCAACTGGCCATCAAACAGGCAGAAATTATGGTATTTTTTTTTACTGGTTGAACTAATCTTCCGTCACATTTTTTGTTTTTGCCTTGACAGAGTGTTCAATAGACTATCTGGTCTCTAGCTAGAAGATATTCTTTTGGACTTGAGTAAAAGATCAAATTTAAACGAATCAGTTAATATGACGGTCATAAATAACTGATAAACATTTTTTACATTGCACAGAGGCTGAAAGATGAGAATGATGAACTGATGCTTCAACTTGAAGACACAGCACAAAAACTACAAGCTGCCATCAAACGCCAGGACACTGTTATTGGGTGGGTAAACTTTCAATCTTCATTCATTAATATATTTGTTGGTACACTTTCAATCTTCATTCATTAATATATTTGTTGGTACACTTTCAACCTTGAATCATCATTCCAAAGTAGAAGATGGTACATTGTAAGCTTAAAATTACATCACTTCCTTTTTTTCTGTTTTGACTTTTTCTCTAAACAACTACTGCCCTTCGCCCTGTTACTTCTTAATATCTCACCTCAACATTCTTCATGTGTTTTCCCAAAATCCATTTTTTCTGACTCCACTTAAACAATGTGTATGAACTCAAGAGTAATTAATGTTTTACAGCCCAACATCTGAAGCTGTAGCCCAGTCTAGTTTTCCTCTACTGCATGGAGAAGGTAAAACTGCTTGCTGACTTACAGAACACTTAACCTCCATTGAAATAGTTCAGTCTTCATACAATTTGATATTGTTTTATTCCCATCATTCCATTTTATTTTTCTAGAGACCAGAGCCACCACTTTGAAGAAGGAGCTTCAGCAAGGTGAAATGGAGGCCAGGTTTGACAGAGAGAAGAGAGACATGGAGCTCAGGTTCAGGGCAGAGTTGTCTAACTTACAGGACAAGCACAACAATGACACAAAAATCTTAGTGGAGAACTTTCAAAAAGAAAAGGTAAAATCATTTGTTGTTTGCTTCTTTCGCATAGTTACACAAGGAAAAGCAGTGTGTAATTGCAAATTAAAGGTGGTATATTGTCATTCCTAAGCAATAATTTTTATTTGTAGAATCAATCACTTATGCTGATATTGTAATACTGTTAGAGGTTATGTTTTTCTTAGCTGATGGCATCATATTAATGAATGTTTTTTATCTTTAGGAACAGCTTGTGAAAGAGTTGACAGCAGACAAGAACTCAGCTCTGGTGCAACAGTACAATGATTTACAATCTACAAGGGACAAGCAAGAGTATCAGCAAGATACAAATGTTCAGAAAAATGAGCAGGGAGTTAAATCTAGAAAAGAGGGGTAAGCTATTTATAATCATTGAATCAAACTACATTTAGGGACTAATGACAAATTTAATTTTGTAGACATAAAAAATCTAGTTGACTTCTTCATTATTAATACAATTTTGAATGACGATGTGATTTAAAGTGTAATGTTTGATATGTCCAGCACCAATCTGCTGATGGCTGACCCTAACAATGACCACGTGATAGATGTTGTACACAAACTAGAATCCCAGCTTGCCAGGTGTCACCATGACCTACGTCTTCTGGAAAACCAGAAATCCAATTTTGAGCTGCAGCTAAAAGAACAAGAAGAGGCCTTGAGACGGGAGTTTGAGCAGGAAAAAGAAGTTCTGGCTCTCCACTTCTCTAGGGAGTTGGACCAGTGTCAGATGCAGCACAGCCTACAGTTGCAACACATTTTTGACACTGTAGGTGTTTTCTTACCCTGTTGGTGCTAATGTTTTAAGCTTTAGTGCTGTTGGAACTGTTTTATTTATTCCATTTAGCCCAAATTCCTTGACTGCTAGCCTTTAGTTTGGATCTTAGTACAGACCAATGACTGTAGGATGTCCCTGAGTCCACCCAGCCCTGATGGTTACCTGTAAAGGCAGTTGGGCATAATTCTGACCACACCATCCCTTTATATTTGCATGGTCAGGAAATATTTGGACTACTTCATCTGCCCTATGGCTTGGTGGTTCTGAAAGGGGAACTAGTTTCATAATGAACCCAACTTTTATATTTTGATAAAATATTGAGAGAAGTAAATTAATTAATTATAATTTAAATGTCCTGTAGGGTTATGAAGGCTTGACTGGCAAACTGAGGGATGATTTTCTCTTGCTGGTTGAAAGATACACAGGAGATGAAGTCGGGAGGTCACAGGCTGCAATTTTAGCTCAACTTCAAAAAGATCGCAACAGGGTGGTAGCCGCTTTAGAAAAGGAAAGACAACTATTGCGTAAGTAAAACAGTTTCTTTTCTAAACAAGGGCACAGTGATTTTTCTCCCTCCAAACATGAAGGCAAGCACAAACAAATACACTATCAGATATACATACATACATGCCAGCAAATAAAATCACATGCACAATTTTTCTTAAATCAATAAAGAAATTAATTTTTCAGGTGAAGAAATGGAGTTTGAAAAGCTAGAACTTATAGAAAGGTATGAAGTAAAAATAGTTTCTTTAAAAGAAGAGCTAAACCAAACTCGTGCCAGGATGGAGAAAGAGAAGAAAATCATCACAGAAATGTCACTGAGAAGCTACAACGCTAAACAGCAGAGGTTGTCCCAAGATGTGCAAAAGATGAAAACAGAGATTGAGGTAAATCTAAGATAGAAAGTGGGCTGATCTAAGATAAAAAGTGGGCTGATCTAAGATAGAGAGTGGGCTAGAATGGGCCTTTCTAAGATATAGAATGGGCTGATGTAAGTAACAGAGTGGGCTGATGTAAATAACAGAGTGGGCTGATGTGAATAACAGAGTGGGCTGATGTAAATAACAGAGTGGGCTGATGTAAATAACAGAATGGGCTGATGTAAATAACAGAATAGGCTGATATAAGTAGAAAGTGGTATGATCACTGAGTGTCTCCACACAGGATGACCTGACATATGAGTTAGAACAAATCAAAGAAAGTTTTGAAATTGAGAAAGCAAGCCTAAAGAAACAGATTGAGTTACTGGAAGAAAAATTGATGGTTTTGAAAGAATCACAGAAAAAGAAATCTTTTGAGATAGAAGCTCTAAAGGTACATTGTATTTTTTTTCTTGACATTGATTTAATTACCTAGCTTGCATAATGACTGAAATCATTTGATCATCATTTAATCTCCATACCTAGGACACATGATTCTGCCCTCTGCTGGTATTGGGCCACTTTATTGGCAGTTCACCTAGAAAATCCAGTTCTTGCTAGTTGCTTTTGAGCTGTATGTCTCCATGTTTGTATAGACCTTTCCTTTGCCCTTGTGGTCTCCAACTAGCTGGGATTTTATCTGGCTTTGTCCTCAATACATGAGCCAACAATGCATTGTTCTTTTTTCAGTCCCTTCTAAAATGGCTTCCATTTACATTTCTCCAAGTAATTGTTCATTTGAGATAATTTTAGGCCAGTGGATGCCATTTATCTGTTACATGAGTCATTGGCAAAGAAATAAATTAAGTCTGTATAGGTTTTCTGGCATGTTTTTTAACAATGTTACATTATCAGCCAAATTTGGGTCTTCTCTGGCTACCAAATGTTTAATCTGCTACTATATTACTTGCTCTGGTATTGCTACCTTTTGTAATAATGCATTACTGAACATATATCTGACAGACTGTAAAGTGCATTTGGAAACATTAATCACTCATCAGTTGGTTGTGAAAGCATAGACATTTCAGTTAACATTTAGTTTTGTTATTTTTGTCTCTGCTAAACTTATTTAGACAACTTTTGTCTTTGTGCAGGGAGATAGGGAACAACTGAACTTATTTAGACAACTTTTGTCTTTGTGCAGGGGGATAGGGAACAACTGAACTTATTTAGACAACTTTTGTCTTTGTGCTGGGGGATAGGGAACAACTGAACTTATTTAGACAACTTTTGTCTTTGTGCAGGGGGATAGGGGACAACTGAACTTATTTAGACAACTTTTGTCTTTGTGCAGGGGGATAGGGGACAACTGAACTTATTTAGACAACTTTTGTCCTTGTGCAGGGGGATAGGGAACAACTAAACTTATTTAGACAACTTTTGTCTTTGTGCAGGGGAATAGGGAACAACTAAACTTATTTAGACAACTTTTGTCTTTGTGCTGGGGGATAGGGAACAACTGAACTTATTTAGACAACTTTTGTCTTTGTGCAGGGAGATAGGGAACAACTGGAGAAAGAAAAGCTGGAGCTTAAAGCAGCCATTGAGGCCATGAAAGTGAACTTGTTGAAAGTCTACCAGCAGAAAGGCCTGGAGAACGTCAACTTCGAGGTGCGCATGCTGCATAAAAGAGAAAAAGAATGCCAGGATGCCAAGGAAGAGGGTTTTCTTATTGGAAAGGATGAAGGATTATCAGAGGTGACTTAGTGCTGGCTTGGTGTATGTCTTGCTTTAACTAATCCTGTTGTAGAGCTAGGTTTAGGGCTTGGTGACTTAGTGTGGGCTTGGTGACTTAGTGTGGGCTTGGTGTGTATCCATTAGATCCTGTAGTAGCCTACAGCTAGATCCCAAGTTTGGTGACTTAGTGTGGGCTTGGTGACTTAGTGTGGGCTTGGTGTGTATCCATTAGATCCTGTAGTAGCCTACAGCTAGATCCCAAGTTTGGTGACTTAGTGTGGACTTGGTGACTTAGTGTGGGCTTGGTGACTTAGTGTGGGCTTGGTGTGTATCCATTAGATCCTGTAGTAGCCTACAGCTAGATCCCAAGTTTGGTGACTTAGTGTGGGCTTGGTGACTTAGTGTGGGCTTGGTGTGTATCCATTAGATCCTGTAGTAGCCTACAGCTATATCCCAAGTTTGGTGACTTAGTGTGGGCTTGGTGACTTAGTGTGGGCTTGGTGTGTATCCATTAGATCTTGTAGTAGCCTACAGCTATATCCCAAGTTTGGTGACTTAGTGTGGACTTGGTGACTTAGTGTGGGCTTGGTGTGTATCCATTAGATCCTGTAGTAGAGCTAGGTCCCAAGCTTGGTGACTTAGCTTTGGCTTGTATAATATTGCTGTTAGTGTTATATTATGAAAAAGTTGCCAATAAATTTAATATTCATACCTGCACACACTAAGCAGTGTTTCTTCCAGGCATCTTTTCGGGGGGGGGAGTAATCTACACACACACACACCCCAAACGAAATGGAATTTATATAGAATATATACGTTTAACAGAATCCTCACCCCTCAGTTTACTCACATTCCACCGTAAATTCATGACCAGATCTAGTATCTTACTGCAATATATGTTTTCATATAAAAGTATTCAGTCTGGCTGTAATGTTTTACATCTTTTACTTGCTAATTAAAATGTCAGTGAGAAAGCAAAAGTTCAGTAAAGAAGTTACAAATTTTCTGTTGACTTTAGGGCAGGAAGCTGGGATATGAAGAGGGCTACAAGCAGGGACATAACTCTGGGCACAAGCAAGGATATTCACTGGGCATTAAGGAAGGTTATGACAAGGGCTACAGTCAAGGAAAGAAAGCTGGACTGGAGGAAGGAAAGAGTGGAGGGGGAGAGGAAGGGAGAGCTGCTGTCCAGGAGGAAGAGGTCAAAAAAGAAATTAAAGGTGACCTAAAAAGTTTCAAGAGGGAAATAAAAGTAGGTCATGAAGAGGGACACCAGCTGGTCAATACACATGCACATGATGACACGGGTGAGGGAAATCTGAAGGGCAAAGGGCAAGGTTATACTGAAGAAAAGAAACATGGACTGGATGAAGGCTTTAAACAAGATAAGAAACATGGACTGGAAGAAGGCTTTAAACAAGATAAGAAACATGGACTGGAAGAAGGCTTTAGACAAGATAAGAAACATGGACTGGAAGAAGGCTTTAAACAAGATAAGAAACATGTACTGGAAGAAGGCTTTAAACAAGATAAGAAACATGGACTGGAAGAAGGCTCTATTGAAGATAAGAAACATGGACTGGATGACTATACAGAAGATAAGAAACATGGACTGGAAGAAGGCTATACAGAAGGAAAGAAACATGGACTGGAAGAAGGCTATACAGAAGGAAAGAAAGATGGACTGGAGGAAGGTTATACAGAAGGAAAGAAACATGGACTGGAGGAAGGCCACAAAGAAGGAAAGAAACATGGATTGGATGAAGGTTACAACTTAGGTAAAGATGATGGAACTAAAACAGGATATGAAGAGGGTTACAATTTAGGTAAAGTAGATGGATTTGATGATGGATATAGCAAGGGGAAAACAGATGGACTGGAAGAAGGCTTTTTGAAAGGGAAGAAAGATGGCCATGATGAGGGCTATAGTGAAGGCAAAAAAGACAGGTATAAACAAGAATACAATGAAGGGAAAAAAGTTGGCTTTGATGAAGGTTATACTAAAGGCAAGATGGATGGCCATGCTGAAGGTTATGAAAAGGGCAAATTGGATGGCCATGATGCAGGTTATGAAAAGGGCAAATCTGATGGCCGTGATGAAGGTTATGAAAAGGGCAAATTGGATGGCCATGATGAGGGTTTTGAAAAGGGCAAATCTGATGGCCATGCTGAAGGTTATGAAAAGGGCAAATTGGATGGCCATGATGAGGGTTTTGAAAAGGGCAAATCTGATGGCCATGCTGAAGGTTATGAAAAGGGCAAATTGGATGGCCATGATGAGGGTTTTGAAAAGGGCAAATTGGATGGCCATGATGAGGGTTTTGAAAAGGGCAAACTGGATGGTTATGATGAAGGTTATGAGGTTGGAAAGAATGAAGGTTTTGATGAAGGCTATGTAAAGGGCAAATCAGATGGCCATGATGAAGGAAAAACAGGTGGATATGAAGAAGGCTACATTGATGGGAAGAAAGATTCTTATGAAGTTGGCAAGATTGAGGGCTATACTCAAGGAGAAATTGATGGTAGAAATAAAGGGTTTGTGGATGGTAAAAATGATGGCTTGAAAGAAGGATATAGCCTAGGAGAGCAAGAAGGGCAAATTGAAGGGTTTAAGGAAGGGAAAAGGGAAGGCTACCAAGAAGGCTACAGTGAAGGTAATAAAGATGGCTACGAAGAAGCCTACAATCTTGGCAAAAATGATGGACGCAGTGAAGCACATGAACAAGGTAAAGCTGATAAAGAAACAATGTTCAATGATGCTTATAATAAGGGGTTTACTGAAGGAAAGGAAGAAGGCTTTGATGAAGGAAAGAAAGAAGGCTTTGATGAAGGAAAGAATGAAGGGTATGAAGAAGGGTATGAAGAAGGAAAGAAAGATGGATTTGATGAAGGAATGAAAGAAGGTTTTGATGAAGGAATGAAGGAAGGGTATGAAGAAGGAAAGAAAGATGGATTTGATGAAGGAATGAAGGAAGGGTATGAAGAAGGAAAGAAAGATGGATTTGATGAAGGAATGAAAGAAGGTTTTGATGAAGGAAAGAAAGAAGGCTTTGATGAAGGAATTAAGAAAGGCTTTGATGAAGGAAAGAAAGAAGGCATTGAAGAAGGCATTAAGAAAGGCTTTAATGAAGGAAAGAAAGAAGGCTTTGATGAAGGAAAGAAAGAAGGCTTTGATGAAGGAAAGAAAGGCTTTGATGAAGGAAAGAAAGAAGGCTTTGATGAAGGAAAGAAAGAAGGATTTGATGAAGGAATTAAGAAAGGCTTTGATGAAGGAAAGAAAGAAGGCTTTGATGAAGGAAAGAAAGAAGGTTTTGATGAAGGAAAAAAGGAAGGGTATGATGAAGGAAAGAAAGAAGGCTTTGATGAAGGAATTAAGAAAGGCTTTGATGAAGGAAAGAAAGAAGGCTTTGATGAAGGGTATAAAAATGGAATAAATAATGGACATAAAAATGGAGAAAAGGAAGGTTATGAAAATGGAAGTAAAAAGGGTTTTGATGAAGGAAAGAAAGAGGGGTATGAAAATGGATTGGAAGAGGGATTTGAAAATGGAAAGAAACAAGGCTATGAAATAGGATTGAAGGAAGGATACAATAATGGAAAGAAGGAAGGATACGAAGAGGGACATGAAAATGGATTGAAGGATGGAGTTGAAAGAGGTATGAAGGGGGGATATGATGAAGGATATAAAATTGGAATGAATGATGGACAAGAAAAAGGAAGGATGGAAGGATATGAAAATGGAAAAAATGATGGCTTTGTTGAAGGGTATACTAAAGGAGAAAAGGAAGGATCGGCAGAGAGGCATGAAGATGGAATGAAAGATTTACATGAAAAGAAAAAGATTTCTTATGATGAAGGATATGAAAATGGACAAAAAGATGGATATGAAAAAGGTCAAAAAGATGGTCTTGATGAAGGACAAAAAGATGGATATGAAAACGGACAAAGAGATGGATATGAAAAAGGACAAAAAGATGGATATGAAAAAGGACAAAAAGATGGATATGAAAAAGGACAAAAAGATGGTCTTGAAGAGGGATACAATAAAGGAAAGAAAGATGCTTTAAATGAAAATATTAAATTCAACGAACACTTACAAGTAAGGAAACTACTAAAGCAATATTACTTTCTTTGTTTAGTAAAAGAGTTGGTCACAAAATAGTGTAAGAGATTTTATAAGCCACCAACAATTTTTACTAAGCAAAGGAAGTTTTTCTCTGATTTTCTCATTTTTAGTGCATTTAAAAGCTTGATACTAGAAAGTTTTTATATTTGTTTCTTTTCTACTTTTTAGTTATTAAGAATTTTAAAATTAAAATAGTAAGTCAGCCTTTAAGCTTTTAAAAAAAAATTAGTACAATATTTATTCTTCCATTATGTTCATTTATAATAAGTCAACCCCGACCCCTCCTAAAAATATGTGTTTTTAAACTGGATAGCTTGAAATCTTAACTCTAAATGACAATTATCTGCCCTTTATTACAATTAATGGTCAGTTCTCTGGTGTGGTCAGTTCTCTGAACCCATTACATAACTCACCTAGCTTGTAGAGCAATTGCTAGTACTTTATCCCATCATTTCCCTATAGTTATTGATTATAGTCATTTTAAAATTAATTCACTAATCACTTGGGTAATGTGTAATTACTTTGAAAATTAGGTACTCTTATGTTGTCATTAAAATGGAATTTATCTGGAAAGTTAGAATGTAATAACTATTCAACTGAGTTACAAGATTAGGCCACAAACCTACAAACTCTGTGAGCTAAGAAAAAGCTTGTAAAATAGTGGCTTATTAAACGGCGTTTCTCTATTAGTAAGAGCTGTATGTTTTTAATATCTTGCATTTAAGTTACAACTCATCACACAAGGTAGATAAACAAGAGCAACTCATTTATTAAACAACAAATGATATCAAACCAGCAAGTAATGATTTAACAAAGAAGTTTATGCATTATGTCTTGTTTGTGTTACATAATAAATAGTGTTTTAAAATGTAGAATGAGCTCAAAGCGCTGGAGCATGAAAAGTTTGTGCTTGAAGGCAGACTGCGACAAGAGAAGGAAAAATCCAACAAAATTAGTCAGGAAACAGAGGATCAGGAAAAACTCAAGGTAGCATTCTCCATAGGGTCCTTGGTTTTTACAATATTAGGTTCATTTCAATAAACACTATAAGATTTTTATAAAAATCTAAAAACACTTGAAATAAAATGTAATTAAAAAAACAGAATCTAGGCATATGTATTTGCATTTAACTACTAAATATTATTCTCTATACATTATCCCTTCATATTTCCGGGTCAAACAAACAAATGAACTCATCTTACTCATGGACTGCCAGGTTCAAAAGGGTAACATGACCTAGTAATCATTGCAAATACTGAGAGATTAACATTATTACAGACATCCCTGTACCTCATGATGGGAGAAAAACATGCCTTGGAGGCCAAGAACCAGGAGCTGAACAAAGCCTTGGTTGAGCAGCACAAGGCTGAGCAGCAGAAGCTGGTAGAAAAAATCCAGGAACTTGAGGCCCAGAAGGCTGTAGCTCAGTCAGACAAGAAGGCTGTGGAGGAGCACATGGAGGCTGTACACCAGGAGATTGAGCTGGCCAAGCAGGAAATCAATGAGGAGATGTACCAGAGTCTTGGCAGGAACCTGGTCAGTTGGCATTCAAATCTGATGCTACATTATTATTTCCCCACATTAACACCAGCAAATAATTTGTTACTTATTGATTTTTTAATGCCAGAGGGGGGAAAAAGATTTTAATTGCTCTAATACTTTTTGATCCCATTAGGAGTCTGGTATTGATTTATCTAATGGACAAAGTGCCCTTGAACAGCAAATTCTGCTGCTAAATCACCAATTACAGGAAGCGCAAAAAGCACAGAATGACCTTGAACTTCTTAAAGTAACTTTAATTTTTTACTGAATATATAGATTTACTACAGTATTTGATACAGTAGTTGTCATTTGATTTGTTTCATTAACAACTTTTTCATTGCTATTTTGTGTTATATTTTTTTTACCTTTTGGTGTCTGAATTTCTTGTTATTCGTCGCTACTATTCCATGATAATCTAATTCCAGAATGATGTTGACATTATGTCTGAAGAAAAGAAAGAATTAGAGGCAGTAGTTAAAAAATTAAAAAGTAAAATCTTAAAAGACGAGCAAGCAAAGTTCAAATCACAAAAGGTAAATTATTTATTTATATGCCAGCTTCCAAACACGCTCGACAATAAACCACAATCAGGTCAATGAAAAGTTGTAAAAGCTGTTTACAGCATTTATATATAAATTGTCTTTTATTTTTATGGTTTTATAGGAAAGATAACTAAACTTTGAATCTTTTTTTTAGGATGAAATCCAACATTTAAATGGTGAAAAACAGAAATTACAAGACCTTTTAGACAAAGCATCAAATGAGGTAATGGCAGGATAAAAGTCTTATTAATCACAATATAAAAATATCTTCTAAAACGTAATAAAGCAAGAAGAAAGGGAATATTGTTTTGTCTGGCTACTCAGATTATTATATTGACTTTATTTAGCCTGTCCTGATTTTTTTTCCCACCAGCTAATGAAAGCAAGCTCAGCTATGGCACTGAGCCAATCAAAATCAGTCAAAGAACTGGAGCAGTTGAAACAGAAAGCTCGCTCTATGGTTGACATTGAAAGGTACACTCAGTTACAGATCAGCTTGGTTCAACACCAGAGAGAGGCCTTGGGTTTACAGGATGCTATCAGAGAACATGAAAATCTAGTGGAGAAGATTATCAAAGGTAGCTTATCCATTTGTTAATTAGAGAACATGAAAATCTGGTGGAGAAGATTATCAAAGGTAGCTTATCCATTTGTTAATTAGAGAACATGAAAATCTAGTGGAGAAGATTATCAAAGGTAGCTTATCCATTTGTTAATTAGAGAACATGAAAATCTGGTGGAGAAGAGTATCAAAGGTAGCTTATCCATTTGTTAATTAGAGAACATGAAAATCTCTTTGTCCATTTGTCAATGTAACAACATGAATTCTCTGTTGTTGTGGGTTAGCTTTCATACAGGAACACGAGCAACAGTGGCAACTTCAAATGACAACTTTATTTACACTATGTACAGATAAATCCGTGGTACATCCATATTTGAAGATCAACTGATATAGGTACAAATAATAATCACGACTCCAAGTCATGGAGACATCTTACATTCACTGCCATCGTTCCAGTCCCAAGTCCTAGCACACAACACCCGTTCACCTTTTTCTCTCCCTTTTATTCACAACTTTCTCTCCCCTTACGTCAATGAGCGATCTCACCCAAAACACGGAAAAACACATGACGATCGCTCAGACAGTCCTTCCGCTAGCCAGGTACTCTTCATTCATGCAAAACACAATATAATAAAGATACATAATAATACAGTATGTGACACGTCCCCCCTTCGAATAAAATTTTGTGTAACAAAATTTATAAATACAATATTAGTAGGGCAGGATCATGTGCCAGACAACAAAATTTATAAATACAGTATTGGTAGGGCAGGATCATGTGCCAGACAACAAAAAATTGTGTACAATTCAAAGTAGAGTAAAATATATTCATTTTAGACTAAGCACTTGTAGTCATAAATTTATAGTGCATACAAATACAACAGTATGTAGTGACTATATCAGTGATAATTAAAATATGTCAGTGTTTTGAACAAAAACTTTAAATGTACAAGCATTATATGTAATATTTAATGCATCAATATACATTCACATAGGAGAAAAAAAACATTTCAATTACCCAGTAACTGTAGTATAAACAAGACAAATGAGTGTAATAAATTACCAAACCAGTCTGGTACATGACTTAATTACCAAAACATAATACATAGTTGAAATTATCAAAGACTTAATTCAACTCATAATTTAAATACTTATATCCTATGTGGTAAAAAAAAAAAAAAAAAAAAAAAACTTCCTTATCATCAAGGTATGTTATTACCACGCATGAGTAATATACTTTGTTGTCTCCCCTAGTCGACCCATTTCAGTCATATCTAGGTCACAACACAACAACATTCTTGCCTTTCACAGGTATTGACTAATACACAATTCATCATTGAGACTTCCGTCTTATTGTTATGCGGAATAAATAGTCTCTAACTTTTACTTGATTTACTTTATTCACTGTTAATTAATAGTATAGAATAGGTTTAACATAATACAGTTTACAATCTTTTGAAATAGTACACAATTTATGTTTACTCAAACACATTATTTGATATTTATATATTACAGTTACAGACTGTATAATATTAATAAACTGTCAATTGATAATTTAATCTTAGCATCCTTGTTTAACTCTATAGCATGAGTAATCGTTCTTGTGTAGTTGACGATGACCTGTATGCCATCTCTCCCTCAAATTGTAGCTTTTAGCTGTGCTACCATAATTATTTCCTAGATTTCGTGTAACCTGTGTTACTTCATTTGTTTTAATATTCTCCTCTGGTTTCTGAACAACGTCAGTAGTTATCTTGCTGTGTGTATGTTGGTTTGGTTCATCAACCAACTCAATATAAATATTATGGCATTGCTTTGGCCTTTCATAATACATCTTGCTTCGGTATCTTTCATTAGAACATGATATATTCTTTCTTAAATTACTATATTTCCCACATGACTTTCTTTGTACATAATTGTTTCTTCTCTGATTTGCCAACCTATGCCAACATTGATTTTGGTAATGACCTGTTTTTCCGCAGTAAAAACATCTAGATTTTGGCTTCTTATAAACATGGTGACTGTATTCATAGTTTGCTAAATTTCTTTTTCTTTCATTCTGTGCATTAATGACATTAATGACATTCTTATTAACATGTTGACTGTATTCATAGTTTGCTACATTTCTTTTACTTTCATTCTGTGCATTTTTATTAACATGGTGACCGTATTTATAGTTTGATACGTTTCTTTTACTGTCAGTTTGTAATTTATTGACATTGTAGTTTGTAGATATTTTTTCATCTTTCTTAACTTCCTTGTGCTTCTTTATTGATTCTAGTTCACACATAAATTTCTGGGTTAATTTCTCCATTTCTTTGTTAAATTTATTCTTGAGTTCTAGTATATCTTCTTTATAGTTTGACTCCAATTTTCGAAGTAAATCTTCAATAGGTACGTTCTCTTCATTGTGGCTTATTAAGTTCACTGATTCATTAATCATCATTAGTTTATCATGATTCCTGCCATTCTCCGATGGACTTATTAAATCATCACTGCCATTCACTGATGGGCTTATTAAATCATTTTGACTACCATTCTCTGATGGACTTGTTTCTTGTTGACTGCCATTCTCTGATGGACTTACGATACAACTTTCAATAATATTCTCGTGTTCCTGCTTTTGAGTCAATAAAGAGTCAATCTTAAGACATTCTAATGTGTCTGTCACCTTTAAATCATTATTAAGTTCAACCTCTGTTTTTTCCTTGGGTTTCAATTCTTCCTGGACTATGTTACTCTGTTCTTCATTCCAAAGGTTGCCAATATTTACTTCTTCAAGTTCTGCTTTAAATTCTGTCTGTTCACTTTCTAATTTTGGTTCATTTGTGTCTGTTATAGCTTTCATTTCTAATAGTTCTTGTTTATATGCTAGTTCATGTAGGCCAACTTGTTTTTCCATAGTTTCAGCCCTATTATCTGCTCTCTGTTTTCTGTTTCTTTTTTTCCGCTTTCCTTTTGGTTGTACAGTCTCTTCTACTTTATCTAATTCTGAAATGTCTTCTTCTTTATGCATGTCTGTAATAGCTCTTGATCTATTACACACTACATCTATCACATCATCTAGTTCTCTCAATACATTTCCATGAGCTCGTCGGGGTTGTTCTGGTACTTCGTCCCATGCTTCTTTTGCTTCTTCTATGTCTTTTTCAAGTCGATTGGTTGCCCAGGCTATCTGCTTATTCATCTTCTTAATGCCTTGCGCCCTCGCTAGTGCTAGATATTCTTCAAAACATGACATTTTGATATATTTTCTATGACATAAAATATAAATTCATTAAATTCATTAGTTAACAATAGATAAATTTTAATTAATTTACAATACCCTTTCTTGTATTCTGGCTTTGTTTTAGTTGATTACAGACATCTGGTAATCCAAGAAAAGTTCATAGTACATATATACGTCCAAAAATAGTTCACTTTGTTGATTCCAAAAAGTTGAAAAAATTCAAAATAGTTCTAGTAGCCTGTTACAGAGTAGAAATTTGTCCAGTTTTAGATAAGACATCTTTAGGAACAGTTTACAATTAATAAACTAGATCTGCTCATCCACAGTAGAAGAACTTGAACAGCTAATCCATATAGAAAAAACTTGAACAGCTAAATCCAAATAGAAAAAAAAACACAGACGATATTTACTCGACATTGGTGAGACAATATCGAAATAAGGTGATAAAAATTATCACGTTGATGACTTGACTTGAACAAAACGTCTGACTTGACTACAGCAACCCTTCTGACTTGAGTGTAGATAGATGACTTTCAAGAACTTGACGTACTTGGTAAACAGTGGAAGACCACAGACTGTAATATCTCCATTTCTGACATATGTAGCACCAATTCTTCAACCACTTGTGACATCATAAGTAACAGTAATACAATGTAGCAACATCACTTTATTGCCTCCACTTCTGACACCATATGTAACAACATGAATTCTCTGTTGTTGTGGGTTAGCTTTCATACAGGAACACGAGCAACAGTGGCAACTTCAAATGACAACTTTATTTACACTATGTACAGATAAATCCGTGGTACATCCATATTTGAAGATCAACTGATATAGGTACAAATAATAATCACGACTCCAAGTCATGGAGACATCTTACATTCACTGCCATCGTTCCAGTCCCAAGTCCTAGCACACAACACCCGTTCACCTTTTTCTCTCCCTTTTATTCACAACTTTCTCTCCCCTTACGTCAATGAGCGATCTCACCCAAAACACGGAAAAACACATGACGATCGCTCAGACAGTCCTTCCGCTAGCCAGGTACTCTTCATTCATGCAAAACACAATATAATAAAGATACATAATAATACAGTATGTGACAGTCAATATTGGCTAAAATTTGTTTAGTGTAACTGTTGAATATTTCAGAGGGAGAAAAAGAAGTCTTGGCAGTAACAGGCATCATGGAGGATAAGGTTAAGGAGCTGGAAAATGAATTACACCACAGTCAGGAACAATTTAAAAACCTAAATGACAAATATAACCAAATGGTGAGCTATTTAACTATTGGCTGGTTTTTTTTTTCAAAGCATATACTTTAACATGACACCTTGCAGGGACTACACCTCAGGGAATTGAGACTTTATTGAAGTGAGACTTTAGTGAAATGTGACTATCACAAAGTATGACTATTATGATGTGGGACTATCACAAAGTGTGACTATTATGATGTGAGACTATCACAAAGTGTGACTATTATGATGTGGGACTATCACAAAGTGTGACTATTATGATGTGGGACTATCACAAAGTGTGACTATTATGATGTGGGACTATCTCAAAGTGTGACTATTATGATGTGGTTCTATCTCAAAGTGTGACTATTATGATGTGAGACTATTATGTGAGGCAATATACAAAGTAAAATACTTACAAGGCACCATCCCACAGTGAAAAGTACTTTTAAGCAACTGGTTAACTTAGCATAATCCATTAACACCTACATTAGTTTACATACAACCCCAATCAGCTGTTGATTTTTCTACATGAACATAATTATTTGAACTCTTGGCATTCTTTAGTGTTCAACAAGCAAGCGCAGGAATCTAGTGCTGAAAGATTTGTACGTGGAGAATTCCAACCTGATGAAAAATTTAGCTTATAGTGAAGAGAGGAGACGATATGCAGAAAGAAATGAGAGGAAACTTTCAGAAAAATGTGATTCTTATAAGAGAACTTTAGAAAAACTACACCTAAGCCTAGCTAGATGAAGCTGACTGAAACAGACCTGTCCACTTGCATTTACTTGACTATTTTAAACACATTTATTTGCACTCAGATTTTTTATTAATTTTTTTTTCACCTCTTCAGTTATGTATTTATAAAAGAAATACATAAACTTTGAGATAAAATACACATGAAAATTGGCAACCAGTCCTTATATTGGTTGAAGTTTTGTTTCTGTATTTTTTCATTTTGTATAAACCTTAAAGTGTGAGCATGTACAAATGTATTTAACTAAATGATAAAGCAATTGAATGTACTTGTTATTTCCCCACATACAATTTATTGTTTTCTGAATACATTCCATATTTTATGTATTTCCTACCAAATATTTTTCTACCACTGTGATAACCCTATGTTCCCTTTTGTCTCATACAAATATTTTATTACAAATGTTATTGTTCAAATTAAAATGGTTTAACACTTGAAAGAGTTTAGCATTTTTTTTTATTCACATCAACTTTACCAGACTATTTTTTTTGGTTTAATATTACTATATATTAGCCTATCTAGTAAAAACAGTCCAGGAAGTGCTGTCATGGTCTGCAGGGGGGGGGGGGGGGGAGGGGGGAACCACCCTGTACAAAAAATTATGAAATTCTCATATGAGCTTGTTACTTCCCCTCCTGTCATCCATTTTGAGCGGTTTATTTCCCTTCCAGCCGTCAATTTTGAATTTCTTTCCATCCTGCCATCCATTTCGAACTTGTTACTTCTCCTTTTGTATTTAATTTTGTAACTGATCCTCCAACATATTGACTTAGTCATTAACATTAAATCCTTTACATATGTATATATGAAAGTATGTGGGTCTGACGTTTGTCTTTTAAGCTTAACTACAACAATCATGTCGCCATGAAACTTTGGAAAGTTGTTGAGAACACTCCTGGGAAGGTCTATGAGATGAGATTAAAAAAAAAAAAGAGGCGGCACTGAGTATATTATAAATAATTAATAATTAACTTCTTGAATGGGGAATTGATTTTGTTTTTCTTGCTCTACAAAACACTTATACGCATAGCTTAATTCATTATATAGGTTCCTCTAAATAATATCTCAAAATTCTGACCACACCATCTGGAGACGACGATGAAAATAACATAAGATCAAAATGTGTAGGGTACACGCCCCACACATTATGCTTATTTCATCAATAGCCTTATAAAATTAAAATTTGATTTCAAATCAAGGGCTTACTTCACAAGAATATAAAAAAAAAACGTATTCGTAAACCAACAGCAGTTCATTAACAAATAATGATGCCAAAGCGAGCTCAGCAAAGTGGCTCACATTTTAGAAATATAGATCGTGTGCAAAGACATTTTGTTTAAAGTGAGCACGGAAGTTATTCGTCATACATTACCTTCACGCAGTGGCGTAGCGAGGTCGGGTGTCACCCGGTGCGGCACTTAATGGTGTCACCCCCCCAGAGGCATAGAGACCCTTCCCAGGGACAAACTTTCAAGTTTTCGATTTGCACCCCCCCCTCAAACTTTCGATTTGCACCCCCCCCCTCGAGTTTTTCTCTATATATTTTGCTATTTTTTGCCTTGGTGTCACCCCCCTAAATGGTGTCACCCGGTGCGGTCCGCACCCCCCGCCCCCCCCCCACGCTACGCCCCTGCCTTCACGGCATTTTTGTTTTGATAATCTAACTACTACCAGCACATTGATGTTAGCCTAAATATACCCCCTTTCTCTCACACACACCTTCCATACGCGTCCAATTGTGTTGAATGAGTTGGCGTGGCTCTTTTATTAAAATTGCCGAAATATTTGTTTTTTTTACTCTTCCCATACATTATAAGCGAGATGTTTGTTTGTTGCCTCCTCCTCTCCTGTGTTTTCTTACCCCCCCCCCCTATCTATCTCCCTTCCCCCCCCCCCCCCAAAAAAAATAGGTGTTAGTTATTTCCATCCCCCATACAAAGTCTGTGTTTTTTACAAGCTTTAGTTTAACTTGCTTCCCCTGTCTGTCTGTCTTTCGTCATAGATCAAAACGGTCGAGCGAAATTTCGAGCATTTCTAACTGACCAATTCGTTTCAAACTTGGCATGTGTGTCAAGGCCCAATCTGACCTCAAATTCTTAATTTCTAGAAAAGTATTCAATACATATTATAGCGACCCACGCTTTTCTTTTTAAGTATTTAAAAAATAGTTTGATATTATATATATTAAAAAAATATTTTCTCCTTTTTAGAGCAAAATTATATAAAAACTTATTATTATTATTAATGTTTTTTTTTTAGATTTTTAAATGCATTTTTACAAGCGTTGTTAAAAGCTTTTATTTAACTTTGCTTCCCCTGTCTGTCTGACGTGCTTTTTGCCTGTCGTGCCTAGATTGAAACTGCCGAGTGAAATTTCGAGTACTTATATTCTACTGACCGATTCGTTTCAAACTTGGCCGTGGGTCAAGACCCGATAACTTTGCAATCTGATATCAAATTTGACTTGATTGGATGTCTAATTATTTTTTAAAGTTACTTATTAATATATAAAATGCTATTTTCCGCGCTGTTAAACGATCGGTTTTTTTTTCTATTCATCTGGTGCGATATTGTTTTTTTAGTCATGCAACTGTATAGAAGACGAATGCAGTACGTCCACTTTTTTTAAATCGATGTACATTTCTACTTATATTGTCAATAATACATGCTACAAGAACACCCAAGTACAATGTCAGACAAGTAGAATGCAAATATTTTATGAATGTTTAAACATATTTTAATGTTGAAATGAGATTTATAAACTCATTTTTCCGAGATTATGTTTTTGGACATACTGCATTGCCATTTGTCCTCTATGCACTCGAATTATATTATATTAACATTTTTTAAGTACTGAAAAAATCATTAAAAAAACGTTTTATTAACAAGCTTTTATATAATTATACTAGATCTATATTTTATATAAGTATACTATATATCCTATTATATTAAAGAAAATAATTTATGTTATCCTTTTTAGCGCATAATTTATATATGCTTATTTAAGATTTAAACGTTTTTAATTATTAGTAATAAATGATTTTCTTAAAATATATAGATCTAATAGTGAACTATTTAAATACGGGAAAAGCATGGGTTGCTTCTTGGATTCTAATGTATACTATAGCGACCCACGCATTTATTTTATTTTTTTAGCTATTTAAATAGTAGTTAATAATTACTATGGTAAAGAAAATCATTTGTTTTCTTTTTTTAGTGCATTATTACTTTAAAGCTTGTTATTAAAACGTTTTTAAGCACTTTTCCCCATTTCCCCACAAATTCTCCCAACGTTTTTATTTTTATTTGCAATTTTTCCTCCTCACACGTATACTCAGCATAAATTGTTGCTTTCCATCTCCCCCCTGTGTTTGTTAGTCTCTTCTCCTAACTCGTTGATTCTATTCTATCTAGAGTCTATAAATTCTGCGTTTATTTCCCTTCTCACTATAGTCAAGATTCTATAATTCTCCTTGGACTATTGTTATTTATCGGATTGTTCAGCTTGATAATAAAAAACGGCGTTAGCAATTTTAATATTGTGCCACATGCAGCAACATATGATTATTACGAGATCAGTGAAGGGTGTTAAGAAATAACGACAAAACCAAAATGCTTATCAATAAAATTCATCATTTTTCGAATATTTTTTGAATGATGTAACAATAAACGCAGTATTATTTAAAATGCGCGTTTTCCCTAAAATCAGATATTTTACTTTTTAAAGCAGTTGTGGGCGATGATGTAATTTAGGGCATCTATATTAAGAAGCTTACATCCGGGTCTGACGTTTTACGCATGCGCGGTAGTTAATTTCCGGCATCTTATGTTTGTTGTGTATCGCATGTTTGTGGTAGAAATTTCAACTTTAAAGATTGTTCCTGATGTTTAACATTCTCCATATAAATTAATCTGGAGAAAATTTTATAACAATATTCACCCTTCCATAAATTTTATGTAAGATTTGATATGAAAATTCTCTGTATTTATTTCCAAAGTAACGACCGATTATACGTTGACTCATCTTCGGCCATGTAAAAACATCTCAGGCCAGAAGGCGGCATTGTGAATGTCACGAGAAAATATGTTTTTGATTTTTATCCAAACAAGTTTAAACCTGTTTTGAATATTATTACTTTTAACTGGTATTAATGCATTTTATACTAATATTACTGTATTTGCGATGGTTAATGCGAAGTTGAAGTAAGCAAATAAATACAGTTGTGCCCCTTGTTAACACCCCCCCCCCTCTTCTCAGTCTAAGCTTGCAGTTGCACTCAAGTCTACACGCACAAGCTGCTCACTAGCAGCATTAGGATGAGACATTAGTCTGTTGCTATTACTATATTAATTGTTTTATTTCTTGTAACAAAATGATAGGACATAATCATGCTAATACTGAACTAGAATCTATATCAAATTAGACTAGAGGATTAGTCTAGGCCTGATGTTTAACTAAATGCATAGGCCTACATAATTAGAGTTAGCACACTTGAGTCACTGCATTAGTCATTAGTGTGAAATCTCACAGGTTTAAATTATAAATCTACCTATGGTCAAGTTGTGAGAAAATCTCTAATTTTAATGCTATTGACCAATCCAAATATACTCCAACAACGTGCAATTCTGAAATCTGTTTTGTCTACTCGTGGAAGAAGTTGAGACACAACTTACCTTCTACTTTTTAATGCATACTGATAGAAATGACAAATTAGAGATGAAAAAGCTTTTACCTTATAATTTTTCAACTACATTAAATCTTCCTGTTTTTTAAAACTTGGTGTATTATATGTTGTATTTTTATTTTTTCAGAATCTAAAATGGGGGCATTTTTAGACAAGCCAAAAACAGAAAAACATAATGAGGGTGGTGTAGGGAATAGGCTACGCTATGGTTTGTGTAGTATGCAAGGCTGGAGGGTTGAGATGGAAGATGCACACACAGCAGTTGTCAGTATTCCCCATAACCACCTTAAAGACTGGTCATTCTTTGCTGTATTTGATGGCCATGCTGGGGCAAGAGTTTCTGCAGTTTGTGCACAAGAACTTTTAGAGCACATAACACAGAATGAAGATTTTCGAGGTAAACCTGACTTGACAGACGGAACAGAGATTCAACCTTCAATTCAGGATGTTTTAGCAGGAATCAAGAAGGGCTTCCTAAACTTAGATGAAAAAATGCGAGCAATGCCAGAAGTTGTTAGCGGTGAAGATAAAAGTGGGTCAACAGCAGTGTGCAGCATTGTGTCTCCTAAACATATCTTTTTTGCTAATTGTGGAGACTCACGTGCAGTACTCTGTCGAAATGGCAAATGTGCTTTCGCTACAACAGACCATAAACCTGTTAATCCTAAAGAAAAAGAGCGCATACAAAATGCTGGCGGTAGTGTTATGATCCAGCGAGTAAATGGCTCTTTAGCAGTTTCGCGAGCTCTTGGGGACTTTGAGTATAAGAATGTTGAAGGTAAAGGTCCCTGTGAGCAGCTGGTATCACCTGAGCCAGAGATATTTTTTGAAGAGCGCAATGCAGATGATCAGTTTATGGTTTTGGCCTGTGATGGCATATGGGACGTTATGTCAAATGATGAACTTTGCGCATTCATAGAGCATAAGATGAAAATAACTGGCAGTCTAGAAGAAGTTTGTAATCAAGTAGTGGATACCTGTTTAATTAAGGTACATGTTATAAACTTTATATCATATTTATATAAAGCTGATGGTTTCTCACGACTTAAAACAGATTAATTTACATTTAATAGACTAATCTTTATTATTTTAAAGAATCACAAGAATGGGTAATACATTTTAAATTTTAATAGCCATCTTTTATTATATTCTTTTTAAATATAATTTTACTACATCATGTTAAAATTGTATGATTCGCCTCTTTTTTCTTGTTGATCTGCAGTATCATAACTTAAGAGTTAGGGGATTATTTACCTGTTCATGTAACATTTTACATTGAATGATAACTGAGTACAATTCATTTTGTTCACAGGGCAGCAGAGATAATATGAGTATTGTTTTAATAGCTTTTGAAGGAGCACCTTGTGTTTCTGAGGAAGCTGTTAAAAAAGACAAAGAACTTGATGAAAAAATTGAGCAAAAAGTGAAAGGTCAGTTATATTGTTTCTCTTTACTAATTTGCTTCAGTGGTAATATGGCTATTTTAGTAAGATTGAAAGATTTTAATATAGTAATACAATAATTTTTGTCATAGCTGTTTCATTAATATACTTTTTTTTTTCTGGTACAGAGATTTTAGCCCAAGAGCCGCAAGAAAATCATGAGTTTAATTTTATATTGCATAGAGTTGCAGATGATTTACAGGAATTGTTTCCTCCAGGAGGGGGCTATCAGTCTAAGTGAGTCTTTATATCTCTGAACATAGAACATATTTTATATTATGTTAAGTTTTTATTTTGTGTAGGTCCTTTAAATATAAATATGACAATCTGTTTTTATTTCAACTTGTACTTCAGAAACTATTTAAATACAAGATTCATCTCAGTGGCCTGTTCTTATTTTAGATCACACACATTTATTTATTTGGCTTGAAAAATAGCCTAAATTTTACAGACTGGTTTTATACAAATATACCAGTAATGAATTCTGTGACCAATTGAAACAAATATATTTACTTTTAAGTATTATTGTTAAGAATGCTTACCTAATAATAATTTTTTTTTCAAATTTGATACAAAGTTGATTTATCAAAGTGGTAGATTAGAAATAACTTTTTTTTAAAAGGCACTTGTTCTTACATTGCTAAAACTATTCCTTTTTTTCACTTTTCCCCTATTGGAACTATGTAAAGAGATGTTTTCTTTTTCATTCAGTCCAAGTTTGTCTAAAATATTTTTTTTTGTCTTTCCAGAAAATCAGTAATTGAAAGTGTGTTTTATAAACACAGGCCTAATGATGAACAAGACGTGAGTGATGTATGCTATGGTCTTCATTTTGTTTCTTAATAAATTAGTACAAGTTGTTGAAATCTTTTTACCACAAATCTTACCAGTAAATCATTTTCATCTTTAAACATAATGAATTTAAATGCTTAACTGAAGTTCCTTATTGATAATCAACTGACAGCAGAAGTAAGAATGTTTCACTTCCTTACTATATTATACTCAATGAAAATAAATGTTAAGTATTCATTTTATTTAAATTCTGCTGGTACCTGTGATCATAATTAATGTTTCTATTCATCTTCCTTAATGTTGATTATTTAAATACTCTCATATCTTTTCACTATAAGTACCACTGCATGAATTAGCTCCTCCTGTGTACTTTTTTCTTGTATCGATCCACTATCCTGCACTATTAATTTTATTTGTGCTTAATAACTATTTTTAAAAAACTTCAATCATTTAAAGAAAGAAATATTTGCGAATGACACAGCACATTCTATTCCAACTGCTTAAAATGTATTGAACATTATTACTCACTTTAAAGTTTTTAAAGACGCCTAAATAAAAACTATAATGGTTTTCATGTTTTGGCATTTTAGAAAAGCTGATGGCTAATAATCATATTTCAGACAACTAATATATTACTTTAATAAATTAGAGAATTATTTTTACATGGTGCGCCTAAGCCTGTCAAAATATGCTGAAAGTAATTATTAGGATGAAGCCAAAGTATTTCAAAAGTGAAGTTTTCGGAGTGGAATTTTCACAAGAGGAAAATGAAACTATTTTGATGAATATTTAGTCTGTGGGTGACATTAGCTTTGTCAGAAGTTCAAACCCTGCTTGTAGTTTTGAAAATAAAAAGATCACTGGTCATGATTGCTAGATGCTTAATTTAATGAGCATCTAAGTTTAATTGTTTACTTTCAGGGAGGATTCCATCTTTTGGGTAACAAGAGAAAGAAACCCTCTTTGCTCTAGAAGAAACCATAGAACAACAGCTGGCATTGGCATACCAGCACAGTATCAGCCGTTAATTTTTAATAAAAATGACAAAATTGTAGATGATCTTGGCTTTTGTATTAAAGACTAATGGATATGATAGTCGTTACACTGATTCAGAGGATCAGCAAGGATGTTCTATTGTGTTTTTGAGACTTAAATTGATTTCTGAGCTAAAGGATTCTGCAAGGAAATTTTAATGTTGTTGAACATTTATTTCAGGATGATCTTGCGTGATTTCTAGCCAGCTGGTGGATGACTAAGATGGTGGGGGAGGCCACAGAAATAGAGGAATTCACTTGTTACCAATGCACTTATGCAACCAATACAGTGGTGGCATCCTCTTTTTCATCTCTATTTTACCAGAAGGCCTCAATGGATCATCTTCTATATTCAGAGCTTATTTAAGTTTTTCTTAGTAAGTAACCCATTGTTTTTAGGCAGATGTAAAAATGACTTTTTTTTTTCTTCAAACAAATTAATTGAAATGCCATCAAATGATTAGATAAAGTAGTTATGATTGATGCCTCTCTTCACTATAATGCATGGATAAAGTGATAGATTTACTTATTTGGGAAGATTCTTCTTTGAGTCCTGTATCAATAAATTGCTGAGAAATGATGTACAATATAATGATTTAAAAGCTGTAAAATATTCACAATATAAACTGTACCAGCCATGAAGAGCCCTATACTGCATATAGTGTGAATGTCTACAGATGCAAATATGAGCTTTGTGCTTAAAATCAATTTGCTGGTTTTTAAAACTTTCAGGATGAATTCTGTTGCTGTTGGACACTTTTAAAAAAAAAATAATTTAATTAATAGCTGTGTTTAAAAAATGTGTAAATGTCCTTCATTGTTTTAGTTGAAACATGTTAATACAAATTTTAAGGGGTTGGTGGTGCTTCCTTTTGTACTTATCTAAATTTCAAAACTACATTGAGATTAAGTATAATTTGGGACCAAAAATAGTTTACATAGTTTAAGAAATAAAAAAAATAGCACCACAATGTTTGTAAATCATTAGTCTTTTTTCTCGGTAATGCTGTTTAGTAGTGTAAATCTATAATGCAGTTCATAGATAATCATTTGATTATTTTCAAATAGGTTGCTTTATTTTTTAAAAAGATTTTGCAGTGATTTGTAGAACAACTTAATGCTTATATTATTTTTTTAAATTTAAAATAAATTTAAATATTATTCTTGCATATACTTTTTTTACACAATTCAAATGTAAGTAAAATATGTTTGTCAAAAGTTATTTAAAATAAAGAAGCATTACCCTAAAATGCTTTATTTAAAAAAAAATACATTACTTACACCATGTCTCTCTCCTTTTGTTGGTTATATTGTTTTGCTTTGTTTTCCCCTTCATTCATTTTAACAGTCTTAAATAATTTATTATATACTAATTTAGTTTTCATTACACTTCATTCCATACTTTTAATTATTATTGTAAAAAAAATTAGGCTTTATTTTCATCACTGCCTATTTTAAATACAACTATGCCAATATCACAAACAGAATAGTAGAAAAAAAAATTGATTTGGCTTTGCTGCATTGTGTTTTGACAACATTTTGTTTCAAATCTTTACTCATTTATTCACTTCTTATATGCTTGAATTTTGCTACTCAAATTGCACATGTTACAAAAAAAAAATTTGAAAAAAATTAATTTACTATTTTAAATATAAACTATTGTAGCGTTGTTGCACGTGATCATCATATGGCCATAGAAGTTTTGAGTGCTTGTGTGTGTGAAAGTAATTTGAACATAGAATATTCAAGGATTGATATGATGGCCATCCAGTTGTTCTTGTGTTCTACCTCTTTGAAACTAATCCTGGATAATAATTTGACCTTTTGAAGAATCATCTCTGCAATTTGTTGCTTTTTTTTTAAACACAATTTATAAAAGTTATAAAAAACACATTTTATATGTTTAAGTTAATAATGCAATCATGTTAAGAAACACTAGTTTTTTTTTAAACGTTAGTTGCAACAATTATTAAAATGAACCATATTGAGAATTTTCCCACCTTTTAAAGTGAGCCCTATTGGATATACTTTTGATAATTTTAAGAAAGAAAAAATGATACTGTTACTGATCCAATGCCCTGTCTTGATGGTTTATTCATTAGCAATAACAGGTCTATACATTTCAAAAGATGTTCAACACTTTTATTGATTTGCATGTTTTCTTCGTATTGTCCTCTTAGTTTATAGAAGTAAATAAATTCATCATTACTATGCTGTTAACTTGTCTATCATATCTGTTGTTGATATTTCACTTTCTCTCTGTGGTATAACATTCAGTTCTAATGGGGACTGAAAGAACATTATTTCTTGAAATGCTGTCATTTATAATGAAAAATGCATTTTTCAGACAAAATAAAAAAAATTCAAAACCAATCTTTTTGAATGATTGTTGCCTTTTTTTTACCAAAGGTTTGAACTGCTTTCTCAGTTCCTGAAAGAGCTTTACAAACAGAACCACTTTCATTTCCCAACTGCTTTGATTGAGAGTTCCAAGTGTTATAATTTGTGTCATTCTTGTTTACTGTATTGAGTTAAAAAATGTTCAGCAAAAGCAGGTATCATTTCATTCATTTAGTACTATTTTTGTTTTTATGACTTGAGAAAACAGTTGATGCTATTCTGTCTTGTGATATTCATCTAATTTATCGTAGTCATATTCATTGTTTCAACCAACATATATCCATACACCAGTCCAAATAAAACTTTAAAAAAAATTATTACAAAATGCAACTTTTTAAGCAGGTGTTGCTCATAAGTTTTATGTTGATAGAAAGCTGCACTGCAAAGCCAGGTTGCAGAAATGAATCCTGTTTACTTGGTTTTAAATATTTGATATCACAAAATGTGTGTATATGTAAGTTCTGAAGAATGGCAAATGTCTTCTTTCCAACTTGTATCTTTATTGTGTGTTGGCTTCACTGAACATTTGAGGACATGAGTTGCACGTGTTTTGTGGTTTATTCTTCACCATTTTATCTCCATATTTTTATATTTTCTTATGCCTCATGACATTTTCATTGAAAGCATGGAATATTTAAGCAAGTCTAATACCTTTATAAAGTTTTTTTTTTTTAGATCAAATTAATCATTTTGTTTTAATAACAGATGCAAAATTAGTTCTGGTAATAAATAAAAAATACTAAGATTTAAAAAAAATTTCAAATGATTATCACAGTCACCTGTGAAGAATTGTGTTAGATGATTAAATCTGACCAGGTGTATAACTATGCTGACAATCTAGCCATTTCTTCTGCTGTGCTATACCTATATAAGAAAATAATCTTTCATCACTACTCAACTTTTAAGTTTCAGCCATGGCTACATTAGTTTTTCTTTTTCTGTGTATTTCATGTAAATGTAGTTGAATGTTCTTGATCTTTCTGTCTTCACGTATGTATTATTTGCATACAAAAATATCTTTTTAGAAAATGTTTTTGCTTTCACTGAGTCTAAAAAGTTATACTAATAGATTTGTTTGAGTGTAATTTTTCCTAGTTTTTATAAAATAATTATTTCTGCTACATCTTGTTAGAAATTTGTAAATGAATGTCTTGTAAAAATATTCTGATTGTGTTACTAATAAACATGTAATAGAATAGTGTTAGTATTATTATACACTGTTGAAATACATTGAAAATATTAAGGAGCGAGTGATGCCATGTTTTCATTTCTACCTAGCATGTTTATGTACGTTTTCAGTTTCATGTGTGCAGATGTTTGTAGTCTTTAGTTGGGTAGGTTTTCAAGGAATATGAATGATACTCTTACACCATCAGTAATTATTAAATTAGATGAAAAAAACCACCACCTTGGGTAGAGATGCTTGGCTACTTCAATTGGATTGTCTTTAAAAATAGAATTATTTGGTGTGCTTCATGTGGCAATTCCAGTAAATTTGTTAACCCAATTCAGGTTAGAAATGTTATCTCCTTATATCTCATGATATTGGTAATACACTAGTTACTGTTTGTACATGTCTTTTTAAAATTATTCTGTATCATATCATTGAAGGTTATAAAATTTTCACAAAATAATGATAAATACTGTAGATTTGATAGATGGTATTGCTAAAGTGAAAATTTGGGTGCTTGTGTGACTTTGTACCTTAATTTTTTTTTAGCTTTCAGTCAAATCATGTGTAAAACTATTTTTATAACAAGATAATATTTATGCTACAATTCTTGTATCTTGATTTTAAACAAAAATGCTTTTACCTTTCATGATAGTCCAAAATGAATTAAAAGTTTATTAACAAAAACTAGTGTACATGATTGAATATTAGATATAACTTAGGTACACAATTATAAAGCTTATTATTTATATGGGAATGTCATTTATTGTTTTTAAATAGTTTTTCAGTTGAGAAAAAAAAAAGAGACATGCACATATAGAAACATACAAGGTGAACATGATGATATGTCATTTAGAACAATTTTGTTCCCATAAACAGTTGTTTGGTTGACAACAACTTGCAATGCCAAAATATCAAAAGCTGCTTAGTCACTAATATGCCAAATCTTGTTTCATATTCCCTTAAAGTTGGTATGCATATGAGAGGTGTAATAAAAATCTATTACACACATTGTTCATGTTTCTTTCATTTAATTCTTATCTCATAATATTTTCAATGCAAATAACAGAATTCACAAACAAGACATGAAGTTATGTACATAAATTTAACTAGAAAACTTACATTTGTACCATAAAGCAATAAATACTACAAAGTTGTATAAATGAACAAAGTTAACGAGTAATAATATAATCATTTAAAATGCAGATTCTTAAAGATTTACAAGTCATACATAAATATGATATATATATAATATAGAACTTCATATCTGAACCTAAATTATTGAGTTGTAAGGTTTAATAATCACTGGGGAGTACAACAGTAAGATGTATGGTATTTTTAAAAAATGGATTAAGATTAGTGGTAACATTTTTTTTTACATAGAGAAATCACAATGTAATGCATTTTTGAAGGTGTGATAATGCAGTAGCTTTATAGGAAGTAAAAATAATTGAAAATGTATCATTATGCCTAAGTCTCAATAAGGAACTGCAGTATTGGTTCACAAGATCCAGGTTGTTTTTCAACTAACAAAAAAAAAATGATTTCGTGCTGGAATATTTTTACAGGCAGCTCTAGAGAAATATTTTATTTAGGTCTTTTGATCTGATTAAAGTGCACTATCATTATAAATGGGGAGGGCAAGATTAGAAATTGGCTATTAACTGTGAAAATAATGTTACTTAGCATATCTTTTTAAATAAAATCAACTCTTTACCTAACAATGAAAAAGCTTTTACAAATTGTTGATTGAAATTGAAAAAAAGGCTTGATTGTCCACAGAAATAAAAACTACAACAAAATGTTATATATTGCAGGGTGATATATTTAAAACTTATATATCTCTTCAAACTCTACAGTACTCAACTAGGAGAAGTTCTTTTACACTGAGTATGCGACAAATGTCAATACTAATATTGCTTAGTTGTCATTTGATAAGGCTAGTCAGAGAGTGAAGTATTTAGCTAGTTTTCAGTTGGGCAGCATAAACTGGCCATAAGAAATGTCAATTTACAACAATTAGTGTAAAAGACATTTTAACCAGTACATTTTAATTTTTTTTAAACTTTAAGCATAAATTCATATGGTAAACAGGCTATGTCATAATTATCTATCTGTTCTTTAATACTTCTTTTTGCTTTGGATGAAGTCCATAAAAGATTTTTTTTTTAAATTTAATATCTTTCTACGTCCTCTCAGTGTAATTTTACTCTATGGTTTACAGTAAAATCAAATATGATGGATATGTTCAAAAGTAACTAGTGCAGGCCACTGTTACATTATTTGGAAAAGAAAGAAGTGCTAGATTTTGAAAATATATTTTTAAGATTTATGAAAACTTGAATTAATTAATTTTTTGGTAATTGAACTGGAGGGATTGCAAGTTATATAACATGCTAGAATATTCAAACAAAGCTCTTATCAACCTGAATTTTAAATTAAAAAAAAATATTCTCAATGTTAAAAATTAATGAATTTTTCCTAAATGTTTCATCAAACAAAATTATGCTTTAACTGAACATTTATAAACAATCGCTTCATTTCCAAAGAAAAAAATTATATGTCCTAGTTCAATAGACTGTTGTATTAATTGACTAGATATTACTTTTGCATTTGTCATAAATAATGTTTAAACTTTATTTCTAATAAACATTTTGAAACATTATTTACACCTCAGCACCTAAATCTAACACTCCATTCTCAGCTATAGGAACAAAATGATCCCTGAGTTGTACTAAGATAATAGTTTTATCAACATGAGATTTTTTAGTTGGGTCAGTGTTGCCTGGTGTCCATCGATGAACTATTGTTCCCTCCATTCCCTTTTTCGGAGTCCAATCTTTCCATCCACTTTTACCCCCTGCAGCTCTCCAGTCATCATTGGGCCACTGTACATCACTTCGTCTTCCAAGATTGATCGCATCAAAGATAACACTAGGGTCCATTATCTGTTGTATTATCATAGTGTATATTTGTAGATTTTTTAAGTCTTTTAATAAATGTTTAAAAATGGTACAATTACAAGTACCACAGAAAGATATTGAATTACAGAGAAACAGTTGTAATTCTCAATCTTAAATCATACAACAAGGAAAGAATCTTTACTAAAGATAATTATGAAGGATTTCTTACCCTAACTCTGTGAGGAAGGCTATCTTTAAGGCTGGAGTCATTGATAAGACTAGTTAAATTAGCTAGGGATGCTAGTGTGTTGACTTTGCTTGCTGATGATGCTGTAGAGATGAGACTGCCCCTATTGCCCAGAGTTTGTAGTGGAATGTCAACCTGCTGGCTGTTGATAGTTAGGCGTGGAGCGGAGCCTGTACAAAAGAGGCAAAAACTTTCAAGGTTTTTTTTACAATTAAGTGGTGTGTGTGACATTGGGCCTCTAAAGCAACCTAGTCTTAACTGAGGTTTGCAATAAGAGATGTAACTATGTTCTGTTTTAATTAAAGTACAGCTTCAAGTGAGGCTTGACTAAAACTAAAAGCAAATGAAAGTTTCACCAATTCAAACAACAGAGGTTACATGAAATTAGTATTTTTATCTATTAGGCAAGCAAATTTTAAAAAGTACCAATGGTGGATGCTGCCATCTGATTACTACATGGCATGTCAAGTTCAAAGGATGCACTTCCCCCAGCACAAGTAGCATCACACCGTTGTCTCATCCTGTTTGAACACAAATGGCTTCATTAAATACACAAGTACATCTAGTTCGGCTTGATTTACCAAAATAAATTTTAACCCTTTACCTTCAGATGCTGCTTAAACCTACCAATGGGGTATGTTTACTTGCACAGGAAATGTTTAACTGATAGCATGAGAGGTTGTTACATTTTAAAATTATATAGTTTTGTTTTATGTGACATGCATTTTATTGAGTATTATTAATTACACAGCAACATTGGGGCAATAATAATAATTTTGAGTAAAAGATGAAAGTTTGTTATAATTTTAAAAATTTGCTTTTTATTCATTTAGCAGGTTAATGTGTTTAAAACTATTTGCTTTCCCTAATCATGGCTGATAATTTTGAAAGAAAATACATATTTTCTTCGCAATAATATGATGTATATTTTAAAACAGTTGGAGGAAAAGGGTTAAGGCTTAAATACAGTTTAAATTATAAACTTACATTAATAAACTGAATAAGTACCATAAACATGCATATGCTATAGTGTATACAAGTTCATTTACTAATCTCTCAGAAAACCAATCAGTCACTACCAAAGACTGAGAAAAAAAAACTCTTGTCGCATTTTACTCACCTTTTCCATAAAGATGTAAAGAAGCAACGGACTGCACTAAATTTAAACTCTCCGCCCACTATGGGGATATTGGCTAATTGGTCATGAGTGGTGGAATAAGAGGTGGTTAGCGGAGATACATAGATGGGGTAACCTATAGGTTGGTCACATGATGAGTTGATCATGTTCCGTAAAGCTTGTTTGGCATTTTGGATACTGCCTCTCTCAGGGTTGCGGTTACGAAGGAAAATTAGTTCTTGTTGCTGGCCTGCCCATAAGCCTCGAACACATTCGCGATTCACCTGTTGGCATGAAAACATTGCTATATCATCCACATTCCATCATTTGGATATCACATATTCTTATGCTCTACAAGAATCAAAATTAAAGTGACTGTAAGAACTAATAAAATTGTGTACAGATGTGTAGTTAATCAAAATAAATTTTAAATTAAAAAGTATTAGCTTATCATGTCTAACTTAATTTTATGAATACCTTCACAACACGGAAGCTTAGGTATCTCTTGTTAAGCATAATAATTTTGTACTCGTCTGAGCCTTCATCAAAGACATGCCTAAAAATTAACAACAATTGTGAAGCATAATTTAAATTTTACACTTGACTACATGCATAACAAAATAATTTAAAAAATCCTTTTTTGAAACTATCTGATGTGATAAAATAAAAAGTGAGACTTAATAAAACAATATCTAATAGAAATTTTTAAAAAATTGTAAGCTAAGCATTACCTTAGAGCCAAAAGTGAGGGGACATTGGACAACACTGCATTTCTCCATGCAGGATCAGCCTCATGGGAGATAACCATAGTGTTTTCATGTTCAGTTATAGCATCATATAAAACTTGACTGTCATCATATTCATCAGGTGAAGTAAAATGATCCTAGAGATGGACAAGTATTGTGTTTCTAACTTCTCAAATGACAACTAGGGCATTCAATTAAGTTGAAAGAATTTTTTTTTATCACTCTTTTGTATTCTTTCTTTACAGACATCACCACTACAAGAGACCAACCTGATGTAACTTTAGGGACATTCTAACCGCAGGGGCTACAACTCTTCTCATCATATCCATGTCAGCAAACACCCACTCATCACGTTGTGACTGAATGCGAAAGTCTCCCTTGAAGAGAGCATGAAGTCCAAACAAGAAGAAATCAACACTGAAATACCAAAAAACCTGTCACTAAAATTATTTGTATCAACATTTCCTTTATCTATTACTGAAAACAGTTGATCTGTGACAAAAATGTGTTTTTCTTTCTAAAGTAAGGAGCAAAAAAAGTTATGAAGCTATCACACATTTGATGCCATCCCTTTTTAAAATGTATTTTAATAACTGTACTTTATTTTTATATTTCCCCACTAAGTAAATGGAACAGCATTTTATTTTTATGAAAGTAATAAAATGTGTTTTATTAGACTAGATAGGATTGTTGTCTAATATAAGCATTTAATGTACTGATAAAAGCATTTATATCAGCCGAACAAAAACATGAAATCATTGCAATGAAACAGGGTTATATTTCAATATTTAATGGCAAAAATTGTTTTTTAGAATTTAAATTTGTTATTCTTTTCCTTTTTTTTTTGTTGGGTTGTTATTAACTTTTGTAACTTGGTTAACAGTTAATCTTTTACCAACAATAAAAAGACAAATTTAAACTAAAATTGAGAGAAAAAAATAAATTAATGAAATAAAGTTAACATTAGAAACATGCACAAAAATAACACCAAAATAACAAAATGGAGATTGTTGTTCCTTGAATGAGTGAAATAGAAATTAAATTAAATCTTTAAATAAACGGCTTATTTTTTAAAAAGTGTATTGTATGAGTAAAAAGGAATGAGTCACAGAGTTATTACTTATAAGAAACATTTGTTATTGAATTTTAAGTACAATACTGCAAATACCGTCTCCTCAACTTCACTTTTGCCCTACACAGGAAATTAATAAAGCTCTCATCATATAGTAAACAACTGGAACCTGCACAGTGAGTTAACAAACCTAAACAATCGTGAAAGATACTGTGATCTCGCTCAAGCTGATAAAACTTGTAAGTATATCAGCCATGTGTATACATCAGGGCACAAACAGGATCTCATAAATGGGACCTCACATATTTCAAGTAGAACAGGATAATTACTTGTCATTTGACTATTTTCCAACTTATTTATATATAACAGTTTTATTATTTTCAACAAAGATTTGAAACAATTTTGTTTTGTGAAATATAAATGAAGGAATGCGAAGAACATATCTGAGATATTAATAAACCAAGTGTATGTTGACTTTCAAATACATTTCTCACAATCAAACAACACAGTTTTACAATAATATAGCTGTTTTCCTAATGTAATAAAAAAATAGTGTTGCTAAAAAACAAAGATTTAAATAAAAATATTCATGATAAATTAAACTATTGGTTTAAAAGCAAATAAACATGTAACTGTCCCATTTAACCCTAGGGTCCTACTCTAGCAAATTTTTCACAGAGAAACCAACAGAAAAAAAAAAACTCTTTTCAATCACTATTCAGCTTTGATGCTTGTTTAGTAATAAGATTTTACACACTAAAAAGAAAAAAATATGGATCAACTATAATGCTGAAGATAATAGAATATGTTATATGATTGGGTATTAAATAACTGCAGATATTCCTAACTTTTATTTTAATATAGAAAACAAAAGATGTGTGCATAGTTGATAAAACTTAATAAACCTTGTGTCTGATCAAGTCAACATCTATGACTTTATGCTGGCAGTCCACAATAAATTGTGTTTGATCAAACAATGATTGTGACTTGGCAGCCATCATAAAACTGACTTCAATTGATCCACAACAAAAAAAATAAAAACAAATAGAAAGCTGAAACTTATTCAAGCTTGAAAACAGTGTAAAGCATGGTGCTAAGTGACCCATACATTTGAAAAAAATAGATAACAAGCGTGGTTAAGAAATAGATAAGCTTACTTCAACATGTATTTCTGATGCCTGTGGAAGAATAAACCACAGTTGCTATCAGCTAACAGAAAGACTTTTGCAACTATAATTGGTTGATCGAGTACTATCTTTTATTTACGTTTTTCCTTTTGTTAGCGTTGGCCATTATTTGCAGATTTGGTGGATTACAAAGAGTACATAAAACAATATCTCTGGCTTAAATTCTTGCTGTTTTTATTGTTTGTTTACATATCAACACTGCAGATAGCAGAAAATATGGCAGCAAATGCTCTTCCCTAAGATATAATAGATTAACAAAAGATTAACCATTGTAAGAGTAATATGTCCACTTTCAGACATGTCCCACAAGAATAGGTTAAGAAAAATATATATTTCAGGCTACTTTAAATGCATCAGCTCCAAGTCAATACAACACAATATACAAGTAAAGGTACCTTGCTGAGTTGTGTGAGGCAGCACTCAATGCACGACGACCCAACAGACTCAGTGCATAGGACAGTGTGACCAGCATGGAAGTTTTGCTGCTGTCTATCTCCTGATTTTTGGTAAATTGTTTAGTCAAAATGAATTGTAGTGATGTATTGTCAGTTTTTGTTTAATAAGCATTTTAAGGAACATCTGTATAAATTTGAAAAGCGCAATAAATTTAAGATGTAATTACTATGGTAAAAAAAAAAGGTAAACAGGTTTTTCTATTTAACCAGTGGTCATACCTTATCCCTGCAGTTGGCACAGTGCTGGATCCATGAGAGATATATTTGACAGAAACTATTGCGCGAGATACCCTGCAGTCTAAAATCAAAGTCCTCATCAATGTGAATGTTGAAGGTAGGATCCAGATCAACATAACTGTCGTCCTCCATGGCCTGAAGAGCTTGACGAATTGTCTGGTTACCTGTCCAGTCCTCCAGTCTTGGTGAACGTACCGTGTAATAAATGATGCTCTGAAATACAATTTCTTTGGTGAGAATTCTTATAACAAAAATAGGGAAATGATTTTACAATAGAGCACTGAAGCCAAAACAAAAATATCTTGACTCACCTTGATATAATATGTGATGAGAGCCTTTCTTAATTCAAATACTTGGAGCATTGTAGCAGCACTATTATCAGATATACTGTAGCCCTCCAAAATATACTTGGACACAACAACTTCCCATGCCAGCCATCTTTGATTGAAGGCAGCATTGAGAGAGAGGAAATGTGGCAGGTGTCCAGGCTCAAAGCAACAGAATCCTGGGGATAGTCAGCAGTAGAGACAAGCTGTTTACATGCTGATACTGAGCACATTTTTTATATTATTTTACATCTCCAAGAAAGGTAAAAAAACAACTTACTTTCATTATCATCAACTCCTTCTGTAATAGCTTCGACTTCTCTTTGCTGACAATAAGTACCTAACAAAATACAAGATTCATCTCTTGTAGATATTCACGATATATTAATATTGGTTTAAATTAGGTAATTTAATACCATTTCCATTGTTTTCAAACAGCCAAAACAACAGCCACCTTTACTTTGCCCATCTCAAGTCAGGTCCCCATCAAAGCTAGGTGAACCCAAGAACATCCCAAAACTTGAGCCAGTAAACCAAACTTGAGACTTTTGGGTTACCAATGCTGAGCTCTATCACTCAACTAAGCTGTGCAATCAACAGCTAAGAGTAAACTTTTAGGAATTATTTTTTATTCCACAAGTCTATCTCAATGTGGTTAGCTAGAGACTTCATCTAAAGAAGAAGTAGTTACCTCTGAATTCTAAGCCTCTGAGCTGAAATGTTACCAGTCCATTCCCGACTTCTATGATATGTACGAGAGCATTAAGGTAATCAGATGCCATAATAAAACAGTCCCCTTGTGTGTAATTTCCCCAACGGCCCAGAAATAGATCACCACAGAGACTATGTTGTAATGATCTAGTGAGATGCTCATAGAAAATGGAATTTAAGTTGTTGTCGTCAGCACCTGAAACAAAAAGATTTTACCATTATTGAAAGTAAAGTTCACTCATAGACCAGAAGATTCATGGACGAAAGGAAATAGAGTTATCTAATTTTCTGACTTCAGCATATAAGGGAAAGTGTGGTAAGCACTCTATATGGTTGCCTTTACTTTTTCAGACTAGCCAGATATTAACCCTCAGAGCTGGGTGTGCCCTGAACATCCTATGTTCTAGAGTCCAAGATTTAACTGGAGCTTTGAAGATAGTTATGCTTGCCCCAGCTGTGCATTATGTGGTAACTCATTTTTTTAAAATAATTAATTTTTTAAGAATGGTTGAGAATAATAGACCAAATCTTACAAATACCTGGATTTCTCTCCAATTGTGACGCCAGCCTTGTGTTTGAATGGTCAACACGTTTGGTGCTAGAAATTGGAAATATCACTAGTAAAAGGGTCTATATACTTTAGTAAGTCAACATATATCTCTGGTAAGATTCTATATACTTCTGATAGTAAGTCAACATAAAAAAATTAAGCTCAAGTAGTTTGTAAATGTTTAAGAAGACTTACTTGTAATCTCTCTCCCAAAATTTAACTGGTCTAACGTATGATGTGAAAAATATTGCACTACCCAGAAATGGATTCAACGGGGTGGAAAATATGGCAGAGACACTTGCTTGAAGAAACAACATGGCACTATCTGACTCCGGTTAAGGAATTTTTACAGCCTGGCTAGAATTAGATTATACAAAATTTTAAAACTTTATTCTGTTTATTTTTATGCTGATGTCAAAACCTTCATTTGTGAAAAGGATACGAGGAACACTGAATGGCTGTGCAAAGGCATGGAATGCAGAGCCCCATGTTATTTGCCATGGAGCTATGTATGTGATGATAAAATTTAATTTCAACATGAAGTCACAGAACTGTGGGGGAATAGAAACAAGATGTCATTAAAAACTTCATTAGGCAACTGGTATGGAACAAAACTTAATTATTTCTATAGAAATGTATACCATGACAAATAACTATTCAAGTTTACCGATACAAGGAGTGAGGACTGAAAACTTACTTTACAAAACATGATAGAAATGAAGAAGTAGTCAATTAGAAATGTTTCAGATGACCACCGGAAATCATATTTGAAGAAAAAATATGTGAAGGCGATTATGAGGTACTGGCGTGGGGTATCAGAGAAGGCAAACCGTAACATCTTTAGGCTACATATCAATATGATCAAAGGCCCAGCACTGCAAAATTTAAAAAATAATCTTTATTTTTTTTTCTTCTAAAAAGTAGTAAATTAGATTATAGGTTATAATTTGTCAAAAAATTCTTACAAAGTTCCAAACTTGCAAATGATTCCTGGGACTGAAGTTGTGGTGGCACAAAGACAGACAACAGTATAAATAATGTTGCGCTCAAAGAAACGGAGTCCCAAATACAGCTGCTCTATCCAAATCACTTTAGGAGGTTCTGGAATGACATTAACAATAAATTTATAATTAAATAGAATCAAGCAATAAAAACACTTTTATTGTGCTATGTGGTTGAGAACTTTTTTTTAAAGTCTTATTACACTATTAAGAAAGAAATTTCTACTAATTTAATTTAACATCAATACCACTATTTTAAACTATTTTTCTGACCTTTCACTTCAAAATACATCCATTCCTTTCCACGTAAGAGTGGATGAGAACAGCAGAGCCAAGGCATTTCTTTCCTCATTTGAGGGATGACATAATGCACAAGGAAACCAACACTGGCCGCTATCAAGTACAAAGCATCACTAAGATCTGGCTGGAAATCAACAAAGTAGAAATAGTTTAAACAGGTTTCAAAAACAACTATTAAAAAACAATTAAAGTATAAAACATTTTATACCTGAAGAGCTGGGCTTGTGAAAGCTGTACTGACATGCACAGCAAATGTAAGTATAGTAACAGCAACACAAACTATAGCATCTGACTGCAAACGTTGAACCTTAAAAAAATATGTACAACAGATAATGTAAAGTATTTAGATAACTGACAGTGACAGTAATACCACATTTCTGATGCTAGTAACCAAATTCCATCACACAAAATTCTATTTTTAGACTGAAAAGATTAGTTACATGTGTACATTTATGTAACAATTATTTCTTACCAAACATTTTTTCAATTTTTCTGGCAAAGGATCAACAAGTTCCTGAGTTTCTGATTTGCTGGGCTGATCATTCTTAACATTTGTGCTCACTTCTTTGAATACCAAACCTTTTAGCAACATACTGACAATAGAAAAGAATATAACAAAATGAATTAATTCCTAAAAATGGCTGTTTTCAAAATGAGCAGAATTACTGTATTATTTTTTTGACACTATTGCACAACTAGTTACCTTTATACCGGGAGTAAGAAAATCTATGACAGATGGTAAAATGTGCTTTACTCACCACAAGACTCCTGGATCACTTGCAGACCTACTGAGGTGGTAAGCCATAGAAACTATGAGCCCACACAATATAGAAAAAGGCACATTCTGAGCTGCATCTTCATTTTTAGTACTACACTTGTTTTCTGGAACAATATCCTGAAAACCAAGAACAATTTGATTTTAGTAGCTCCTAGCAGCTCCAAAAGATTAGTAAAGAAATGTGATATTAAGAATTAATATTTTGCTAAACAGAGCTTTTCATTACCTTCAGTGAAGCATATGCAAATCCATATAAAGCAATCAAGGCCAGACAACTACGGCACACACAATAGAAAGATGTCCATAAACTAGTGCAAGCTGAAAATTTATTTTTTTAAATCTTCATTAAATTTTTTTTACATTTAACAAAATAACTAGAGTAGCAAAAATTGCAAACTGAAAAATGCTTAGATTGTATCTAGAAAAAAAACTGTTATGGTAAGTACCTGACAAGGAAGTAATAACATAAGTGTGGACTACTTTAAATGTTTATGAATCAGACATTGATGGATGAGATGAATAAATAAACACATGACACAATAATAAAAAGTATTTTGAAAACTAGTAGACCTACCATTGCCACCAAATATATGCATGTCAATTTGTTCAAGGATGTACATAAGAAATGTATTGACTTGAGGCAAGAGTCCCAGAGTAAACAGGACAGGAAAAAACAAAACAAATACTGGAAAAAGATGCAAAATAAAATAGTTAAATGAACTGCTCAAAAATAATTAGTTCAATTGATCTGGCTTGCTTTAGGAAAATCCATTTTTTATATTAAAAAAAAATCTTATTCAAATGCCAATTTAATATTGATAAACAATAATTGAATAGATAAATAAATGATGCCACTTACTCTTGAAAAAGTGCCTGAGGAATGTGAGAGCGGAGGATATTGTGAACGGAATGCCATATAAGTCAAAGGATTTGTTGTTGACTGTGTGGCTGCCGTAGTCTAGAAGCAGGACAATTGAGCAACATAGACAAAAATAGAACGGACGGCTGAACACAATCAGACGATTGTAGCCCTAAAATGAAAAAATAAAAATTGTCAGCTGAAATTTGGGGAAGAAAAATGATATAAAAAGATAATTTCAATAGGTAAGCAGATGAGGAGAGGAACAAACAAGCAAAATACATACAAAAACAAAGTGCATCAAGTAAAAAAAAAAGTAAAAATTCAAATACACACAGTATGGTCATGGTTTGATTAAATATGTGCACCATATTTTCTTTTTTTTTTTGGGGTGATAAAATGAGTGACATGACTTTGCAGTAAGTCTTTTTCTTGGAAGTGACAAAAAAAGTTCTAATTACTATTTTATTTGCATTAAAAAATTATTTTTTTTACAATTTGATGATGGTTTTCAATTATACAATTATGTTTGTTGTTCAAATGTTGGTTGTTAAATATGAAAAACTTACATGCATTGGTGAAGCTGCATCAGGTTGTACACTCTGTAAGGAAATCAAGAATAGATGACAATAATATAGACAAAAGATTTATGTTATATATACAAATATAACTTGAATGAAATCAATTGCTGTGCTACTGATTGAACATTGAGAATCAGTAAGTTTTAAAATTATGGCTTACTTTCAATAAACTGTACTGGCAACCAGCCATGATGAAACAAAACAGCAGTAAATAAAAGTCATGGTAAAAGTTGAAGGAAATCATGAGAGCACCTAGAGCACCAACCCCAACTGCCATAAGTATAGATATCACATTTTCTATCACAGATATATTCCTGTAGAACAAAGTTTTATTCATGTTTTATTGCTGATACTTAAATATATAAATAGACGAATAACAAATAAAAAAATTACAATAAATTTTAATAGAAAGTAAATTTTTTTACAATTTAAAAAAATATTTTAAAAAAAAAAAACCAGAACTTCTCACCTATCTAATGCTGCTAAAAGAGCTAGACGATCAAATCTTATTTTTATAAACTTTTTCATTGGCCACACCCAGAATTTATAGAAATGTTTTGGCTTAGGAATACTCCGCCCAGAGCGAGTATGAGCATGTGTGGTATCACTGTCTGTGGATGAGTTGGACGTATGGTTCCTTCTGATCATTGATTGCACGTAAGAATGTAATGTATCAGCAGGCAAGTAAAGGTTATTTGCCATTGACCTAATATCCATTTCAGGGTGCATGTGAATTATGGGGCTCTCTATCTGAGGAGATTCTTCTACTATAACAGTTGAATTGGACGCAATAGAGGACAGTGACCATCTGTAGAAAACACAATTGTATAACAAAGACTGGGTTCTTATTTATTGGTAACCACACATTTCTATAGCTTGTATCACAGACAACAATACTTTAACCCAAGTTAAGGTAAGGATTAGTATTACATATCACTGATACTAGTTAAGACAAATACATAGGTAATGCTAATTTAAATTACTTAAAGTTGTAATAGCTAACAGAACAATCTGACAAGTAAAACAGAAAAAAAAGAGTCAAATAAGACCTACTTGTCAGCCTCATGGTGTCTCCTTCTTTCAATTGGACCACTACTTGTATTGGTGTTCACATTCACATCTCCAATATTTAAAGCCACACCTGTACTGTTTTCCCCAAAGGAATATGACATCCAATTACCTACACAATAAATGATACAAATGTTAGTTTTAATACTAAAGAGAAGCCATTCTTCCATAAGTAATAAACATCAATAGACACAACACATAGCAACACTTGACTCTACTTTACTAGTACCATCAAAACAAAATTCTGACCTTGTTCATCCTGAAACCAGTGAACTGCCCCATCTGTGGTGTCATCATGTGATGTGGCTAAGTGACCTTCCTCACCCACTATCATATTCAGTGCTGCCAATGGTGGAGAACCTTCTCTTTTCTGTTGTGTCTGCCGGCGACCTCGCCTACGCCTTATGTGTAAAAGAGAAGTAAAAATTTAGAAAATCTTAATTCATATAAAACAACTTCTCATATCTATGATTTTTTTTTTCTAAAACTGTCAGAATCTTACCTGGCTCTTCTGTTAGTTGGTCTGTTCAACTGGGGATTTGCTGGCAATAGTGCAGAGAATTCTGTGGGTGTAGTGTTTGCTTTCTTTTCCTCCTCGTGACCACAGGCTTTGTTGGGAGACTTACTAGAACTACTCTCTTCTTCTTTTGAGGCCTGTGTTTTAGCTAGAAAGGTAAGGTGGTGAGTGTTAACAGTTACATTTTTAAAAATTTGTTTTATGATTCATGACTAACAAATTTCATATTATTTTTCTATGCACAGTTGCGGATATCTGAAGAGGTCAGCATTAAGCCTTCTATTCCTGATGAAATAACATTTTGATTAGCACATTAATTTCTACAACTACTTACAATTAACTTCTTCACTTTTTTCTTTTGAAGTACCTCCCTCACTGCATGCTGATTGGTTTTCTTTAAAAAAAAAAAAGGATAAAATGTCACACCTTTTTAAAAAGCATAACAATACAAGCTGGCTTAGATGACATGTTTTTTAAACACAATGCTAAACACATAAACCAAGGCTGTAGTAAAGGAACCTACTTTTCATTTTGACAAATTGTTGTAGCTGTCTTAATTCTTCAGGGTGCTGCTGGGGATCCCACAAAATTTCTATCAGTCTGCGTCTTATTTCTTCTGGATCAGACAAGTCAGTTGACCCTGGGCTAGTAGACTCTGAAATATTCATCATAAGTTTATTCCCATATCATAAAGATATTATAAGTTTTTTAAATGCAAGTTTAAACAAGACAGTTGGAAAATTTCCAAACATTTGTAGAAATTTTAAGATAAAGAAAACTATACACAGCAAATAGGCTGTTGTCAACAGAAAAATAATTAAATTATACCCTTTAGCTCACTGTTTTGACGAACAGATCTAGAACGAATTTTTTTAGGGATGGCTCCCTGACTTCTCATAAAGGCTAAGTCTTCAGCAGAGGGACTACTCGGAGTTGTTAGTTCAGGTTCTTTGGGTAACTTGATGCAACTTAACACTGGCTCACAATTGGCTGAGCTGCTAGACTCTGTGGAGTGGGATGCTGTATCCGCACCTAAAAAGAAACAATTTTTCATTAACTTAAAGACAAGAATAATATAAAATCATGTTAATTTTTTTATTGTTACTTCTTCCTAAGAAAATTATTAAATAAATAAAAAATTTTTGTAAAACAAAACAAATTGTTTTTAAACTTTAAATAATATGAACAAGTAATTAAAAGATTAGTATTTGATTTCTTCAAAAATTAAGCATGAAACCCATTATACATACAATGAATTAAAAAAAAAACACATGAAAAGCCTACCCCCAGAAGTTAGTGAATCACTATCAGCATCCTGGCCTCTATGTGGCCACATATTGTAGATATAAGGCACCCCTCTGCCTCCATCTTGGTGTTGGGGAGATGATGAAACCCTGCCATGAGACTGATATGGGACTGAATGGATTGAGTTAGGATGGGGGCTGTCAGGTCTTTCATGGTGAGCCAAGGCATTTGATGCCAAAATGGTGGAAGACCCAATAGGTTTTTTCAGTGATAGAAAAAGATCATCATGGCAGTCTAGAGTGGATGGCACCTCTACCTCTCCAAAACTTACATCAGACCTGTCAAGATTAAGAAATTTTTAATCATAGGCAAAGAGGATGAACATTTCTTTTTAATTAGATAATAGGTTAAGGTAGCTTAAACTAATTCCTTGTTTAGTATCAAAGAAAATCATCTTACCAATCACTATTGCTAGATGTAGAATGATGTTGCAGTGGAGGATGACCAACAGAAGACGCCGGCATGTTTAAGGAACGTGTAGACTGCCGTGATTTAGTCACAGGCTTATCAGGGCTCCACTCAAGTGTGCTTTTACTTCTTCTGACTGCTTTTCTTTCTTTCCTCATCCGCAATTTTGGCGTAGATGATAGATCAGGGCAGGAATCTTTATCCTCTGTGAAATCTTTTCTTTCCATTACTACATGCTGAGAATGTGAGTGCCCTGAAGCCTTTCCTTGTATCTGTTCAGCATTGTCTGCATCTTTCTTCATAGTTGTGTTATCTTTAGTTTCCTCATGACTGCCATTATCCACTGTTGAAAGGTTTGTTTCAACCTTTACTTGTTCCTTATTGTTATTGGCTAAATCAGAACTTTTAAGAGGTTCAATGAATGGCTCAGGTGGTTCTTCACGGTTGGTTGATGACACAGGTGTAGGTTCAATATCAGCTTGAGTTGTTATTGTATGAGGAATGTCATCATCTTGATCTGGGGAATCATCATCTTCTGGAATAAAATTTGGAAATAAAAAAATGACAAACTCAAATTATCCAACCACCTCTCATAAGTTCTGTGCTTAGTATTTTTTGTTGTGAAAAAGTTGCATCAATTTTAAGTTCCTCAATGTATAGGAAATGATTATTATAAATCTAAAGCTGATCACCTGCTTTTTTTTTAACAAGGATGGTATAAAATGATGAAGAGATAAAGCCTTGATTATTATACATTTGAGTACAAGTCAAAACTGCAGTTATCTAATTAATACAACAAAATATGAGCTCTAATACCAAAAACCATTAGGCACACACATATATAATGCAAATTTTTATTAGTTGTTGAATACACACAAAAAAGCATTTGACTATCTAAATGCTGCTCATGCCAATTTAGAACCATAATAATGTCTCAATGCCACTATTAAATCATTATTAATTTACAATTTGGAAACAAATCTTAAGAAAAAGAAAAATACTGCTAGATCATAGGATACAAAAGAAGCTGCTGGTTCAATTACTTTAATATTACTATTAGTTCAAAGCTAGTTTTTTATCACCCAGCAATGTTTCTCTTTGAAAAATGATACAGACAAAGCGTGAGCATGTTTCTGGATAAAGGTAGGGAACTATTATTTTTTCAAATAATAACTGGAAAAACTATACAAGTATTCCTTAACTGGGCTGCCCCTCTTTTATTAACACATGTCATGTGGTGACCAGTGAACAAAAGCAACACAAAATGCCAATATTCAGAAACAAACTCAACACTACCGTTTCCACTGCTAGTGTTGTCATGCTTTGACTCAAGGTTTGAGGAAATTCTTCCTGAACCTCCCATTGTGATCTCATCCCCATCTATTTCAGCAAGTGGAGCTTTACCTGTTGTGAGATAGGTGCAATTATCCCATAAAAAAATTATCTCAAAACAAATACAGCTGTCTTTTAACTCACATCAGAATCACTGTTTTTAGTGGTTAATTTTACAGCTGTTGGATGTTATAAAATACTGTACCCACTGCAAATTTTAAAATATAAAGTGGATTTAATTCAAAAATTTCCAGTGAATGTTACACCTATTGTATAAGTAGTTACAAATAGAAAATGTACTTCAGTTGTACAGATGAACTTAGGTACAATAAAAGCTTCATTAAAAAAAGGTTTTTATAAGCTTTTTTTTTTATGTCCTAAAGAAGAAACATAGGATAGGAATTCTGACTAAAAAATAAATAGGTTAGAAATTCGAGGGGAAAATGTTATAAAAAATAAATTAACTACCCATGGTATTATTGGTGTCTGGTCATGAGCCCTCTGGACAAAAACCCCAGTGACATACCCCCCTCCCCAAATTGAAGTTTATATAAGGAAGACTAACGATTGTGAAAACCAATGTTCTTCATTAAAACAAAACAAACATATGAAGAAAAAAACAGTACTTTATTTTGAATTAATAGTTTTAATTAATTACAATTTTAAAAGATGGATTGTAAGTGATGCCTCACTTATGTTGCGCTAATTAAAACTTTGAACAAAGGTTGAAATTTGAGTGCTGCTATTAATATTTGTTTGTGTGTTTTGGTAATAAGCCTCTTTAAGCAATTGCTACTTCTAAAATAAAGCAGGAGTGATCTCCTCTAAACTTTCTCGAATTTACTTATATAAGACTACGGGGAATGCAACTCAGGATATAGACATGATTTTTCATTAATTTTTAATTAAACTTTTTACTGAAGATAGAGAATTAAATCTTTAACTTATACAAGCTTTTGAAAAACCAAAAGTAGAATAAGTTTTACTTCAGTTACCAGATTTTACTCAAAAGTTGAAACAGAATGACAGATTTGATATAATACTTATAAATGAAATTTCATCAACCTAGCTGTAGCGATACTCAAGTTATCGTGTTCACATACATACATACATACATTCACAGACACACAGTTACAAAATTGCAAAGCCCAGTTTTTCCAACTCAATTATGCATATAACGTCGAAATTTTGCTAAATCTGGATTTAGCATATTTGCCCAAATAAAATAAGTCCACTCATATGATGAAGTACTGAGAAGTAAAACAGTGAAAACTGTCAAAATTGCATGTGATTTTTGTGCACAATTACAATCCTTCATCTATACCCTGTATATGAGAAAGTAAAAACTCAATGGCAAATGGTCTTCTGCATGCATGTGCATGTTCTACATATCAAATGAAAACATTAGTTGTTTCTATGAGGTCTGCAATTGGCATTGCTTGTTGGAAAGTTTCAGATAATTTTCTAAGGCATAACTAATGTTTCCAGTTAACTCAAAAGCCAATGCAGGCAGCTCCCAGGTTTGGATCACCTACATCTAAGGTGTTGTCTGTGCCAGCTCTTTGAGCAAATACAAATAATGTTAGGTAAAATTTTAACTAATGGAATTAAATATACAATCTTATATATGAAATATATATCTTTTAATGAATTAATATTTTAATTCATAGTAAAACAATGGTTTTTTTTTCTTCTTATTTTTGTTTTGTTTTAATTATGATTTTTGGCTTTCATAGTTAGTATTTCCTTATATGGGTTATTATCCAGGAGGTTTATGTATTGTCCCGGGGGGTATGGTGTATATGCAGAGGGTTTATGACCAGGAGCTGGTATTATTAAACTTCATGGAATAAAATGCTTGCTTTTGAAATAGTTACTTTATATGTGAACATATATGTTAGTATACAACAGACAATTTTAATATGCATTATTAACATCTATAGTTGTATGATTATTAGTGAACCAGCATACCAAGAGGCATAAAATAACTAAAAGCAATATTAAGTAAGTACCTGCTTTGGATAACTTGGCCACAATAGGTGATGGGAGAGGTTCATTGGAATAATCCTTACCCATCTCAAGTTGAGAAGACACTGTTGAGAGGGGTCGGACTGTGTCTCCACCACCTAATGAAGGCCCTAAATTTGCAAGTTCAATGTACTCATTTTCTTTGCATTCACCTCCCCTGAAAAAGAGATTCATAAGAAAAATATAGACTTGTATTCTTTTATTAATTAACATTTTTTGCAAATAAAAGAAATAAAATGATTAAATTGTAAATATCCTACCCTTTTCCTCCTTCATCTTTATCTCCTGATCCCAATCTATCTGCATCTGCAGTTGGTGATTCTACTTCAGCTTCACCAGTATCAAATAGGTGATGAAGCTTATAGTTGATTATTTTAATTGTGGCAAATAGCACACCAATTGCAAGACAGTACATACTCCATACTAGCACTGATGTTTCCAAAGTCTATGGAAGCAAAATAACAAAAATAAATCACAACACACATCTTCTACCCCCCTCCACTCTTTCTCATTCTTAATATATGAGCCTACAATGTTGTTAGATCTTTTTTTTTGTGCATATCTTATTTTAAACTTTGGGCTGAACTTCCAAAAAACTAGCTGCAGGTTTATGTATGTCAGTTAAGAACACTTTTCATGAGTTTTCCAATTTTTAAGAAGGTAAATAATAATTTTGGGACATTTTATCAGATATGTCAACAAAAAAATAAACAGCTTTTCTAAATGGCATTATAATCAGTGGTTGCTACAAATACTTAAAGTGAATCCTCCTGAGATTCAACCGCCCCTAAAATTACAAATGAAGTAAAACTAATTGTTGGGAAATTTCAAAATCATCCCAAGTTTTGTTAACAAGAAATAAATCCAGAAAATAACTACACATTCCAAGTATAGCATATCTAAATGTGAGTGCTTGATATTTGTGATTGTCTGTTACTGGCTAGACAATATGCTACTGTCATAGCATAGAAAGATAGAAATTAGACATGATTGGTAGAGATTAATAAGGACGGTGCAAACTTAGTATTGACGGTAGGCCATTTGGTTTGATGTGCGCTTGTTTTTTTTTTGTTTTAATAGAACATGTGTGGCGTGACAATGTTACTAGTTAGAGATGACATAGGACACATAACTGAAGAGACGGATGGGGGTTTTGCCAATAGTAGGAAAAGAACATGGTTAGATATTTGTGGAGCAGATCCAGTAATTAGTGGTTGATATTAAAGTTAGTTTTAGTTTTATTTCATGATAGGATTTGTTGGTATCTAAAATCTTGGCCCTTAGGGCTTAGACCTGTTAGAAGTCCAATAAATTAAAATAAACCGGGAGTGATCTCCCCTAAACTTTCTAGAATATTCTAATATAACACTACGTGGGATGGCAACTCGGAATATAGACATGATTTTTTGTTTACTTAAACTTTTAAAAATAGAATAAAAGTCGAAAAAAGAATTGCGCACCAAGCGAACGCCAAAACAAAATGTGCATAATATTATTAGTACTTTATAAATTTACATGCGTTTTTTGAGAAAACTGAAATAGCGTAAATTAGTACTTCCAGTCAACGGAAATTACTCAAAATTTGACAGAAGGTAGAGAATTAGATCTTTTACTTACATGTGAAATTTCATTTATCTGAAATAGTACTCAAGTTATAAGCTTTTGAAAAATTCAAAGTAGTAAATGTACCAATTCCGGTTATCAGAATCGCTCAAAAGTTGATACGGATCTACGATTTTGATAAAATACTTACCCATATATGAAATTTCATCAACCTAGCTGTAACGGTACTCAAGTTATCGTGTTTACGCACACACACAGACAGACACACAGACAAGATTGCAAAATTATGTTTTTCCGTATCAGTGAGGTGTAAAACCTCGAGATTTCTAAAAATCTCGATTTTTTTTTTTTTTTTTGCGCGCGATTACAAGACTCTTTATACTTCATATAAACGAGAAAGTAAAAATTAAAAATGAAACTAAAATAATTAAATTAACTCTACTCTAAATCTAGGCCCTAGAGGTCTAATAGTAGCAATATTTAATAAATACTACTGAGCAATTATAAATCAAACTGTTATTTAGGATGTCTAACTAACACTCGTTTGGCTATAACTTACCGAATACAAGACTAATGGAAAAGCAAGCAGGAAAACCCAAAGATAAAGATGAAAAGTGTTGCAAAAAACTTGCTGTTGTGGATCGTAGAACCATCCCCCTGTTATAGATGCCCAAATCCCTTGGCGGAGAATATCCAGAATATGAGATCCCATTGACCAACACCAGAAAATAGTATTACATTGCCTGAGACCGTTCCATCAGGTCTCTATGAGCAACATATTCAAATTAAAATTTGGTTCGTCTTCCTTGTTTGTGATCTACACAACAACCCATGTAAACAGCCATTACTTTACCATTCTCACAAGACATCGCAGAGCACGAGAAACGACGATGTCTAAATAAGTGCTACCCCAGTACGATAGTAAGACGAGGATAAAAAAATTGTGTGAATTTAAAATTATTTAATTTCTTTCATATGTGTTCTTTTATTTTCCCAAAGGGATTAATATAATTATTATTTAAAGTAAAAATAACGTTATAATTCTAATTTCAAGGTCAAAGTACATCATCATGGCGGCTAGTGGTACCAGATTCCCAACAAAGGTGTCAAAATAATTTCTCATGAACACATGTACATTTTAGGGCCATGAAATTAAACTATATCTCTAAATTCCCTATTTCGGTCATCAAATATGACTTAAAGTGCGAAAAAATCCACTTTACAAGGTTAATTTGATATGTGCATTTGAGTGGAATGGTAATGTTTGTGTATTTCCACCCAAGTTGTGGGGTGGATCAACAATGCATCAGAATTCGAATATTTTGATGCTCACCTTTTCTCATTACAAATCCATCGAATGCGACACAAGGGTGTGTCTGCTTTATCGATGGAACCATCTCAGTTTGCTGAACGACGAGGTCGACGAGATGAGAATGACCAGAGTCCATTATGGACTGCTATCTTCGACTACGAAGCAGCAAGAGAAGATGAGCTTACTCTTCGAAGAGGTACTCAAGTACAGGTTTTGTCTGTTGATTCAGGAGATGATGGGTGGTGGATGGGACAAGCAGAGGGTAAAGTTGGAATTTTTCCAAGTAATTTTGTTGCCAAAGATTCTCAGTTGAATGTAGACAAATTACCACCTGACATAAAATCAAAAGACAGGCCATTCGAGATCAATTTTGAAGAACTTGACTTAGAAGAGGTAATTGGTGTTGGTGGCTTTGGTAAAGTTTATAAGGGAAGATGGCGACAAGAAACTGTGGCAATTAAGGCAGCAAGGCAGGACCCTGATGAACCAATAAGTGTAACAATAGAAAATGTTAGGAAGGAAGCAAAACTATTTTGGCTTCTTAGCCATGTAAACATTGCAGCTTTAAGAGGAGTATGCTTAAAACCTCCAAATTTATGTCTTGTGATGGAATATGCCGCTGGAGGCTCATTAAATCGAGTTCTGGGAGGAAAACAAATCCCGCCTGAAATTCTTGTGAACTGGGCTTTACAAATTGCTCACGGCATGCATTATCTTCATGAGCTTGCTCCATTAACTTTGGTACATAGGGATTTAAAATCAAGCAACAGTGAGTATTTCAACTAATTTATTTGATAAGCTTTTTTTTTAACCTGCTATGTTAAGCTTATTTGAAATCTGTGTGATCCTGTTTATATTAGTTTCCATTCAATTCATAGTGGTTTTCTTCCTGGTGTCATCTTCAAGACTGTGATTCCAGAAATAGGTCATATTTCTATTGTTCCTTTCCTTTTATTAACAGGAACAAATAGTAATTTAGTTAAGAAGTTTATTTCTTGTCAGTATTTTAATGATAAAAAAAACCAACTCAATATAGGCCCATATTATAGAGCTTTCAAATCACCCTAAAAACACATTTTAAATAGTAAAATCAAAACTTCAAAACATTGATTAGTCTTACATAAATTAAATTTTAAAATAATGTAGGCTTATCTTGATTAATAGGCTTTTATCAAGTTTATTGATATTTTCAAGAAGAAATCCAATTAAAAACTGATAACAGAGGTAATAGAGGGAACCCCCCCCCCCCCTCCCTGAGACTGAAAATGCTTTACTTTACTTACAAATTAGAAGGCCTATGCCTATTAATGATTAACTTGCCTCTCCTATCTAAAGAAATTAATTTTTTAATGCTTTTCAGTTATTCTAAAATAATGTTATTGAAGTTATTTAAGCAAGGGCTACACAGTTCTCCTCTCATATTCTAGACATATATTCTCCTACAGGCAATTATAATTGCCATTGTTATTTTCATATGTCTTCTCTCTGCATTATTGCAGATACAAAGCTGTGATTTTAAAAAGTTAATGGGGTCATATGTATATTTATTGTAGGACAATGATCACTTGTTACTTTAATACTTTAATTACATATAGTTAATTACCTTATTTTCTGTGAAACCTTATGTATGAATACAAATTGCTTGCTGGTTGCTATAGTGTTATAGACAAGTTATTTTGTAAGTGAAGAATAGGTTTTAAGAAAAAAGTACATACAGCTCTGCCTTGAATTTGTGACATACCTAAACTTGTATGAAAGCTAGGCTAGAACATAATTTTTGTGTAATCGGTAAGTTTAGGAAAAGTAGGCCTATATCTCTTAAACTATGCAATCTTAGTATTACACTCTATCATGTGTTATGCTAAAAATAAGCTTGCCAATGCATTTTTATATTTGCCCGCTTATTAATATTAATGGACTTAATGTTCATAAGGAACTAGTTAAATTTATGACCTTCTTGCAAGACAACTTGTTATTAGACAATTTTTAAAATAAAAAATGTTCCCCATTTTCCACTATTACAGCTAGAATATTTTTATCTTCCCATTTTGAAGTTTTATATATTGCATGTAATGATCTGCCCAGATTAATCTCAGTCATGTTTGTAATGTTGTTTGTCTGATCACAATTACCATACCCTTGGGACATAACCCTGTAAAAACAACCCTTATTCTCCCCCTTCCCACCCCTCTTCCTCCCCATTACAATTTGAATTGTAACTTTAAAGATAAACTGAAAATAGGTATAAAAGGGTATAAATGTGATTTGATGTTTTATACATGCTTATTAATACATTTGTATTACAGAATAATTTTTTTTTAGAAAAAATGATTTGATTTAAAAATGTGCATTCTAAAGAACTGATTGCGAGCCCCCATCTCTGAACGTATCTTATGTTCACAGTGCTTACTTTAACATAGCTATCTAACACAACCATAATACCATACATTTCTAAAGTTTTGTACAATAGTTACAATTCTGTTGCTGCTAGTAAAACACATCATTTATTTTTTTGCTAAATAGAAGTAAATTAACTTACCAAATATCCACAGTTTTACTTAAAGAATCAGTTGATAGTGGAGATCTTGCTCAGAAAAATCTAAAGATCACAGATTTTGGACTAGCACGAGAAGTCGAGCAAACCACAAGAATGAGTGCAGCAGGAACATATGCATGGATGGCTCCTGAAGTTATAAAGCTTTCCCGTTTTTCTAAAAAAAGTGATGTTTGGAGGTAAGTACTCGTCAAATAGTTTCATTAAGAAAACAACTGCAAATTTCATTCAGTGGACTCGTTTTATTTAGTTTATTTTTTCATTATAAAATCTTGTGCTAGATTTGTAATTTGCTTTAGTTAGTAGTTTGGCCTTAAATTTTTAAGGACTTGTCCAATATTAATGGGTATCCATGAGTAGTTGGTGGTAAAGGCACTTATCAATATACAATTCACAATCTCTTTCTATTCCATGGTCCTGTTTTGCTGTATGGCTTAACTGATACTGAAAATTAAAGATTCCAGCTGTCTGGTTACTGTTTGTGAAAAAAAAACCAAACCAAAAGACAAAGAAATAATTGAAAAAATTGTTCTGTTTACAGTTATGGAGTGGTGCTGTGGGAACTTTTAACTGGAGAAACACCTTACAAAGGAATTGATGCACTAGGTGTAGCTTATGGTGTAGCAGTAAATAAACTCACTCTTCCTATACCTTCAACATGTCCTCATATGTTTTCACAACTCATGGCTGGTACACAACGTTTTATTTTATAGATAAGAAATGATACGTTTAACCCACATTAGTTCACCCTCATTTATACATGGAATATAAATAAATAAATAGTTTAAAATTCTTTACAGATTGCTGGCATCAGGAGCCTCATGAACGACCAACATTTCGGGATATACTGCAGCGCTTAGAAGAGATTGCCACGTCTTCTTTCGTTACAACGCCTCATGAGTCTTTTTCTAATATGCAAGATGATTGGCGCTTGGAGATTGAACAAATGTTTGATGAGCTGCGCAGTAGAGAAAAGGTGTGGTTTTTTTACTTAAATTGTATTGAAATATGATCTTAGTCTACTCTACTTCATTAGAACTAATTACCTTTTATATGCATATTTAAATTTGATGCAGTTAATTTATTTGACAAGAAATTCTTGTACTTCAGCAATACTTGAAATTTTAAATACAGTTTGCAAATGTGAAAATTTAACTGGAACATTATTAACTATAAGACGCTACAAAAGAAACATTCACTTTTATTTTTCACTTCATTAAATATAGTTATACATTTCTTCATATCAACTGATGGATAGCTAATATTTATATTATTTAATTACCTGCTCATCAGCTTTATGTGTTCAGAACTTGAATAACTGTATCTGTATTGTTAGAACAGTTTTTAAACTATACTTGTTTTATACAGGAATTAAGGTGTAGAGAGGAGGAGTTGACTAAAGCAGAACTTCAACAAAAAATACAAGAAGATGCACTCAAAAGAAGAGAACAAGATCTTGCAGCCAGAGAAATAGAACTATTAGAACGAGAGTTGAATATACTTATACTTCAACAAGTAATGCACAAACCTACTCCAAAGAAACGGAAAAGTAGAAAAAGTAGATTGAAGGCTTTGAAATATGGCGGGAAAAAAATTAGTGAACCTTCTGGTTGGTCTTTTTATCTATTTAAATTAAAAGTTTTTTTGTTGTGTTTCCCAACATTCTCGGCTAAATTTATTCTTTTTTTAAATTTCAAAAGTCAGCCTAATTCTAGAATTGATTAAAACACACACAATTACTTCCTTTGTTGATTTAAATTAATTGTATATTCAAGCTATAAATCCAGAGGAATCAATGTTTTGATAACTTAGTATTTGAAAAATAAGCTCTCAATTATGAAAAGATATTTTAAAATGTTTATTTAAAAGCTGATGTTAATCAATTGCCCTAAACCAGGGGTCTCCAAACTTTTCAGTCCGAGGGCCGCATTAGCTATCAAATTTCAGTTCGGGGGCCAGTTTCTTCCAGATATGTCTTTAATTTTTCTGGGCAAAGTTCCTCAGCCATCACCAGCAAACATTTTTTCCGTGGACAAAAAGATCTCCGTGGGCCGGATGAAAGGACCTCGCGGGCCGCATCTGGCCCGCGGGCCGTAGTTTGGAGACCCCTGCCCTAAACAATCAAAATATGTTAGTACAGGCAGTGGCATCGCCAGGGGTTGTATAATCCCTTCTTCTCTTTCTTCTTTAAGTGTTTGAGTTTAAAGACTATTTTTGCATTTGCTGTTCTACAGATTTTAGACATAATATCACAGTTCAAAAGGAGGAATTATCTTTGTATGAAAAACGTTCTTATGGTGGTGCAACTAGTCCAGACAGTCCTCCAGCAACACCTACTCATGCACCTCCACCACCACGTTTCAGGGCAATAGCCTGTAAGTAATTTTCAAACTTAAATTATAATAAGTAGTGCTTTTAAATTGAAGCTAAGTTTTAAAAAAGTCATCTAATATAAGAAAAATTTTGCTGGCTTAACCAATGTGTCTTTGTTGCTTATGTTTACTTTTTGTTTATGGAAAAAAATTGAAAATAATCTTTCACTAGAACTTGTAACAGTTTACTTTGATTAATAAATGAGCAGAAGAAACATTTTTTTCCTTTTTTTTTTTTTAATTTGAAATTTACCACTGATCTTTTAGTTTTAGAAAACTATTTTTAAAAACTGAATTGTTTAATGAATTATGCCGTTTGACACTTTTAAAACTTTTTAACTAGATCCCCCCGGAGATGGAAGGAAGGGTAAAACTTGGGGCCCGAGCTCTGTTCAGAAAGACAGACATCAGAGGTCATCAATCATTTTTGCAGATGGGCGATGGTCAAAGAGTGCTCCTAATTTAGAAAAATCTCTTCGACAACTTGGAGGTGGTAATTCTAATATGGGAGCAGTTAATCACTTATGTAAGCTTTATGTTTATTTATTTTTTCGCATTTAATGAAACATTAATTTCATAATATAGATGTAATCTTTCTGCTTTTTTTCAAAAGTGTAAAATGAACAAAATAATGAATTACAGCCTACTATAATTTAGTTCCCACAATATTTCAGGGCTCTTTAAAGTTTTTAAATAATTTCATTTATTATTCAAGGTCTTTGAAATATCTAAATGACACCTCCCAGAAATACATTAAATTGTTTGCGAAAAAACTTTTAGGTGGTTGGTTATATCTCTGCAATTTTTATTCTTAATTTTCATGCACGATTAATAAAAATTGATTTTTACTTAGTATCTAAAACCATGTATGAAAATACAAATGTCATTATATGTAACTTAATAGTTATCCACATTTAACCACATTTAAACATTTATTAATCATTAAAACTATGGATTTTTCTAGATGATGAGGAGGATTCATTGCCTGGTGATATAGATGAACCGTCTCCTAAATCAAGAAGCATTCCACACACCCCTGCTGCTACACCTACTAGCCCATTTGTGAGAGGCAAAAGGACTGATTGTTCATTTTATCACATGTCCACCATACTTGCTGCTGTAGCCATGGGCTTTGATATTGGCATAGCTAATACCAGAGCAATCCATCCAAGTTTACATATGCCAAGTGGTGAGGAAGACAGAAGCCTGAAAAAACGAGACTCTTATATCAACAATCGTAGGGATGCATATCTTGCGGCTGTGAGGGATGCAATGATTGACCCAGCAGGAGATTATCGCTCCTATCAGAACACACCTGGATACTGGCATACATATCATGGTGTACAGGCTAGGCAAAGGCCTGGTCTGAATTTAGAGCTAGACTCTCCTGCATTTAATGATGTTGAGTTTAACAACCAAGTTGTGGGTGCACCTTACCCCAATTACAATGCATGGACAGCTTCACACCGCTCTTCTTTTGCTGATAGTGAAGCATCTGTGGCAACTGCTACGCCCACAACTGAGAGAACTGTGATTTACAACCGCCAGCTTTCATCAGAGTCTAACTTAGACTCTTCTAAACCTGCAGGTCAGGAGGCTGGTAACAAGCTCCAGCGGCGTTCTGTGACATTTGAGGATGATTTTATCCCAACAGACAACATAAAACCTAACAATAGTAGCATGTTCAACTCACACAAAAGAACACCCTCAAATACCTCAAATTCATCAGCAACAATTGATCAACAAGACAGCAGATATGCGGTCTCTACAGAATTTTTTCTCGTACCTCATTCAGACTATAACTCATTAGCATTAACACCCCAACAGCAGCAGCCGATTCCGCCTCGTCGAAAACCAGGAGCAGAACCAGCCCAGAGACCAACAACTCTAGATGTAGGGGCATCGACTAGACCTGTTCCAATACAACTTAGGTATCCTGCTGCTTCACCTGGATTCTTGTACAGCAGGGACACAGGGCGAGGAAAAGGAGCTTCTGCAGATGAGGCAGCCCATTACTTCTCAAGTAGGTCACACCTTTCACCAGGAAACACACCACCACATATAGCACACCAAAAAACTTTGCTGGATATTGATGTAGAAGGACAAAATCAGGATTCAACAAGACCACTGGTTCATCATAACACAGGGAATAAATACAATGTGACTGACTTAGAAAAGGAGTTCCTATGATAACTTACAATTATGTATGTATTAATTAAAATCATTTTTAACTGCTAAGTATAACAAAATGTACATATAATTAATGGCGAAATGGAGTGTAAAGAATGTCTAAATTATTTTTTTTTAAATTAACTGTAAGTTTGGCATGCAGAAAGTGATGATCAGGATGCTAAGTTTACCAAAACCCAAGTGTGATGAAAGAACCATTTTAACTTTGTTCACCATATCCTTATATCATATCAATGTTATCATTCTATTTAGTTACTCTTTTCATATAGATATGTAATTTTGTATATCGGTATGTATATAAAAATATAGCATTTTCAGTGTAATTAATAGTTAGGGTTTTCAACTAATCGATAAATGCCATGTACTTCAAATCCTACTGTGTTTTTAAAAGGAAAACTGTCTGAGTTGAAGTCTTGTACAGTTTTGGTTGAACTTTCTAGTGAACTATATTTTTAGTGCCAAAGGACAATGAAACACGATTACTTTTTCTAGAAAGCTCAAGACAAAAATACTTTTAAACTTCCAATTGCAATAGGTTTAGGCTTTTCTGTGTGTGATGTGCTAAGAATTTATTTATACTAGTTGACAAATAGATTTGTTTGTCTTGAATCAAGTTTGTTTTTATATGTTATGCTACAACATCAGCTCATATTTTGTAGGCATTTAATGTTAAGGTTTCAAATCTTTTACTCATGACCAAATAAATTTTTTATTTCACTTACATGTTCAAACATATTTTGACCAAATGAAATAAAACTTTAAAATATGCTAGAAAAATCCCATTAAATATTTAAATGTAACGTAACTCAGATTATAGTAGAACTCCTGAAATTATTTTCTGCAAAGAAAAAGTATTTAAATGAGTCATTCATTATATTCTTGGATTTACTGTCAGAGAAAAAAAAGATAATTTAACTACTTTTTAAACCAGCCAGGGATGGCTAGTATGGTCACAAATGTACAGGTTCTATGTGTATGCTACTGATTTAAATGGTCATCAGATTTAAAAAGTATTTTCATTTGATCTGCAAACCTCAAGAAAAGATAGTCAACTAATTAAAAAAATTATAACTCAACATTGATCTAGTAAGAATTTAAAAAAGGTCTGGTGTAAAATATGTTTTTAATGTGTGGGATAAATATTGAAGTACACTCTGTGTCAGCAGCTGTTACAATTTGACATCAGTTTTATTAACAAATCATGCAGGATAGGTGTTGATGTTTGAGCTAGTAACTTAATGAAAACAAATTTGTGTATAAAAACAATTATGCTTATATTGAAGCCATAAGATTTAAAAACTCTTTTCATAATAGATCATTGTGCCAAACAGTGATAAATTATAATCAGATGGAGATAATTAATCAACATTATTATATTAACTTGTACTATATTTCTAATTCTTCCTGCCTCAATATTATATGCTTCATGTTATAATTTTTAATGTGTATGTGAAATAACTGGCACCTGAAAACTATTTATTGTAGAAACAAAATACTTTTTTAGCAAAATTTGTTATTGTATAATGGTGGGAATGGTGCGATATAATTTCAATAATACTTAAATCTTGTTTGTACTGAATACTTGGATGAGTACTGAATACTTGGATGAGAACATTACCAGCAGTAAGTTCCGCAACAGTTTATACATATCATGTAACAACTAGTACCATAGCAATGGCTATATTGGGTTTAGGGCCATTATCCCAATAGTTTACTGCCAGACAATCCTATACTCTAAAACTCATTTGTCATTTTGCAATTTATAAAAATTGGGGGTGTCTGCAGTTTTGTTGACATTCTAAGTCAAGCAAGAACCAATGCGTAAACAGATGATTCTCTTTGGTTCCTCTCATTTGCTTGGTAAAGGCGTGCCGTTTAAAATTAATGTCATTCCCTTATTATTTATTTTTCAACAAACCAATGTTTAGGCAATGTGTTTAGGTACTTATTCAAGTAAAATGTGATATAATTTGGCTTTGGTCACCATTTTGAAACGTGGAACATTGAAAAATATTAAACATCCATTTTTATTAAAAGAATAATTAGACTTAGCCTAGGAGTTCAAGTCTTCTGGCTGATGAGATGTTGGGCAGTAGTCCTTCAGGTGTGGCAGCTGTCTGGTACACACATTACAAATAACAAATCTTATCATAGATATGATGTAAAAGTAGAAGAAAAAATTTTTTCAATAAGGAAGGGAAAGTAAAAGCATTAAAATATTATCATTTGAATTTCAAATTCTTGTCTTCAAAACATTTCAAAAGAAACAAAGCTGTTTCTATGGCTTCTAGTAACATTTCTCAGAAAATTCATGTACTATTAGATAGTTATCAAACATGTTCTCAGTGTTAATGTACTGTTAATTTGACTCATTGTTGGTTAACTTAGTCTCATAACAAGAAAGGTCTGTTATTCCTGTCTTTTTTTTTTAAATGCTTTTATAAGAAGCAATACAAAGTAAAAATTGTGAGGGTTTACCTTGGTAAAGTTAATAGATTTACTGCATGGAAATAAATTTATTCATAGACTGTAAATGTTAATCCTGACACATTAACAAACACAATTTCCTTGTACAGTTAAGTACCAGTTTAGTGTAATTTTCTACTTTAATATTTATATACATCAAAATGTTTAAAAAGACTTTATGCAATTTCTACTCTTGTTAATTAATTTTTTATTATTCTACATGTATTAAAAAAATTTGATGGGAATAAATGGATAGTAAATAAAAGTAATTAGAAGCTATAAAACATTTTTTTAAAATTACAGTTTTAAAATAATAGCTGGAAAACAATTGAGTAAAAATGTAAACTTTGTATCATTCACCTCCCAGGTTCTTTTTTTGTATGTCTTGTTGCATTATTACTACATAAAGCTAGTCATGATAAGGCCATAATTTGTTGAGTTGGTCAGAATATTTATTTCATGAAATTATCAACTATTATTACAATAACAGCTTGAGATTTCTTTGCCATCAAAATAAAAAAAAAAGTAATTTATATGCATTTAATATTGTTTTTTTTTTATTAAAATATAATTTAAGTATATTGTGTATATTGGCAGATCTTGTTAAGTTTTAAAATTGACATTCAGTGTGTGTTTTTAACATGCCTTATATACATAGTAAAAGAATAAAATGTATATTTGTATTCATTTGAAAACAAAGCAATGTTTACGATCAAAATTGTACATAGTAATGATATCAAGTTATACAAACGTCAATAAAATCTTAACTGGTTTTAATTAAAACTCAACTTGGATTATCCTGGTTAACTAAAATATAGAAGCACTAATTCAATTTAATTCAACCATCTAAGACTGAAGTGCAAAGATAAAGATCATGATGATGCAGCTCTAACTATTGTTGTAATGAAATACTTGTTCTATTACATAAATAATATATTATGTAACTATTTTATAATATTTTTGCATATACTTGTAAAAATGGTAATTTGTAAATTCCAAATTACTGTCTTCCCATAAAATATGTGATAGAGCCAACAAAAACTATGCATATCTCAAAGCAAGTGCTCTTGTATTCAACACCCAATGTTTAATTTTTGTGTGTAAATATACTGCTGTATTTTTTTAAATTCTTGTGTCCAGGATGCCTTAACCTTGTTAGCATTCAATATTTTATATATATATATATATATATATATATATATATATATATATATATATATATATATATATATATATATATTCATTTTAGTTATCCATCTAGAAGTATATAGGTTTAGTGCACTTTTAACATCACAAATGGTTGTATTTTTTTTTTTGGTATTTTTTTTCAATACGTTTTTATTAAAAAGCACTGAATTATTAATGACAGTAATCAATGCAAAATCAGTTTTCTGCAATAAAAATCTGGCTCAGCGCAAGAAAATGCAAACACATTTAGTTGGAGTAAATCTGAATTTTAACCAAATGTTCTAAAAAGAATCTAATAAAATTTAGATTATCATGTTAAGTTAGTTTACTTTCAGTTTTTAATTTTTAACATTTTCCATGCCTTTATATCTGTATTTAAATTATGTAATTCCATCTTCAAAAAAGAGAAATAAAACCAAAGTTGTGAGTTCATTTTATTTTTAAGTAATTAATGCTAAAAACTGTTTACTATTTATTCATATAATATAAATATTTTTATTACTAAAGTTAAAACTAATTGATTATGTATAACTTTAAAAATAACAGTTTATATCTTATAACAAACATTCCCACCATTAACAGCTTGTGAGTGTATAGGGTATATATATATATATATATATATATATATATATATATATATATATATATATATATATATATATATAGTCCTATATATATATATATATATATATATATATATATATATATAGTCCTATATATATATATATATATATATATATATAGTCCTATATATCTAGAATGTACACCTATGTTTTCAAAAATAAAAAGTAATAAACAAACTGACAAAAGAAACATTAGATTTTATAATGCCATTACATATTTTTCAGTCTTGTAATATCTATAGTGATTTTTTTACATGTTTCACGTTTGAGAAGAAACTCATTTTTTGGCCATCAATTCATTTATTTAAAATGCATCATATTTTTCTATGATTAAATGAATATCTGTATTTAAGTTTACATGCACTAATATTTGCTTTGGACCTACTATGGGCTTTATTAAGAGTGCCCAAACACCATATTGCTTATTTGTTCCATTTACTGTAAGTTCTTTGTTTGAAAAAAATAAAATTCTGCACTATGAAGCATTAACTTAAAACATCAAATGTGATAGGATTTTAAAAGTTCACAGAGCCTTAAAGTCTTCCACTTCCTTTCAAAGTTTTTGTTCACTTTTTAAAATTGAATAAATAATTATATCAGCTTTAAGTTTTCTAGTATCGGGACATTTAATTTTCAAAACAAGTATATTTTAGTATAAGGATGTGTGATTTAAAAATAATAGATTGTGTGTCAGCTTATGTCTTGTAATGCATGCACTTCAAAAAGTAAACCATCTTTTCAATTAAGATTTTGTATTTAAAAAAAATGTTGTGTGCCTTCTTTTATTAGGGACCTGTGATTACTTTTTTAAGCAATTGTAATGTATACAACTTATGTTTATTTTGTCTTTACTCATTGCTCTGTTATGTGAATCTTTGTAAAAGCCAAGTGTTTTGTACAAAACAGTATGATATTGTGAATGGACATAGCAATGTATCTCAGGATATTTGTATTGGTGCATGACCCAGTCCTAACGTTGTATTGGTGAAGAAAATTTAATACTCCCACACAAGGTAGACTTTTTCAATACTCCAGTATCATGAACTATAGGAATTTATACAGTGCAGACTGTTACTTTCATTTGTTGCCCTCACTAATGTTTTTGGTATTTTTGCACCTGTCATTTTGATCTTAAAACACTATTTTAGTCTGTTATAATGATGAAATCTTAGGAAACTAACAATTTCTGATGTTTTTTTTTACTACGGCTGAAATATCTGTTGTGAGAAAAATGGTGATTTTTATGAAACAATTTATTCGGCCTTTAGGTTCATAGTTAAAAACTATAATTAAAAAAGCATTAGATTAAGAAAATGCCATAAATATATGTGCCTAAATAAATAGTTAGAAATAATGTCTTGTACACATTTTTTATTTGAAAACAGAGGTGCTAAGTGGAGGGTCAAATTTTTAGCTACATATATTTAATTTGGTTGTATGTCACACACTCTACCAATAGTGCATTGACTCCCATAGTTATTTGTTGTTTGATTTTTATTACCACAAAAAAAATTGATATTCAATTTTGATAACTGTGGATGAATTGCCTTTGAAATATATATATATTTAACTTTTGAGGTTGACTTTTTCTTAATGGCTACAAATCTTTTTTTAAAATAAATTGCAATTAGTTTTTATTCTTTAGCTAAACCCTAGGTAAATCTTTTCAAAGTGTACGTATTATAAAACTGTTTTTCAATTCATATTGTAGTATCCTGTTGAGCTTTGACAGTACAAAACTCAATTTTCTTTCATTTGAAATATGAACAAAAACTACTTAACAGATTATGTTCATTTTGACAATTTCTTAATCTGAACAAATGGCAAACATTCAAACATACCATTTAACCCTCATTCCATTTTCCCCCTCACATTTAGTATTTATTTGCATTTAACCTACAAGAAAACAACATTTTGATCTGTGTCATATTGTGTGTACCTACTTATATCTTGAACTATATCTGTTGGTGTGCATGTAAAGTGCCTCAAAAAAATGGGTCCAGGTATAGTGTAGCTTATGTAAACTAGACATTTAGACCATATATCAATTATTATTTTTATAAAACCTCACTGTAATATAATAAATAAATATACTTATATATAAAACCTTATTGACTGATGTGTGTCTATGACTCAACTGTTTATGAAATGTTTAAGTAGGTATGCATAAGTATAGACTGGTTCAGTTCATTCCTCTGTAAAATTTTAATGTAGGCCAACCATGCAAATATTAGCCATAAAACATAGATCTAGTTACATAGTAATTAGTAGGCCTATATATATATATATATGAAATATAATTTTAATTAAATAATATGAGGTTGATAGACCACCTGTCTTAATAAAAAAAGACGGAGAAAGCTTCACAAATCTTTTATAAAAATTTAATTCAAAGCCTAAGAAAAAAACTGTAGGTGTAAATTTAGAGTAAAATACTATTCCTTACTTCTTCATAGGCAAATGGACTAAATTCAATTAGTGTGAACAATGCACCAGTTAGTAATTTTCCTTTCAATTTGATTTAATGTTCATACTTTACAGGTAATTTAAAGACAGTGGCTAAAAAATGCAAATACATAAAAAGAAATTGCACGAAAAGTATTGCGATCAGTAGCAACTTTTATTTATCATTGAAAAATTAAACATTTAACAGAAAATTAACCAGAACCAATAATTTTGAATTGTTATTTTCACCTAACCCGTTAGACTTTAACAATCACAAGTGATTATTAATCTTATAAATTTTAAACAAGTGTTAAGTTTTCCAGTCTTAAATATTTTGTGCGTCACCATTTTTTTTTTTAAAGTGGAAATAAATGTGTAACCATTTGTCTTGAAGTTGAAGCACTGTATATATCAAATGTTTAGGATTGGGTCCTGTACAAAACAATGTCAAAATTCAATAAAGAACTAATGTCATAAATGGCTTTGAAATTATTTCATTCTTCCTGGACAGATGAGAGAAAATTCCAGAATCAAAAATCTGCTGCGCTGCAGATTGTTCTTGGTCAAACTAAGGCTATGAAAGCTCAGCCAAAGAATAGCAGCCTGATGGTTGTGCATACCATACTGACATATAATAATTAATTAAGTTAAAGGAAATGCAATAGAGACTATGGTACAACTAATAGTAGAATTTCATTTATATATTTGTAAGTTTATAAACAATTTCAGCCAGGGGTTTTAAAAGTACAAAAACTAAACTCTACAGTTCTGTCTCATGAATAAAAAAAGAATGCATTAAATATTTCTACCATAAATTGGTAATTTAAGGGGCGTCTTATCATTCATATTTTTATACGGGGTGAGTAGCATACATTTTATATTGTCACTATACATTTTGGAAGTATTTCTGTGTGATTGTGTTTGTAGGCAAATTTAAAAGTACCAAAAAAAAAATGCATTCTTATTCCTACTAAACCTGATTCAGTGTTACATTAAAGTAAGTAAAAATTCCTCTTTAGACCTAGTGATCATTGGGCAGATGAAATAGAATTATTTTTTATTGAAAGGATGGGGTCAGCACTATGAACAGCTGCCATTAATTTTCCTGTGAATTAGTTACCCACCAGAATTGGGTGGATCCAAGGACATTCCACTGACTTGAACTTGGATTCAAACTCAAAACTTTAGGGTTAGCTGTCTAGCTCTCTACCGCTAGACCATGGCATCCCAGTGTTGCATTATTTACTCATTATTTTTCCATACTCTTTTTTTTTGTAGTTTTGATATCCAGGGAAGAAACTATGACTATGGTATTCTTAACAGATTATAAGATGTTTGGGTTATAATGGTCAAATGCCAACATTTTATTAATCAGAAAAATTATCAAGATCGTTCAAAACTAAAGATTTGATTATTGGTGTAGATGATTTATTCAATGAAATAGTGCTGCACCATATTAATAAGTAAGTGTTAAGCAGATGATCGAACAAAGGGCTTATTTTTGCAGTATGTCTGGTATGTACAGTGAGCATAGTACACCAATAAATAAATAAATATTAGTGTTCAGAATCATACAGTGGTTAATATTTAGCCTGCCCAAAGAAATGGGTAGGCTAAATAAGACTGTATTTTGAGCAACACACAACAAAGTGCTCATACTTTTTTTTGTTTGCAATGATTTTTACAAGTGTGTAAAAATGACAGTATTTCTAAATAACAGTAATAAATATAAAACATTAGCTTAAATCATCAAATTATTTAATTCTGAAAACATATAAAGATGTACATTTGCACTATGATCATGCTTGTCAATGCCAAGTCAGCTGTTTGATTTCAAACCAGGAGTTGTCTGTACTGATGCATTTGTTTGTTCCTTTTTTACCCTCTTCCTTTTTATAGGGGTTCTGGACTTAACTGGTGTCTTAACTGTTGACCATAAATTAAAAGTGCTTGTATTAATAATATTTTTAAGAAATCTTAAGAAAATGACATTGGCATAAGGGTAACATTTTAGTTTATTTGAAAAACAAAACAAGAAAAGTGTTAATAATTATCTTGACTTTTAAAAAATTAACACTACACACCTGGAGATTTTTTTGTAGGAGGAGGCATTGGAAAGTGCTTCTTTTTTTGTGTTGCTGAAGTCCTGCTCTTTGATATAGGTGACTTTTTAGGTGAAACTTTGGCTTTAGTCAGTTTTGGTGATTTCTTTGGAACTTCTACTGTCTTTTTATTTTTTTTGGGTGATACAACTTCAACAGGCTCATCAGGAATAACTTTTCTTCTAGACTTTTTAACAACTGCTGGTGGAGTTTTTGATTTTTTTGCTTTAGGACTCATGTCAAAGTCTGTGCTTTTTCTTTTTGTTCCCTGTAAAAATTGTGATAATTAAATTTTATGTACTCTATTTTTGGAGTATAAAACATCAAAATTTGCAATTTTAAAACTATGAAATTTTGACAAATAAAGATAATGTATAAATTAAATAGCTAAATATATGGAACAGATTAAACACAAAATTGAAAATGTATAAGCAAATAAATAAACATTGCTGAAACTTCAAAGCTGAAAGTATTAAAACAAATTAATTTTTAAAAAAGCAAAATAGGTATTTTGGATGTTGATTTATTCTTTAAATTTGATATCAGTAAAATAAAAAATGAAAGCATGAATATAAATTCATATGTACATGGTTATAAAGCTTTTCAAATCCATTTATTTCTTATTTTAATAGTTGTCTCAATTTTAAAGCAGTTAGTTTGAATCTACAGCTGGCAATGAATATTTCAATAATATATTGATAAAAAAAATGATAAAGGCATTTATTTACTGAACCTCTACCAACAGAAAATTAAGCTTGTAGTCCTAAAAAAATTCTGTTTTACATCAGCGAATGAATATTTTTAGTTTAGAATTTAAAACATTATTTTAAAAGTAATTAAACTATACAAGTTCAAATTAAGTTAATTGTATACATATGAGTATTTATTGTATCACATTAGAGTTAGGAAGTTTACAATGTGAACATAAGAATTCATACACCACATAAATGACAAGCTAGTGTAATTCTTATTCATGCCAAAAACGAGGTGTAGCAGCTTAGACATATCGTCCACTCTAATCACGCATCAGTTAAAAATCCAATACATGCAGCCATTTTATCATTTCACTGTTAATTTTGAAGAAAAGTCAGTGCTAAATTATAACTTCTATTAGTATTTTTGTCTAAAGTGCAGATAGGATAGGAACATACAACCATACCCAAATTACAAAAAGTATACCAACAGCAAGTTTGATTATGGGTAAGAAATTAAACTCAGTATCTATAGTTAATGAATTTAAGTCTAGGTTGAATCTGCTCCTAAACCACAGATTATAATCATTGTAAGTACTTGCTACATCAGGAGCTTGAGTATTAGCACTATATGTTTCACTACAACTACCATCACTTAAGTGGCAAGTTAATCTGCTTTTCTTGATGGACAATCTGCCTACCTTAGATGTTTGCAAATTAATTTCCCATTGATTTTTCTGCCCTGCTTTCTCTAATCCATTAAGGAGGATCTTTCTTAAACTGTCATAACTTGGTGTAGACTCATACTTCATCTTTTGAACAGCTTCTAAATACTTCTGAATGCAATCTGAGAGAATACATGTATCTTTAAAAGATCAGCAGCAGTTCTAAAAATGTTTTTGCCCAGACACTAAATGCATATTAAAGATGCATAGCAAAATATGAAAATCACATTTTCTATAAAGTAAATAATCAATTAACTAAGAACAAGAAGTCAAATTTCCAAATGGTTCACCCACTGAATGAGCATTTAACGTACTTTCTGACTGACTAAAAGCTCAGCATTTACCATAGGTGCTAAATGACTTAACCTGTAACATTGTTCACAATTAAACAAACAGAAAACTGGTTTTTAATTTTTTTTCCTTTTTATATATTGATATAAAGATTTCAACAGAGCTATCAAATTTTCTTTAAAAAAAGTAAATTCTTCACATCATGAAATAGTAACTTATCAATTGCAAAACAAAAACACATTTACATAGGTACTGCTAAAAAGTTGTAGTTATTTGTTAACTTGAGGGAGAGAAAAAAATAGTTCTACTCAAGAAAAGAAAATGTGATAAAATACATGTTTATTTTAAAGTAATTCCTTTATAAAAATAACAGCTAAAAAATTTTTTATACAAGGCATGCTATTTCATAAATAGAAATTACCTCATTAAGCAAGATTTGTGAAAAATCAGACTTAACTTTAATAGCACAAATGAGATGAACCTATGCTGCCTTTTAATTTTCTTAAGATTACAAAAATATTTATATGTAAAATTAATGCCTACCTGCAGCACTTGAACCTGATAGACATGTCTTTACAAGATTGGGGATGTCAGCCATGTATCTAAAATAAAGAAAAGTTTACAAATAAAATACATCACTAGTTTTATATTTTTCTGAGGGGGTGTGTGTGTGTGTGTGAAAGAGAGAACATCTTGTGTAGATAATTTATATTACCATAACCACAGTATATAACAAATGAAAATTTACTTTACTTTTCTTTACTACTAGCAACATATGCTGCATTTTTCAAGTTGTCTTCCCATGGTAACTTCCCACTTAACCAACGCAGCATACAAAATCCCAGTATTTCCATGTCACCACGTCGAGAAGGAACTAAAATCAATCAATTTTTATGATAGTAGGGTTAGAACAAAACAACAATGGAAATTAAACTGCAAGTTTATCTAAGTGCCTAAGTCATGTAAACATACAAGCGCCTCTATGAGCATCCCTGCTAGTAAACTCAATAGTGCCGTCATGAGCCCTCTTAGGATCTTCTTTGTATTCTCTGTGAACTCCATCTACTGTATATCTACTAGCTAGGCCATAATCAACAAGATATACCTATAAAAAAATAAATAGGGTTTTTAAAAAATGTCATAAATGAAGAGGCAGTAAAAAAAACAAAAAACAGCTACATATTTGGAACCATTAGTAGAAATCATATCACAAGTATTTTGGTATAGAAGGGTAGGAAATTTATTACTAAGCTTACTTGCCATAACATTTCTCAATAATATTACCACTGTTGTTTCTATGGGGATTTATCAAGTGCTATTAACTCTTTTTCTTCTTAATATTAAAGAAATCACCTCATTAGGTATGACTTTTCCTTTTACATAACCCTGAAGAATGTTAGCTGCCTTGATATCTGCATGCACATATTCATTGTCATGGATGAAGTGAAGAGCATCAATCTAAAATATCAAGGATAGCTGTGTGAACATTCAAGCTCCAAATTATTTTTAAGTCTACTTATGAATCAATATACAAGAGGCTAAGAATTTATATATAGGAAAGCTTTTAGGAAATGTAGAGTTAGAACCTATTGGAAGAGGGTGCAGTAACACTAAAAAGAAATTAACAATTTAACTAGCTGTATAGGCTGATATTGATTGCTAAGTTCTAAAATTTAAAATATGCATACCATTCTCAGACCAACTGCAAAAGTGACCATTGGAGAAAATTTATCTCCGTTTTCAAGAAGTAATTTCTGTAAATCTGTGCCAAATCTAGGCATTACCAGGAAACGATATTCTTTAGATTTGTGTTCAAGGTTTCCAGTTGCTATAAATGGAGGGACACCAAGGTATCTGAGTCGGTTAGCAGTAATGAAAGACTGTACTGAAAGTAAAAAAAAAAGTAATGTTAAAACAGCATTTTAAAAATTATTCTTAAGTATTCTGGAAAATAGAAAGCCCTAAAGACCACTTTGAGGAACAGTCAATTAAAACAAATGAAGGATTTTAAAAATCACTAATGAAAATAAAGACTAAACATTAAAAGAAAAAAAAAGTAAACTCTGTATATACTAACATCCATATAGTATTAAAAACAGAGAGACAAGATTTTATTTTTTTTAAATTCTTGACAGCAGGCATAAGTAATGGGTTTCTAGGGTCAATGATTGAATGATGAACTTCATCTAAGGGAACTGAGGTTCTACAAATATTGACAACTCATATAAACTTTTACCAAATCATTTACAGCCATTTTGTGAGGCACCTGTATACAAATACACACATCAGGAATCAACGTTCTATATAAACTAATTAAAAACAATAATTATGTCAGTAACTCACTTGAGGCTTGCTTAGCAACCCTTTGGTAAAATTGCATTTCACAAAATAAAGGTCCATTGCTTTTTGCTTCCTTTTTGGATTACACAAAATAAAATGTGGAAGTTATAAGTTAGAACAAAACTTTAAGTAGAATAGATGTAGAAAGAGAAGTAAGACATAAGAGGTTTACAGTAATTTAGTGAATCATTAGTAAAAAGCACAATAAAAGGAAGCCAATTCAGCGGCCTATTGTGGCATATTTTCTATCTTAACCCGTTTTCAAAAGAAAATATTTCTGTTTTTAAAAGAAAATATTTCTAACTTACAACAGCCAGATAATTATCTGTTTAAAAACTCATTTAACTAGCTAATTGTTTGAAAAATTACACTATATTCCACTTACAATTTTGATGACATGTTCAGCTAATTTAGGATCTGCATGCTGGGCATCTAGTTTTGATGCTGTCAAGAGTAAGACAAAGATGGCATCAAGCAATGTTTAAATTTAAAGAAGAAAAATGTGTAATGTTTAATCAGTGTAATCAGTTTATTTAAATTATAGATTATTATATGCTGCTACTTGAAGAATCAGTTTTAGATTAAGCATAAATGCCCACATATGTGAAAGTAATTGCAGTATAGTTACTATCTCATAAATACATTTCTAATTATATTTGTAAATAAACAATGGATCTAAAAAATGTGTAATATTCAATTAACGAGAGATATAAGTAAAATAAATACACTCGATGATGCAGGTATGAATACAGACATTTTATTGTAACTTTCTAAATCAATAATTAATTAAAATAGTAATTGCTAGTGAAAAACAATTGGTGTGCACAATTAATTAATTATTATAAATCACTAGAAAATGAACTAACATCGAGAAGAAATAAAATTAATTTAAATTTTTATTGGGAAATACCTGAAAAAAAACTAGAGAACAACAAGTAGATAACAGGAAAACTAGTAAACACAAAATGGGAAAAAGAGGAATATCACTGGGGCCTAGTTCCATCAACTTCATGATCACATACAAAGGGATGATCATACCTGCATCAAAATATTGGCACAACAAATATAGATGAATTTAGTTTACGCTAAAGAAATTTGAAAAGCATTATTTATTTAGAAGAAATATGGGGATGAACAAACCAGAAGATGAAAATTCAGAAGTATACAATTTTTTTAAATTCCATAAGTATCACACAACAACAATAATAACTACTTGTGGAGTAAACTGGCACAAGCTCATAACAGAAGCAGTTTGTTTAATAAAGATTTTTATAATATTTATCTACTAAAGGTGCTTTTGATAATTTTAAATCATGATATAAAAGAAAGGTTTGTAAAATATTTCCCTCTACAGGCCTTGACAACTGAAATATATTACATTCTTTTTTACAAACTTTTTATTTAACATGACTTCTTGTCCATGCTAAATGCTCTTTGCTTCATCTTAGTGTTTTTACTACAAACGAATTCATTTCTTTAATACTTGACATATACCAGACCCAATGACCAAGAAATGTGATATAATATTTAACTTAATTAGATGTTTCATTAATTTTTCACAAATCAATTAAAGATTGCTCTATAAAGTTCTAGGGATAGCATAGTTAAGTGGTAGAGCATTTGGCTGCTTGCCCAAAGGTCTTGAGTTTGGATCTCGTTTTGGAATTGTGACTGTAGGACATCCCTGAGTCCACCCAGCTCTGACAGGTATTTAACTTATGCTGGGTAAAGTAAAGGTGGCTGGGCATCCTTTCATTTGCTGAGGTAATGAAACATGAACTCTACTTCATCTATCCAATGGATTACTTGGTTTAATGAGGAACTTTATTTTATATAAAGAACTAATTTTACCGCGCTAATGCAATTCAGGGTGTTCATTTGGTGCACAAGCCTTTTAGCTATGTAACTGATTTTATTAAAAAAAAAGGAAATGTTAAAAATAATAAATAATTTTAAAAATTATAATAACAAGCTTTTAATATACAACATTCTAAATAGAATATTGATTTTCTTTAAATATATAATAATGTACGGCCATTTACATAACTTTTTTAAAAAGTGTGGGTTGGTATATTTTGTATTGAATACCCTTGCTAAAATTGTATGAACCTATGTGAACCACGCTTTTCTTTACAGTTATTATAAAATGTGTTAATTTTTTTAATACCATATTCACGGGTGTGGGGAAATTGCGAGACGCGAAAAGCGAAATGGCAAGGCGGGAAAATGCGAGAAGGTAATGCGAGACATACCTGCGGAATTAAGGGTAAATAGCGAGACACTTTTTGCGAAAAAAAGTTTTTTTCTTTTTTTTTCCATCTTTATTTATTTAAATTATTTTTTTTTTGTTTAAAAATAAACAAGCATTTAGCCATACCCTTTAACACGAGTGTTGTATGTTGTTATTTTTTATCTAGATACTAAGAAGATAGATAGATCTATATCTAGATCTATCTATTTAAAAATCCTAACATCGTTGCTGTGCTACTGTCAACGCCGCTCTTGTTAGCGAGAGGAAAATCCCGTCTCAGTCGGCATTAATTTAAAAATCTAGCCCGCTCATGTTTATACAAACGTGAGCTGTGTCATTGTGAATTGGTATAATCTTGTCAGCAGGAGAGATATTATGCAACATCTATTTATGGATTTTTGTACTTGCAAAAAGTGTAAAAGTATAAACAATTCTAAAAAGTGCAATTTATTTTTTTATTAAGTAATTTTAATTACAAACAAAATCTTCTGAAACAGTCCTCAAACACACCTCGTGACACCATCTTTCACACATAGTACACCCAACCCAGTTCATTCACAACATTTCACATTCTCATCACAGTTGACCTCCTCGTTCATCCCACAAACAACACTGGCACCCATGTTCTCATCATCATCATCAGCACGCTCAACATCTGTTTTCCGTTTTTTATAATTTGTGTTTTTTATCATTTCTGTAATTTTGGCAATGTCTTGCTCATTGTTGTCACCAGCCGGATCACCGTCAGCGGGGCGTGGACGTTTACGCCCTGAAGTTTTATCCTGTCGCTTCCTTGCAGCTTTCTTAGTTGTGTTAGATTTATTGATTTCTTGTTGCTAACTGTTGATAATCCAACTGCCTGTCTGGCCGCCACGATGTGATAGCAGTTACCTCCAGAATAGTTGTATCCAAATGATGTAGGCATTTCCTTGTGCTTAGATTTATATGGTAAAAAAAGCTAGAAAAAAATCGTAGGCGGCGGCTATAATACAAAATTTCTATGCAACAATAGAAAATATGTTTGCGGCGGCAGCGGATCCGGGCACGGCGATCTTCAAAGATGGTAAATCAGGCGGCCTCGGCGTTCCACACAAAAGACAGAAGTTGATCTATCGTCTGCGGTATTTCCGTCGGTTTCGAACAAAGTGGTATTCTAAGTCGACACAAAAGATGGGGGGAGTTGACAAATCATCAGTATGTCTAGCGACGGAAAAATCGGAAGTTTTAACAATGCAAACGAAACGTCTTTGAAGTCTGGACCAAATACCACTGAAAATCGGGTGCGGTAAATTTTTCGCAGAAATCTTCGCATTTCAACACCACCCAGCGTAAGTATCGGCTTGTGGTAAAATGCGAGACCAAAAAGTCATGTGACCGACCGTTTTCGCATCCTTCTCGCATTTTCCCGCCTCGCCATTTCGCGTCTCGCAATTTCCTCACACCCCATATTCACATAGTGATGTGAATAAACAAGCTCAAAACTCATATTTAAACATACCCAAATATATGAGACCAAAGCCACCCTTGCCAATGACACTTCCCAGTTTCCATTGAGTCTTTAGCAGGTCCTGTAAAATTATTCCTGCTGGCATCTCCTCTGGAAGAGCGTGGGCACTAGGACCTTTCTTTGGGGGCATGACTAACACTTTATGGATCCTATCCTCTACAGCACAGCTGTTTTAGGGTAAACCTAAACAATTTAAAAAAATGTTCAATACAGAACCTAAGTTACAAAAAAGCTTCAGTTTAATTAGTATGGAACTAATTTGAAACTGCTCTAGAAGGTCAGGCATTTTGATAATGACAAAGATGGCTGGCTTGGCAGGAACTGAACTGGAGTACAGTAAAACAAATTGACATGTTATCAAGAGCAAATGGTATGCAAAATGCAATTCAATTCTGGAAAAAAAAACTCACTTTGTGACTAATAAAGGTAATGATTATCAAAATCAATCTTGAAAAAAAAAATAGCCACACATTGTTAAAACGCCTTAAATATCTGAGCATAGTGACCTTGAATGACAAATGCATAGCCCTCCACACAAATAGACTAAAGCATCCATTCAACAAGGTCACAAATCTCAATGTGTGCAAATCCTGGACACTGAGAGTAGCACATGACAGGATCCAAGGTTATCAACAAGAGATAACCTACTGTCATAAAACAAAAACTCAAATGGTACTAGGGGTGGGCGTGGTCGAGTTGGTAAAGCTCATGGTTGCTAAACCGAAAAGTCTCGAGTGTGAAAATATGGTTTGGCTGTTGCAAATTTTGGTTAAAAGTAGAAAGTTATAAAATAAGTTACATTGTGGAATTATGTTAGAATTTACTGTGAGTTATGAAGTTGATCTAGATAGATCTATACTAATCTATTGTATAGTCTATAGAAGTTAATATTCAGTGACCTAGGCTTATATATAATATATAGTTACATTGTAGTATATTGGCCTAGATCTAACTAGATCTGATCTATCAAATATATTTATAACTAGGCAATCATCTAGATCTAGAATCTATTGGGTTAAAAAAGGGAATTTTTTATCAAATGAAACCTGGAAAAGGTGGGCCTAAATGAGCTTCTTTTAAATATTTTAATTTAAAAGGATGGGTGTGGACTCAATGTCTACTCTATGGTGCTGGTGAAATAGTGAACACAGAGAGTTTGAGATATGCCAGCCTACAGAATGGTTGGTGTCCAAATTTTATTTAGTTTAAATGCTAACTAATAGTCACTCATAGAATCTAGATCTAGAAACTAAATTCTAGATTTAGATAAGATCTAAAATCTAGAAACCATGGTCATACACAGTCTACATTCTACATCCATCAACGCTGCAGGATATTCCAGATACATGAGTGAGATGCCCGTGGTCCTGACAAGTGTGGTTGAGTTGATAATGAATGATTAATGGTGAGATAGACTAGATTCCTAGATTCACTAGAATATCTAAAATATCTAGATCTAGATTCTAGACTCTATGAATAACTGAATAAGAATTTGGAGAGATCTTTAAAAATTCTAGAATCCAGATTTAGATCTAGTCTATCTGAGATCTGTATCTAGATCTAGATAGATTCTAAGATATGATAGACAAATATTAAAGAAATGTAGGCCCTATTTTTAGTATTTTTTTTTTTTAGAAAAGTACTTGACACTTGATTTCACTTGAAGTACTCTCACGACTCATTCTGACCGAGTGACTCAAGTCTCCATGAGTCCATAGACCTAGACATTTGATGCTGAGCAAACAATAAAGAATAGAGAATTTAGACATGAAAATTACAAATATTTTGTCTACTTATGATCTGTCATTAGATCTAAAAACTAACCCTGTGCCGAGGCCAGAGGATTAAGGGATGCGGCTGAACTAGTAATGTGAAACAGCAACCTGAAACGGTTTGTTTGGGTTGAAATGGCCGCCCAAACCCTTTCCCAAGAAAAAGCATACTGTTGGTTGTTCTAAAAATAGCAACCAATTCCAAAACTCATAATAAGACAATAGTCGGAAGTCATTTGACGCAGGCGTATAATGGCAGCCATCGATGAGACTTGACTGAATTGTGTTGTGAATTAATATACCTGTTTTAACTATTCATTTTAAAACGTTTAGAATTATTTATATGCTTTTATAAATGGCATAAAACAAAACAATGGCTGAAGTAGCAAATGAGACCGTTAGTCAAGATCTGCCGCATGATATATTTATTTCATCCAGTGCATCTTCATCAAAAACAACAGCTGAGAGCAGTGTGATTGTAAACAATGAGCCAGATGACCCAAACACTTCTTACATGAACAATCAAAACTCAAAACAATCAAATGCTGGTCATGGGTTTGAGAATGGTATTATAATTCAGCCCCCTTTGGATGAGGAAATGAAAGAAGAACAAGTGCAATTGATCTCTATGGACACAGTCATTTGGAATAATATTGAAAATTCAACTAAACATAATGAACTATCTACCTCCTCTACTAACAGTTCTATGGATAGAGAAAATATGAGAATTGATCATTTTTCAGAAAGTTCTTCAAATAATAGTAGTCCTTTAAATACTGTTAGTGGTAGCCCTAAAGCAGCCACTAAATGTGACAAAAGAAAATTACAAAAAAAAGAAAAAAAAGGGATAACATTTCCAAAAGACACATTTATTTCAGGCTACTTTGAACCACCAGATCCATGGAAAAATGGTATACATCGATTCTTTTCAAACATGTTTTTGAGATATTTTCTTTAATGATGGCACCTGACAACAAACTTTTGAAAGATATTAATTACTTTGTTTTGGCTATAGGGGGCCTAATCTTGATCCATATAAATATTAAAAATATTAACTAGTAATAACTAGGCCCCATTTCGTAGTTAGCACAATTTCTATGGTGTTGTGAAGCACACATGCTTCACAAGATGACACAGGCCCAAGAAATTACAAAATTGTTGCAATTCACAATTATCCTCTTTCTTATTACGAAGTGACTACTCGGAAGAAGATTTTTCTCCCCAACGTCTCCACTTAGTCGGCAAAAGATAGCTATGACCTTTGGTTTAGGGTTAGGGCTAGAATTAGGGTTAGGGATAGGATTTAGGGTTAGGATTAGGGCTAGGTTTAGGGATAGGATTAGGGTTGGTGTTAGGGTTCTGCGGTTGTAAACACGCATGCGCAGTACCATCAAAAACATCGCCGCGATCGCAAGTCGTAGTTTCTCTCCATTGCGCATGCGTATCTTATTCCGGCTAGCATCGGCCTTCTTATTAAGCCTTAATAAAGCTTTAGCTAACTGGGAAATTGCAAACTTATGCAACAATTACTTCTCAAGGGGGTCAAAGCATGATAGTATAAAAAGTATAGTATATTATATTGCCGGCAAATAAACAGGCTTTATGTCAACACTGTTAGTGGGACATTCCTCGCCAGTAAACATTAAGATGTTTCAGTCCAATAATGGAAGAAATGGGCAACTTATTTAATTATTATTAAATTAGTTGGCTTGTAATACAAGACTCCTAAATTAATAAATTTATTAGGCCTAATATATATGCCGTTAGACCTACATGTGGGCCCTAATATAAAAATGTTAGTGTCTATGAAACACATGTCTTTCAATTTATATTTGTATGTATTAAACATCTAGAGAAAGACTAAAAATATCATGTAGACTATGTAGATCTTTCACAACTTTCTCTTACATACCAAATTCTAGTATGACCCTTGCTTTTGTTATGGCTAAAATAATTTTAATTTTTTTTTCATTTAAATTTAAATCTTGTTATTATAAAGATTTTGTTTTTGTTTTTAAAAATATGCATTATTGAGACCCTCATCTCTTCCCTTTTGTGCCTAAGACACATGGGGCTTCTACAGAAAGCTATTTCCATCTTTCCACTTTTACTGGTCTTGGACAATGTTTTGACAGTCCCCTAATATAGTCCTGCCTTTGTCAGTTGCTATTCTGCTGTGCACCTTCATGTCTCCCTTGGCCTCTGTTTTCTGCTGCTGGAATATATATATAAATAAGTTCTGAAATTTACAATTAGATCAATTAGAAAATCACTGGGCAAGTCATCTAACTGTATAATAACAAGTTTAACATTAATATTTAAAGCACCACCATGGACTTCTGATGAACTTGTGAATGCTTACAAGAAAAGTTGTGAAATTCATGGTTCCAAACCCATCATCAAAATCATTCAACAATTACAGGTGAGTACCAATTGAATAATTATTATTACAGAAATGTTGCTCATTTAAACTTTAAAATCTAAAGTATTTATTTTAGTGAGATTATTGGGATATTTTTTATATTTAAAACAGACAATCACTCATTCAAGCAAACGTGAAGAATTATTTACTCTAAAGGGTAAGTTTTAGTAATCATTACTAGTATTATTTTTTTTTTTTAAATGACCCATTTTATAGCTGGCACCACTTTTATAAAGTCTGCACTAATAATTATTATTCTTTTTTTTTAGGAGAGAAACTGGACCACAAACAATGTGAAAGTTTAGAAGAGATCTTCAGAAGAGTACAATACAAAATTCTCGACTTAGAGGCTACTCATCTAGATGATGAGGTAAACTAATTTCAAGCTTTAATTTTGTTATGGCTAGCTGCCAGGTGGCTAAAATTACCTATCTTCTGTTTAATTTTTTTTTTATGAAAAAGGCAATTTAAAATTCTGTTAAGGAAAAAATGTTTGTAATATAAAGATGAGAAACTAATGAATAGTTAGTTTGCTAACTCAATTGAGTGGTGGATGCTGAACCCTTGTGAAAAAGATAATAATAGCTGGCTCCTCTTGACCTAAAAGCATAAATGTAGATTACTACACTTAATCTTTATATAAAGTAACATAAAAATACTTTTTTTTTAAACTTAAAATTAATTAGCACCACATACATCATTAATGCATTTTATCACACCATTAATTTTCTTTAATGTTAGTCTATTTCATTTCTTTACATTCTTCATCAAACTTAGTCACATTTTTTTAATTCCATAGAAGTTATTCATGTCTTTCTGAGTTTTCCATGGTTTCATGTCAAATCAAAGGAATTTCAATGTTTACAAAGCCTTTTTCATTTATTATTTATAGTCCTTATCAGTATCTAAATATACAGTTTATTCATAATTTGTTATTTTCAATATAGTATGATAAGTTAAAAATCAATTTTTATGATGTCACTTTATTACTTCCCGCAGTTGTGTCCAAGTTCTGTATTATGTATCATTTATTCTGTTGTTGATTTTGCTTATGTTCTTCACCAGTGTGCTACAGCAGTTTTTGACATGATTGAGTATTATGAGTCTGCATGTCAGCTCAATATCTCTTTTAATAAAAATATTCAAGCAAGGGGATGGCAGGCTTGTTCAAGACTTGTTCGTAGAGTAAGTCTATACAAATTTTTGGACAGAAGTCTCTAGCAGCAGTGTCAGTATTCCAACACATAATTTTACTTTAATGTACAAAAATTAAAAACTAGTTAATGCTGTAAGTTATAGTATATGCTTCTTTGAAAAATAATAATGAACGTAGATGAATGGACAAACATTGTTTTAATGTGCTTCTACATTGAAGTAAACTTGTGTCATTGCTTGAACTATCTAGTATAAAAAAAAATATTAATCTAAATTTTTTTCCTTCCAACAGACACCAACATTGACATATTTAGACATAAGAAGCTGTGATCTTAATGAGAGAACTATACCAATTTTTGGACGTGCACTTAAGCTAGGATGCCATCTTACAATTCTTCATATGGAAAATATGTCTTTATCTGGGAGACCTCTAGTTATTTTAGGTGGGTGTGTTCAATTAATATTCCAGGTAACAAATGAATATATTAAATTCTTTTATTTAATATTATTATGAAGAATTCTTTATTAAAATTGTCATAAATTTTTATCTAGTTGCTGCTCTGAAAATGAATGAAATACTCCAAGAGTTATTTTTAGCAGAAAATAAGCTCATGCCTACTGATGGAGTCCAGTTGGGTCATTTGTTACGATATAATCATAAATTAAGTTTGCTGGATCTCCGCAATAATCATCTGCAGGTATTTCTTTGGTGATATCTTTGATCTTATTGTCTACCTTTTTTACAGTACTAGTTTATTTAGTTTTCATGGAATCAACATGTTGTATCTTGATTGATCTCAATAGGATGTAGGTACTAGTCATTTATGTGATGGACTTTTGGAACAGAACACGGCTCGGGGTTTACGCACTCTTGTGTTGTGGAATAATCAAATCAATTATCAGGCAATGCCTGCATTAGGAAGGGCACTGGTTAGTATATTAATTGAGTTAAAAATATATATACTCTGCAGGGATCTTTAAAAAAAACGGAATTGTAAACATTTGTTAAAAAACAAATCTACTTTAATATACATGGATCTAAATATCAGATGTTTTACAGTGAGTGATTTTTCTTATAAAGGCAACAAGTGAGTGTATAGAAACCCTAAATATTGGACACAATGCTATTACCAATGAAGGTGTGCATCTTCTTAAAGATGGTCTTTTAAAAACAAATTCCTTGTTGAGACTTGGACTTCAAGGAACTAAAATATCGGATGAAGGTAACAATAATCAGTTCTTATATTTTTTGTATAAAATAATCATTCCTTGTGCTCTTTAGTTTAAAAATTGTGTTGTTTCTTATTTTTTTTTTAACTAGCAAAAATTGTTTTAACATACTACACCATTCATATTTTATTCCAGGTGCTGTTGCCCTTGCAGAATACATAGCTGACAGTACAATTTTACTTCGTATTGATTTACGGGAAAATGATATTAAGACTGGAGGCTTGATGGCACTATCTCATGCTATGAGAGTAAATACTTCTGTTACTAGAATTGATCTGGATAAAGATCCTAAAAAAGAATCAGTAAGTTTAAACAATTTTTTTTAACTAAAACACTTTTGATCTGAGGTCTTAAAATATACATATTAGCAATTTTGTTTAGGTATTCAGTTTTTTCAACAGCAGATGTTTATAGTTGGTCATGTCCAGGTGGTTATTATTTTAAATTTTGGTATTAACTCCATATGAAACTTCATAAAATTTCTTGCTGTTATTTAAAGGTACAAATGCCCTTATCTTCTAAACTACGTTCAGCAGTTTATAATTTGATGGGGATCTGAATTCTTAAGGGATCCGACTTCATAATTCAACTACTGATCAAAACTACTTTTTAACTAATTTTTATACTAATTAAGCCTGATGTGTTGCAGGGTATGAAAGATTATGCTGAGCAGCAGAGTCGACTTCTACGGGACATTCTTACATTCCAGCAGCGAAATGTTCAAACAGCAATGGAACGAGAAGAACTTGAAAGAAAGAAATTGGAGGAACGAGCTGAAGCTGCTGCAGCAGCCAGGAAATCAGCACTGGAAAATACACAACAGACAACAGAATCATCAAATGAGGCTTTCTCCTTAATTGAGGAAGAAGAACTCACAGATAAAGATGCTGGGCAAGAAAAATGTAAAAAGGAAGCTGCTAATTCAAAACTCAAAGATGTGGGTACTTTAGAGGAGGTTGATTGGTCTACTGTTGAACCAGAGGCTCCCACCCAAGCTGTGGCTGTTGATAAAGTTCACAGCCGGCCTAGTCAGCTGTTTCCTTATAAACATCTTCGCCCTCAAGAGACATTGGATTCACCATTACCAACAAATGATAATCCATTAATAGCAGTGATAACACCAGCCAATACATGCCCACAGACTTCTCCCCAGCTTTACAGAGCAGAAAAGAATCTTTTGTCCTCTCTAATCACTGCGTCTCCCCCAGAAATGATTCTCAGCCCCCAGTACTTTCCTAAACAAATTGTTCGTAAAATTTTCTCAGTCAGTCGTGTCAATGAATCACAACTGTCTTCATCTCCTACACCTTCACAGCCTCTCTCAGGTGGATTTGACCCTCTGAACATTTCTTCAGTTCCACTAGTTTCAGCCTCTACGTCTCTGCCACCTATGTCTTCGCCTATAATGGTGGCCCAGTCAAGTTTGAGTTTGGCGCAGCATTCCAAGTCATGGCAAGAAACCTCTGTTAGCCCTAGTTCTTCATTATTCCAAGACCTAGCAGATCAGTCTGTAAAACATCTTGTTTCACCTGATGGTGAACAAGAAGTAAAGACTGTTTTAGCTAATGACTCAAAGCCTGTTTACTTTGATAACTGTGGTGGAAATACAGACTCTGATAACTTAGCTGCTAGTAGCATCTCAGAGAACCTCTCCAAAGACTCTACTGAACTAAAGGATGATAAAACATTAAATGACTCTGGCTTGGTTCACCCAAAATATAGCTGTGATAGACTAGAAGCATCTTTAAGCTTAGACCATTCAGGTGTGGTGGAGAGTGGTAAAATTATTGGAGGCCCTGTTCTGCATACAGAGAGAAAGGATACACTAGTTGATTCTGCTTCAGCACCACAACCCACCTCAGAAAATCATGAATCTGTTGGTCATGCAGATATTTCCAAAGGAACAAATAACCTTGAATCATTTCCTAATGAACCTTCAAATGGAAGTTCAAGCTTGATAAAAGCTGGATTAGAAAATGGTGAACATAGTTCAGAGAAGGCACCCAAGACTTTTTTTGACAGCAACAGTGTGTCTACTACTTCTGATAATTTTGAGAACTCATATGTACCTAGAAACCCCCAGGCAGCTATTTTACATCTAGGTGCTGGTGACATCCTACAGCCTGTAGAGAGCTTGGCAAAAGAGGAGGATTCGCAACACATCAACATATCAACTGCTGAAGTTCCGTTTGAGAGTCACAAAGCTTTTAGCCATGAATTTACCAATGGTACATTGTCTTCACGGACAACAGATGCACAGCTGGATGAGGTCAAGCTATCTAACGTGAATAATTCAAATTCCAGTTCATCCATGTTAATTTCAGTTGATTTAGATGATAAACAGTTTTCATTTTCACCAGAAAATGAAAAAGATGGAGACAGTTTTATTTCTAAAGAAAAAACGGAACTAGATAGTTTAAACAAATCCCAAGATAATGCTCTTGTAGAATCATTTGTTACTAATGACTCAATTGATAACATCAATGATGGAATCGACAATGATATTGAGAATGTAGAAATGAGTCTTGATGAAGAACCATGGCTGGCTATAGGTGCTGATAATGATGGCAGCGGTACAGATAAATTAGACCCTTTATCTAAGCAACCTGATTTCTTTACAACTCTCTCCATGAATGGACTTACACAAGAACTTGCAAGTGCTCTGACTTCTTTGGATGGATCTACTGGATACTATGATGATGACACTGAATTAGGTAAGAGCAAAATACATGTGTTGTAAACCCACTTACAGCTATGCACCTTTATTTCTTATATAATATGAAATTATAAATAATTAAATAAATTATAATAACCTTGTAACCAGAGGTGGCTGGTGTTTATATAGAAACTGGTAGGGCCAACTATGAAACTACCTTGAAAATTTTTTCTTTAAACTTTGAATGTCTACACAATATCCCAGAATGACTAACAATTATGTGATTATATAATACAAGTTAGCACTTAAAAATTGCTATGGAATCTATCATTCTATTACTCTGTTCTATTACCATTTGTCCATGATATCATTTGTCCTGATATATTTTGTCCTGGTATCTTTTGTCCGTGAGATCATTTGTCCTTGAGATCATTTGTCTTGAGATCATTTGTCCGTGAGATATTTTGTCTGAGATATTTTGTCTGAGATCATTTGTCCTGAGATCATTTGTCATGGAACCGACATGCCTATGTAGTGCAAGTATTAATAAAGGTGGGACCCAGTCAGTGTGACATGCCTATGTAGTGCAAGTATTAATATAGGTGGGACCCAGTCACTAAGACCCTTAAGAGTCACCCTTGCTTGGCACTGTACACAGCTGTAAACATGAACTATTATGTACATGGAGTGACAAGTTATTGCTGGACTCAGCTTTTACGTAATGTTGCACCAACATCTATTTAATAAATAACCCTGAAATGGATGCACTCAACACTGTGCAAACATTACATTAGTAATGGGACTGATGCATCTTGCACTAGTTTCTTATTCAACAAAATTACTATCAATCAGTAAAAATATGGTTACATTTTTTTACAAAACTTTTCCATAATTCATCTGACAGAAATATGGTTAAATTTCTTCCATTTAAAAATATTTGCAAAAGCAAGGATAATAATTTAAGCATGAAATAGATTAATGATAGGTTGTTGCATATTGTAGATAGCTAATTTAATAAAATGTAGATTCAGATTGCCCCTCAATTTACTTTTTCAAACTTAATACACTACATTCTACTTATAAATATGTAATGATCAATTAATATTCTTTTTACCTCTTTACACAATATTCTTCACAATAGCTCATTATTGTTTCATTCCATGCATACTGTGCCCTGATGCTATAACTTGTTACTTCAAAATAATAATGTGTCCATTTCATAATGATTAACAGCTGGGAAGTAACAGTCACAAATAGTTGGCTTCTCAATTGCACTATTCTCAACATTGTCTTTCAGTTGAAACAGATGTTTCTTCTTACATTTTATAAATGAAGTTACAACTGACATATTATTTTCATCCACTGTTTTAATGTTTTCACTATTTGTATGTATTCAACTGACATTAGTGTTTGTTTTATTTGTTTTTAAAATTATTTTACTATAAGCAAAAACATTTTAAGAGGCTAAAGAAGGGCCAAACAATATGAATACACTTTGGTCCACTGATCATTAGCTTTGGTGCAACATGTCCTGGAAGTCACAAATCATGTATCAGGTTTAAGGCAGTGGCTGGTCTCCACTGTAGATACCATCTTATAGGTTGAGATAGTCTTATGTGGATTAAGTTCTATCAATACAAATGAATGTTTCAAAGCTAACTCTGTTCAGCATGCATAACTTTAACTTTAAGGTTTGACAATTTATGCTGCATTTTTTATTTTAAAATTTTGTTTCATATACTATCAGCCCCTTCACATATTTTACCCATAAATCTCCTGCTTTTATGCACACCCCAGCATAGTTTGATTTATATTTTTTTGTACACATTGATCAAACCTAGGCTTTGAAAAAAAATGTATTACCTAAATTAGCATTATAATTATAAACCCACCTGAGTCCTTCCCATGTTTTTAAGCTAGTTTTGTGCATCTATACTAATCAAATACATATATGAAATCTCATAAAATGATAAAATTTAGGATTATAACTGTAAATTTAAGAGTCATTATTTTTATGAGGTGGAATTGGGGCAAGTTATAAAATTAAAACATTCATCAAATGCAATTATTGAGGTATCCAGGGTGAGAATTATATTATCACTGCAATAATATAATATCAAGAATTAAAAATTTGGGCTCCATTGTGTGATTAAATACTTAAGTTTTCTTTATTACAAGTAAAGGGAAGAAGTTGTTTAAAAATGATACAATATTTGTAAGTTATTTTCATTTGCTTGCAACCTGTGTGAAATTCCCATGTATCCATCAGACCTTCGTCCTCCTGATGAGTTTGAGAGAGAACTTGATGCTATGCTTGCTGTAGTACAGGGTGATCTTCCTTGGCCTTTGAAAGGTATCTGTAATGTATACTAATGTATATAGGTATAGGGGCCTTAAATGGTTTAAGTCCTCAATTACTCTGTAAGGCTGTTAGAAAACATGCATTTTCTCAATTTACTTTTTACACTTTCTTTTCTCAGAAATTGACATGTGATTTTATAAATGGTACTTTCATTAATTGATGCTATGGTACTAGTACATTGGTTTTTAAGTTAACTCATGTTATACTTAAAGCATAGGTTTAGTCTTAAGTTTAAGCAGCAGTAAAGTCCTTGTTACACTAAAAAATATTAATAGTTCATTTATTTTTAGCTATTGATGTATGACATAAAACTTATATTATGTCCTCCTTCCAATGTATGTTTATTAATATAAATTATGAACATACATTTCATAACATGCAAAAATGTAATTGTTTATCAATAACTAAGGCTCTCATAAAGTAAAATTCAAAGGATTAATGCTTTTGTGGTTGATATGTTTTAACAAAAGCAAATTATGACAAATAGTCAAATAAGCTGCCCTTTCTAAATCATCATTTATTATTATCATTCTTTCAATATCTTGTTATTATTTCTACCACCTGGGCTAAGCATCTTTTACTTGAATGATCAATCCATTTTTATGATACATGACTCAAAAATCAATCTCCCCCATGAAGTGTGTATTTTTCCATTTTTGATGATCATATTGATGTTCTGCCTAGCTGGTTCTTGTTTATTGTGAATGGATATTGAAAGATACACCCAATATTATTATAGAAATGGCTCAAAGTAATACTGTTGTTTCTATTGTTAATTACATTGTATTTGTAATTGGTCTATGTCAAACCCTACCATAATCTATAACAGAGCACACTACCAGAGGGTCTTAGTATTTTACTAGTTATGCACTTAATTTGTTTTTTGTTCTTTAAAAAAGAAAATCAAACAGCTGCTCAAAAGTTTTGTGTTGATTATAAACAAATAAGACAATGGAGAAAATAAAAATTAGTGGATATCTCTAAGAGCAAGAATTAGTGCTTGCCTGAATTAAGGCGTGTCTTCATTTAGGCTTTACTCTGTGCAAAATGGAGACCACAATAAATTCTACCTTGACCATGATGCACAACTGTTGTTCTCAGTTGATTCATTTCCAAGTCAACAAATAATTTGACATTTGTTAACTATCATTTTAGCTCATTTTTACTCAGTGTGTAGTGTCAGTAACAGTTTTCATTCTCTCTCTGTTTCAGATTCCTAAAGCTCAGCTCTTAAGGGACTTGGATGCTGTTTCATCAAAAATATTTTCAAATCCCTACACAGCCTAGAATGTTATTAGATAGTTCATCAAAAATGAAATAATTTGTACATTAAATGCAGCTTCTGTCTTTGGAAAAACATTTATTAAACTGTTGTTGTGATTTGATTTTTAGGTTGTGTAACTACTTTTGCAGCTTGTTCTTATTTCATGCAACCCTCGCTCACATAATTTACAGTTTAGCGTAGCCGTCTTTTAAGTCTTTTACTAAAGCTAGAAAATTTTTAATCATTCATTAGCATCATTCTAAAATTATAACAGTATGGTCTTAGCATTGGAAAAAAGATGAAAAAATTAAATGTTTAAAATTTTCTTTCAACTATTAAGTTATGCATTTATATTATTATAGTTTTATATAATTGTTTCTGTAAGCAATTTAAACCTTTTATAAAAGTGGGTTTTTTTTTTTTTGTTTAAAAAAATATTTAATGAGACATAAACATTGGGGTAAAAAAAAAATATTCTTAATTACCCATATCATACAGTCAGACAAATGTTTAAACTCATTTCATTCACAAATCATCAGAAAACAATGATAGGGACTGATGATGACTTCGTGAAAGATTTTATCTGAAATGTTAGTTTTTATTATTCTCTCCTAGTTTGTATATCAAGGAAATGTTATATATAAACGGCAAACTTTTTCTTAAACATTTGGTGGTTGAATGTAGACACTACTATTGGTAATATCAGTTAATTTAGATTATTCTTGAAGGATTTTAATAAAAAAATATTTACCTAAGATATACAGAACAAGAATTTCTAAACTAAGATTTTCTGTTCAAGTTGGTTTCCTTGTTCATATTTTAACCTTCTTTGAAGTGAACAAATCATCAATTATTATGCATTGCAGTCAGATTTTAAAGTAAAAAATACTTATTGTTTGTATAGTAGAATACCACAAACAGTCTTTTAAATTAGTAGTCGGAGAAGCTCCCCCCTATAAACAGAAACATGCTAATTTGGTTATTATGGTTTCATATCTTAAGCCTCTTATACAAACAGATGACCCTCTGTAGTAACCTTTTTATTGTTGACGGCTGGTTTTATAAATGTTTATAGCTCACACAGTTCATTGTTTATCATTGCAAGAAAATTTGCTTTGTAAAATTCATGCTTAGATTTCAGTCTAATTCTGTCGTGTTCAGTAATAATAAAAAAATTGTCTTTTAGGGAAGTTCGCAAATTTTTATAATGACTTTATTCACATGTTCAGTTTCTTGTTCATTGTTTTAAATAATAGCAACTTAATATTAAACTGTCCAAATTGCTAACAGATAAATATTCTTTAAAACCTATTCCCTTAATACTTGTAGTTCTGCTCTCATTTATTTATTTTTTTAAAGTTCTTTGATTAAACTTTTTAAATTCTCAATTTGTGATTTATAATGAAGTCAAAAAGTTACACACTTCAAAAAACAATCAAGTGGAAAGTTTTTCTTGAACGTCCTTGTAGATTCATGGTGATATTTGGTGATTGGTAATTTATTATGTTGATGAGATTTCATTATATTTTTGAAAACTTAGATTGAGCAGGGCTTCACTTTTACCTTGATACAGGTGAATAACTGAGATTTGGAGATTTAACACTGGTATTGTGCAACAAGCCTTGGTTTGATTGGTTGTCAGCTATTTGCTTGTTGTCAAGGTACTGTACATAGTCTATTCAAATGTAAATATCGGGCTTTTTTCCCTTGTCTTTCCTTAAACTTCTTATATGATTAAAAAAAATAATTGTTCCATTGCTCCATATTTAAAATGTCCTATTGCATCTTCAACAGTGTGATTAAATGATAGAGATACAAAACTAAGTTTTACAGAATTTACTGTTGCATTTTATTATCAAAATTATAAGTAAGACATTTAGTAATAAATCCAACACAAAAGGTAAACAAGTTATGCACTTGTTCAGTTGTAAGACAGTCTGAAGTAAAGTAGGTGATATTGTTACAGTATGTATTGTAACCTCACAAGAATTCTGAGCTACCAGTACATATGTTTTGATTATACTTATCTTCCATCACTACTCCTTTTCAATAGTATTCTTAAAATGTTTATTGTGGTATATTTCAGTGACCTCTTTTCTTATAACAATTGTAGTAAGCGCTTTCTTAAGGGATTTTTTAAAGTGATAAACAGTACGCTAGTGTTAATATTTCAAACGTTCAAAATCATGCTTTTAAATATTTGCACAAAGCTGTGTGGTAATTAGATATATTGCAATCTTTCTTCAATGTTTTAGGTAAATAGATCAGTTGATTTCTTATTTATATAAATCCCAGAGTTGATTTAGTTTTCAGTAGGTCAGGGGTTAGAATATATATATATATATATATATATATATATATTTATTTATTTATTTAAGAACATACCATTGGAGTTTTATAACAATAGTCACCAGTAGCTGTAACCTGAAGAGAGACAACTAACTTAGGGAGTAGGGGGAACTACTGCCAAAATTTTAACTCGTTAAACTCTTGTTATAGTTAAAGTAAAATATTTTTCCAAGAATTTATATTTTTACTATGCTCTGTGTAGCTTTATTTAGAGGCATGATTTTGCAAATGCTCCTTCAATTATTTTTAGAATAAAACAGCACACATTTTTACATAAATTTAGGGAAAAAATCCAAACTGTTTATTCTAATATATAACAGCTTTACTATACATTATCATGTACCAATGTAACATGTTGAGGGACCACTCAATGTCTTATACTCATTGAATCTATTTGACCCACAAGTATTTAATATTCAGATCATAAAGTATGCATACAGAAATTTTATATTATAGATATCTTTTTTGGTGAGTAAATAGATGCACATTAGTTTTAACAGTTGAACAAATAGCGAGAAATATTTATACATTAAATGTTAAAGGCATTGTATTGCAAATTGTGCTTAAACATAATTTTAATATAGTATAAGTAATTTGAAACCTTGTGAAAATCTTAGTGCTAGTTGCTGTGAATGTGCAATATTGTGCTTTTTTTTTTTTTTTTTTGGTAGTGTTTGGGAGAAGCCCAAGGAACCAAAATGTACTTAGTCATGTTGTCTCTATCTCATGTCATTTTCCTTAAGGCAATGAAATACATGTCTAACTTTGAAATTTTGTTATCTAGAAATATGCATTTCAGATTTGATCTTTAAAGTTTGAATCACATTTTCTGATCTATATTATTTTCTTAAACCTGCTGGCCTGTAAAGCTTCATCATCAAACAGAACTTGCTACTATACTATAGCTAGGGCTTATCAGCATTTTGTCTTACTGCCTTGTTTAGTGAAACATTTTGAAGCTTTTGACATTGACCATAACATTGTTTCCTATTCATTGATTAGGTTTCTATTTGTTCCTACCAAATTATCTTTCTTTGGTTTTCTTATTGATTTCTTATGTTGATACTTTACATACTATCCTTATAAAATATATTCTCATGAAAAATTCTTTTAGCTATCCTCCAAAGATAAATTTTTATTAATTAATGTATTAATTACCTTTATAGAAAGATTTCCTTTAAAAATGCTAAGGACACACACAAAAAATAGTTACAAGAAAAAAAGTATATTAGCATTGATTTTGTGCAATAAGCCTACTTTATTGGAGATATATATTTTCCAATAATAAATTATGACATTTTTTAGTTTCTTGAATACAGTTGTGATATCAGACACAAGAATAGTTTAGTGCATTCCTTGAGGGAAGTGAACAGTTTCTTACTTTGATCAGATGTATAAAGATGGTTTTTGTTATCTCTTGTTTGTGTGTATATTTGTAACCAGTAGTCTCTATTTATATCATATTACATCACATCAGCTGCAATCTCTTGTTGAATAATTTACATTCTGCTCATCATATATGCATGCTCATTACTAGCTTTAGGCAATCTCATTGTTACTTGTATAGGGTTAGGTGGGCTTTGAGATTATCTTGATGGAATATTTCTTTACAGAGGAGTTCTGTATCCTAGTTATGTGTTGTCTTTGAGGGCTATATCAGAAGGGGCTGTTTCTCTTGTTAGTACGTTGTTTGTTTTACTTCTCTACAAACTTTGAGATTATAATAATGCTTTCTCTGTGCAGTAATGATTGATTTCAGTGGTAAAAAAAACATCGCTAAAAGAAATTATCTTTGTAAATACCTGTAGTGTTTTCACTGTGCAATTTTGTTTTCATTTCTTAAAACCAATGAATTAAGCAGGAACCTCAAAATAATATTGATGCAGTCATTATGAAATAAAATTTTGGACCTGTTTTATGTGTATTATTTTTTTAATATATTAAAAGTATTTAAATATTCGAGTGTTTCTCTTTCTGAGAAAACTCTTCTATCTACTTGGGTAGTGTCTCATACTGTTAGGTGATGGCGTGGTTTACATTAAGCCGTGCCCTAACCTACAAGTCATGAGTTTAGAACTGGGATCACAACAAAAGGTTTTTTTTACTAACTGAACTGCCCTTCATGTCTAAAAAGAAGAAAACAAAAGCCGGGGGGGGGGACTATCAGTTTTAGTGGCTGGAAACAAGGAAAAGAGAAATGCTAGACAGTATACAACAAGACAGAGTAGCAATATAAAAATGAAATGTAGTTTTAAAATATTTTATTCATAAATATTTTTGTATTATTAATTTTAGAAATATTTAATATCAGAAATGACCTCTCGAGTACACTTAATTTCAAGAAATAGAACAGATTTCATATTGCTTTTTTCTTTCATTGAGCTGTTGCACAAACACCAATCTAAATTATAACTAACTGAAAAGTGTTTTTCTTTGATGTATTAATAATACTATACTTTTTAACATAATTACATTTAATCATAACTTAGTGTATAGATAATCATACAAGCATAAAAATGAGAACAAAAACTGAATTTTATTATCTATTTTCATTAAAACCAACACTGGTTTCCTACTCTTTTGGCAAGTCTTCCATCTCCAATCATGTTGTTTAACACTTGAGTCATGCTTTTAAAAACATCTATATTGACATAGCAGCCCTAAAAAAATTTTTAAGATTTTGACGTTACATAATTTTCAATTAGAAAAAACATCAGTACAAACATGTATGAAAACAAAAAGATATTTTAGTTCATGATTTCAAAATCTTGGACTAAAGGAATAAAAAAAATAGCTGAAAAATGGTACCTTAAGATGTCTAGTTCCTTTATTCGTTTGGAATGCATGTCGCCCATGTAGCATCCGCTGGTTATTAAAAGCCACCAGTTCCCCGGGTTGTAACCTATGTGTTAGCTACAAAAGATTTTATATATATATATATATATATATATATATATATATATATATGTAGACAGAGAGAGAAATATTTTTTTCTTTATAACCATAGGAATGATTAAGTCAAGCTTATTTTCCATGTATCAACATTTTAATTGTGATATTTTGAATTATTACTATTCTGGAAGTACTTGAACAACTTACTGTGTGGGGAGATGAATTTATACACTTTGCAAACATCTCATAAGCTTTGTAATACTTTTCTACATTTCCCTGGGGAAAAAGTATATATACATATATATATATGTTGTAGACATTGTCTTTAAGTTTATGACCTAGGATTAGAAATACAATATAAAAATACCTCATTGACAAGTAATGGACCTTCAAATGGTGGTGCCCAGTAAACTGCAACAATCTGAAAACATCAAATATAAAAATTCTATTATTAAAAATGGCATTGGTTTTTTCAAAAAGAATAATAATATATATTTAAATACTTATATTACCTCACCAAGATGGTTGAGCTTAATATGAGGTTTTTGGTTGACTATATGGACTGGATAAGCTCTGTGTTGAATAAAATAAGGATCCTTGAAAATCACCAATATACAGATAATTTTGAATACTATATTACTATGTTGAATTTAAACTTAAGCCTGTTTGATATTCTTATGTTACATTTTTATTTTACCTGTTATAATGCACCTTCTGAAAAGTACCTGGAACTTCTGTTAAAATTTTAAACAGATCAGGGAATTTAACCCTAAACTGATCAGCAACAGTAAATGCATCCAGGAAAATGCTCTCCCCTCCTTCCACACACTTGTCAAACCTTGTGAGATGTATTAATTAAACTATCAGCCATGCAAAAAATTTACAAAAGAATTCCTATAAACTTACAGGGAAATGCAATGTGCTGCCATTAATTAAATAAATATATTTCAAGTTACAATAATGATTAGCTGTTTTAAATAATCAAACATCTTTTTAAATTTAATCTATTAATTTTAATGTGTCAAATCTCAAATTTAATGCTAAGATCTTTTCAGTTTGAAACCTATTTTCTTTAAGCCTTCACATTTCTGCCTGTTTATCTGCCTTTATAACTACCATAAACCATAACACAAGAAACAAACACAGAAACTCAATCAAATCAGAAAATGCAATATCATAGTGATGTACTTACTGTGACATAAATTCTAAAAAAAAGCCAGTGTTCTATTACTTTGTACATTTCATATAATTAAAGTGCTTGTAGTATATGTTTTTTTTTATAGTACAAAGCATTATTACAAATAAATGCATAACAGCTAAAGATCTAACAAGACTTATACGCCATCCACTTAAAGAACTATTAAATAATGACTAAATATACTCTAGTTATGCACAGTGAATGAATAATAACAGAAATTCTGATCTATTTTGATGTTAAGCAATTTAGTGTAAATGCATTCAAGTTATAAGAAATCCAACAAAGATTTTAAAAACTTACTTCAAACAGTGAAGAAGTTGCACACCAGGGGGAGACTCAAAATACACAAGGTCCATGTGAAAGCCAATTTCTTCACTGGAATAGGCCACATTGATAGGGTCTGGTACAGCTTCAACATCAAAAGTCTGAAGTTTTTCAACATTTTACTTGAACTGGTATTACTGGTACACAATTCGTTAAAGTATACTTTTAAACTATTTTTAAAAACATTAATGAAAAGAGAAAAAAAATTACCAGTATTAAAACCTTTTTTTAAATACCTAGCTTGAATATTTATGTATTTTAAATATACTATAATAGTAACTCATTACTTTCCCATATAACGCTATCCTAATTTACTTACAGTTCCATAAATGGTAGTAAAAACTGGACCCATCAATTCAGCCACCTGTTAATATTTATAACACATATTAACACAAGCTGTCATTATATTAATAGTGTATTTGACAATGATGTAGCCTACTATTTCAAGTAAAAAAAAAAATAACTAACTGCCCTTTTGACCTAAGGCTATAAGTAGAAGAGCTCATGTTTCTGTGATCTCTGCATAGCAAGGCATTGGATTGTGATTCAGCACTATGCCGCTTTCATACTTTCCCATGTCTGGTCAAGTTTTCTATTACAGCATGGATTAGATGACATGGAGGCCTGGAGAGATCACGGCTGGGAACTAAATGGAGACTATAGGGCTGGCCTGGGCATGGGCTACCTCTGTCCATTTACTCTCTACTATAAAATCTAAAACTGTTTCTATAATACAATTTCACAAGGCAGAAATGCCAAAGAGTAACTTAAGTTCTGGAGAGAGACACATTTTTTTTTTCATTTTTTAGTTAGAGGTTTATAGTTAACTGGGAAAATGTGTTATTTCAGTTGTGTACTTATCTCAATAAAGCCTGTATTTTACACACAATAAACTATAAGCTAAAACTTACAGTTGTAACCATAGATTCTTCTGTAGGAACATCTTTTATAATGCTCAGTCCATCTTCATTAATTTGTTGAAGCCATCTGTAAATGGCAAAAGATTGCTGAGCTATTAGTCAGTTAAGAAATTTTAAGTTTTTAAACAGCATTTTATGTAGAGGTTATAAAATTATAATAACTAACCACTCTGTTGACAGATAAAATCAATTAAAATAATGGCATTATAGCATTTGAAAACATACTTCAGTAGCCCTTCTTTAGAACCCATAAGTTCACTGAACTCTATTGTGGGAATTTCCTGTTATTACAAAATAAAAAATTATTTATTAACGAACAAAATCACTCTGTGGCAGCTCAAAACTACTGCACTGCCACACTTAGCAGCTTAGACGAAACATTAGTGATATATCAGATGTTATGTTCAATCATTAGGACTTATTCTTCACTAGAAAAGGAACAGTGTATTGTGTATACTTTTGAAGGACAATATTTTTTTAGCAACTAAATTTATATATGATTAACTAGCAGCTCTCAAATTAAGCATAATTTACTTATTCCTAAAATAGATTGTAGTAACCAAACATTTATTTAAATGTATGAAATAAATATTAAAAAGAGTAATTCTCACTGAGACTGCAGGTGAACACTTTACAGCTTGCCGTTGTTTTAACAATGTCTCTCTATTGTAGTTATGTTCTCTTAAATAGTTCAAAGGTATAAAGCCTTTGTGGGCACATTTCTCAAAATCAGACCATTCTATTTTTAGTTCATTTCCTAAAATGAAAATGAAATGCATAAATGATGCAGATGAGAGTTCAGAATTGCCATTAAAGAAGAAAAAAAATCTATATATATAATTCTCTTCTGGGAGATGTTAGAAAACAAGCTGTAAGCGCGCTACCTACCACCCCACCCCTACATGGTCTGGTGAGCTGTGGTTCACGCTAAATGTTTACATTAATCGTAGAGCCGGGTTTAGTGACGGCTATTAGGGGCAGATAATTTAGTTTGAAATGATTTTAAACTTAGGAGAGGTAACTAAGAGGAGGCTGCTTTCACGGGGGGGGGGGGAGAGGAAGGGTAGGGGGAAAAGAGGGTAGGGGTAGTTTTGTTCTTAACGATCTACTGATAGTGTTTTAAAGCAAATATTTTCAGTGGCAGCATTGGTACTGTCGAATTCACAGATTATGAATTACTGAAAAGTAGAAAATAAAACAACTAAATAGCGGCGTATGATATGCCATGGGTCGGCTCGTAGTAAATGTAAATGCTACTGAGACTTCAATATCAATTTTAAAAAAACAAGTGTTGGAGCTTTGTTTTGGTGACCAATGTAGTTCAAAAGATTGTGAAAAGCATCAGTTTCTGTATTTTAACATGTGAAGCCGTAAAATCCAACAAAATATTTCCCACCTTCAATGGCTACAGTGTCTACATTTATATCAGAAGACACATCAGCAGGGTTGACTAGCCTCTGCCCAGTTGAATGCCTGCACATTTTACAGTGGCAGTTATGTCTCAACCAGACACTGTGGAACCTAAGGGAAAAGTGGAAACAAACCCATTTTAGTTTGGCATGTCTGAAACACCACACAAATAAAACTATTGTATAAGCTTGTGTAGAATGAAAACAAATTTGAGTTGTTGTTTCTCCTACTGTAGCCACTCATTACAATAGCTGTTACACCCCTCTGTTACCATGCACTGATTGAAAAAAAAAAACTTTATCATAAATAATTTTAATAAGACAGGGGAGATAGTTGTTTTTTAATTACTGTTTTGGAAAAGTTTCATTCTGAGAGAAATATACACAAAACAAATAACACATAATGCATTTATAACTTTTTTAAAAACATCAGCATTTTAAATATTGTGTGACCCATAATAAATTTAACAAATCCTAGACTATTTCTTGTTAAGCTTTTACGACTTTTGGCATAAGAATGGTTCTTTTTAAATGAAGAAAAGTGCTATTATTTTTTTACAATGGTTAACTTAAAAAATATAAAAAAGATTACTCAGACTGGAATCTGTCTTCCCATTTCACAAGACATGTTCTGCCAGTGGTGTTAACTTTTACTGATTCAACATTCACATTGTGCTGCAAAAAAACACAACCAAAACAAAACCAAGCTTATTTGTAATAAACCATCAGAGTTTCTTCCAGGCATCTCTTCGAACGAAATTTATATAGAAAATATATACTTTTAACAGTGTCCGCCCCCCCCCCCCAAAGAAAGTCTACCCCCCCCCCCCCCCCCCCCCCGAAAATTTCAAGAAAAAAGTCTGGAAGAAACACTGTAAACCATCATTCAAAATATCCTAATACATAAAAGCCAAAGTGCACTCTCTCTCTCTCTCCCTTTGTCACACTTTAGTAACTACTGTAATTGTGTTGATTTTAAAATATGGACTTATGTTGAAAAAATTATGCTGATTATACTGAATGTATAATCTTAATTTTATTAAATAATGATAAAAAATTCAAGACATATTCAAATGTAAAAAACACATTAAATCATGCTATAGGAGAAGTAATCCTATTTTTTTTTCAACGTTACGGGAAGTAGCTGTCTCCAAAGCAAACAAGGTGCCCAATCAGACACTAGACACTGTTAATGTTGTCTATTAAAAAGTTTACGGCTTTAAAAAGCATTAGTATGTTTTGATTTTAGCTTCAACAATACATTTATTTGTTATGTCTCTCTGGTTTCAACAATATTCAATTTTAACAGATCTTCTATTTTGATAACTTATTTTGTTTTTTGTTTGTTTTCATATAAGTATTTCTTCTGAGATCACAGCTACACATGACATGTGCGCTAGTATATTTTGTACATTTAGAAAATGTTAAATAATGACTTACCTTTACAATTTAAAAAAAACATACAATTCTATAAATTAAATGGTTTGCCATTATATGAATTAAAATATTTATAAAAATATTTTTTTGCCTCAACATCTTTTTCTTACATCTTGAGTAAGAGTTGAGAAAAGTTTTCCATTAAATCTTGTAAAATGTTTAGTCCAATTGGCTGAAGTAGTTAAAGTATTTCTTGCCAGCAATGAAGACAAATCTTTTAAAGTAAAAAACACATGAATGTGTGAGTATGAGTATTTCTGTATGCATGTATATAATATATACATTTATACACATTCATATATGGTATATGTATACAAATTTACATGTATACATACATATATATATATATATATATATATATATATATATATATATATATATATATATATATATATATATATATATATATATATATATATATATATGTATACATGTAAATTTGTATATATATATATATATAAGTATATATATATATATATATATATATATATATATATATATATATATATATATATATATATATATATATATATATATATATATATATATATATATATATATATATATATATATATATATATATATATATATATATATATATATATATATATATATATATATATATATATATTTATTTATTTATTTATTTATTTATTTATTTATTTATTTATTTATTTATTTATTTATACAGTGCTTTTTTGTAAAAATATAGGTGCCGGTACTCAGCGAAGGATACAGAGGCGTAGCGAGGGGGGGGCGGGGGGGGGGGGACATATGTCCCCGGGCGCCGACCTTAGGGGGGGCGCCAAATTGAAAGTTTGAGGGGGGGGGGGTGCAAATGAAAAGTTCGAGGGGGGGTGCAAATCGAAAGTTTGAGGGGGGTGCAAATGAAAAGTTCGAGGGGGAGGGGGGGGTGCAAATCGAAAATTTGCTCCCGAGGGGGGCGCCAAATTGAAAGTATGTCCCCGGGCGCCGGGAAGGGTCGCTACGCCTCTGGAAGGATAGCCTAACTTTTAACTATGTAGATCTAGTATGTGAGGAAAGTGTAGAGAAAAAAAGAAAAGAGCTGCGAAAAGAGAAGCAGGATAAAAATTAAGCATAAGTAACAAAACATTATAAATATTCAATAGTAACATTTACTAAGGAATTTAGGGCTTTAGGTTTAATTATTTTCTGGGAAGTTTAAGAAAGAAAAAAAATAAATAAATAAATAAATAAAAAAAAAAAAATATATATATATATATATATATATATATATATATATATATATATATATATATATATATATATATATATATATATATATATATATATATATATATATATATATATTCAATATACTTATATATTCAATATACTGCCCTAGGGTTCGAACTCGAGACTTTTCGGTTTATCAACCATGGAGCTTTATTGACTCGACCACGCCGACCCCCATAAATTCAGCTGGATGTTGCATGTTTTCTTTATCACTAGCAGGTTTACGTCATGGTGTCACCCCCCCCTCCACCCGAGTTGGGATTTGTCCACTTTACTCTTAAAAAACTATTTAATTCACTCTAATTAATCATTTAATGAAGTGAAATTATCATTTTTCTTTATAGGATATAAGTATAATAGTATATATTAATTTTGCTATTTTTTGACATGGTGTCATCCCCCTAAATGGTGTCACTCGGTGCGGTTAGAGTTTCTTCCAGGTATCTCTCCCCTTAAAAATTTTTACGGCCCCCCCCCCCCCCGAACGAAATGAAATTTATATAGAAAATATATACTTTTAACAGTGTCTGCCCCCCCCCCCCCCAAGAAAATCTACCGCCCCCCCCCCCCCCGAAAATTTCCAGTGCCCCTTCCGGAGAAAAAAGTCTGGAAGAAACACTTGGTGCTGTCCGCACCCCTGCCTTCCCCCCCCCCCCCCTTCGTACGCCTCTGACAGTAACAGTAATTTACTAATACTAAGTTAGTAATTAAATATTAAATAACTGAAAGAGCACTTCACTACGTGACTTACACGATAAAGATTGTTTTTGTTTATTTTGCAAAACCTGCGTTCCGGCATAAACACATTTCGCTAGATATTTAACTGCCATCAATAACGGCGTGAAATTTTACTATTTTATTTTTAATCAATTGTAAAAAAAAACCTCTAAATAGATCTAGATCTAGATTCTACAGACCCTAGAACTAGTTACTAGATCTAGATCTAGAATCTAGTAGTTATTGATCATTATTAGAAGTCTAGCTGCAGCTTTGTTTGAGTATCAAACTCAAAGTTTCAAAGGTCTTTAAAAAGGTTAAAGTTCAGATACTTGAATTACCTCCCAGTTATTGCTTTTACTTTCGTTTTCTTGAGTTCCGGTTTTAAAGCGTTTGAGTTTGAGTTGATTCAACTTTACTCATATTTATTGTAGTCAAAATCTTGACGTGTAGATCTAGATCTATGTAATGTAACTAATAAAACTATGTAGAGTCTTTAACTAATTCCTAACTAATTCAGAATTCTAGATTTTCTAGTCTTTTAAAGTTAGTTTGGCCTTGGGGTGAAGTTTGAAGAATGAAGGATTTCTCAGAATTTCTGGTTCAGAGAGTCAGAGAGAGTGGGATGGTGTAACAACGTGATATCCAAGAACTAGAGTTTACTTGATTGACATATCTAAAACACTAGATCTAGTAACATATCCAAAGTCCTATTGAGCTGCATTGTGTGACTGACTGTACTGTAATCATAGTCTTTACTGTAGTGACAGTGAGTAGTGATCACAATCACTGTTCTCTTTTTTGTGACTGAACTGTGACTTCATTTAATTAAGGGGGAGGGAGGAGGGAAGGTGTGAATTTATAATAATAATAATATTGTAGAGAGCGGAGGTGAAAACTATCCAACCAAATGTTATGTTTATTCATGTACCACCCATAACCAACTTCATAGTAATAAATTAATCCAATTATTTAGGCTAAGTAATTAGGCCTACCGTTTTTACAAGCTTTTATTTGTGGCAAATCTTGTAGCTCACTTTGGACCAACTTCTAATACAGCAATTTTGTTCACATTTTCCAAAAACCTTCATCTTCGATGACAATGCATGAATATCAATTTTTTAAATTTAATTAGATGTTAAATTAGTCATTAAAAGTTAATTAAACGGTTTTGAAACTAATCGGAAATAACAAGAGTTAATACTAAAGCAAATATTTTTTAGTCGTGTTGACAAAAGCTTTTATTAAAGAAAGTAAATTAGCTTTATTTTCTTATTTTTAGTGCATTTTAATTTTTAAAGCTTTTTGCTATAATGGTTTTTTATGTTTGTTTTATTTAATTTTTGCAACAGTTTAGCATGAAGGGAAAGATACATTATTCTAGCCTTTTTTCCAAATATTGTTTGTTTACTTAAATTGTTAATTACATCAAATACATCTTGGTCCTAATTTGTAAAATGTAAATAAAGGCCTAATTTTAGTAATTTAAAAAAATACACAATCAAGTATTAGTATACTCTATGTAATGTTTGAGTCCAACTCTGCTAACTCCATTCAATACACAAAATTCATCTTTAAATATTAGTATCAGGACCTTTCATTAAGTTACATTGCAACAATTATAATAGGTAGGCCTAAGCTCTTTGACCCTTAAATATTAATTTTCAAAAAATGTAACACATTTGTTTTTTACATTTCTTCTGTCAGAATCAACAATTAAATGGCGTTAACAAGCTATAGAAGAGAAATTCTGTTGTTACAGCTGTACAGGAAGTATATCAGGTTATTTAGGCAGACCTGCTGTCAGAGAAAATGTTCAAGTATGCCTGTGTGTTCCAAGCAGTTCAATGGCAGTATAAATTCTTTGGCCAAAACAAATCACATATTTAAACCACATGTGTTGCATACATCAAATTTTATAAGCATGCATATAATGAAAGTCAATACTCATACCAGAAATGCCAATGAAAACATGCATACAACTTTACAAGGCAAACCGTCCGTTTATTTAGAATATGTACAATCTCTTACAAAAGTTTCATCTTCATATATTTTTGATCCAGTGATTGCAGGTAATTAAACTTGTGTAATTAATTATTTTCATTTTAGTATTATTTAATTTTACTTACTCCTAAGACAGGTTAAGCATTTTCATCCGATGTCAATACCATACATGACAAGCAAACACCCACTGAATACATTTTTACCATCTATTAATTGTTTATGATGCTAATAGATGTATTTTAAAATTTCATAAAATAAGCCTGCAATTTTAAAAATAGCATTATGTAATTTAAAAAACTGAGTTCAGTGTTTGTAATGAATCAAACAAACTTTACTTCTACATGCTACTTATACTTGTACACATTTCAACTGTTTGATGTAAATTAATAATATCATTGTTTCTTGCTATGTTGATTAAATGAGCAACAGTATAATCAAATTAATTTTTTAACTAAGCCAATTTGTAGAGAAAGAGAATTTGAAGCAAAATTTTATTTAAACATTATCATTTTTCTCTCTTGTAGAAAAGATCGTAACCCTTGTTTTAAAGAATCGTGCTAATCCCAAATCCCCTATATTAGAAATAGAAGCTGGTAAGTTTAGACTTATAAAGTAAATATAATAAAAAGTTTAGAAATATATATTTGCACTGTAACATTTTTGACATTGTTTTACAATTTTTCTTCCCGTCTAGGTTCAGGTGTGATGAGCAGAGAATTCCTCAAGCAAGGTGTTTCTAGAGTTGTTGCTCTCGAAACAAAAAGTATATTTGCAAATGCTTTATCTGTAAGTTTTATAACCCAGTTTACCATGTGGTTATAATTCTGATTAAATGGTGTTTTTTTTTTTAGCTGATTGTCTCCCCTCTCCAGCCTCTTAATCATTTTTGTACCTTATTAAAAGCAGATGTCTTAAAAGGCAACAAAAAGCTTATACCTTCTCCCCTTAGAATAAGCTTTTAAAGAAACAGACATGTTTTAAACTTTGTTCTTTAAAAATTCAATACATGCCACACAATTATTACACTCACTATGTTACTATTATTACTTTATTACAAAATGAAATTGTAGTGTTTTTTCATTGTAGGAAATACAAGAAGAGATGGAAAGATCAAGGTTTTTTCATGTTAAATGGCACATGCTGAATTATTTATTTAAATTAGATGTCACTAAAAATTGTAGTGCCACTGCCAATTATGAAAAAATGGAATCTGAAGTATTTAAACTATTACAATTAGATACACAGTTACATGAAAATGGTAATTTTTTTCATCAACACTTTCTCTGTTAATGATGGATTACATTATAATTGTATGCTATCTTGTTTAACTAATAGACCTCTCATTGGTCAGCCAATGGCACTGTTCTTTGAAGGCCTTTTAGAGGTTTTACAGTAACCTTTATTATATTTATAAACCAGTCTTTCTGAGAAGCACAATGAATTAATGTTAATTCACATAAATTCTAACTAGTAAACTTGTGTTGAAATCTAATTTCAGATGTTCCGTACAGTATATTTTTAACGGGTGGCAAGGATGATAATGTGAAATTTATGTACTATATTTTTATGAACTTTCCTCACCAAGATGTCATTCTATCAAATGGGAGAGTTGAATTTTTTTTCTTTTGTCATCCAAAAATTAAAAAGGTATGTACTGAAATCTCAAGAGAACATTTATTAATTATGACCCCATTGATTTTTATAAACATCAGTTTTACAAGGCAAGTAGTTTTTGCTGTTGTTTGTAAATTTGTACAATATATAATTAAACTTATTTAGAAATCAATTTCTACTTAGACAGGTTTTGTTTAAAAAATGTGTATTTAGTTTTGTACCTATTTAGAGATTCACATATAATATTCACTTTTCTGTGTACCACCACTCATTTTTACATACACATTTTTTAAACTACACAATTGACTGTTATTAAAATTATATCAGCTTCAGTATCCTAATTAGAAAATTAGGTAACAAGCAATCAAAAATTATATAAATGTTTCAACCCTACAGGGGCCTACAGAGGGATGGATGTAATATCTAAAACATTATATATGAATTATAATTGAATAACTACTTCTATTCCAGAGGATAACATACTTAAAGAATCTACCGAGTAGAAAAGAGACACATCAAACGCCCAACAGTAAAGAACGAGTCTACACATCCATCTTCTCATATGTGGATGTTTTTCTTTTCCTTTTATATGACATAACATTTATTGAAGAGGTAATATTTAAAATTGTATGAATTTTTAGTGAATAATTTAGAATGAGCTACAGACATTTTAAAATTGGTCATTGATATATTTCAAAATATTATAATCTAAACTGTATTTAATTAGTTTCAAAAGCATATCACTGCTAGACAGCCTTATTGGGTGCCACAATGTTTTTTTTTTATTCAAAATATTTATATCAGAAAGCTAAAAATAGCAAAACTGTTCAATTAGACAATGGCTTATCAGTACACAAAAGTACACATATCATTTCTATAGTAGAGATAAATGTTTTTTTCTTTTTGCTAATTGAGCATGTTACATTTTTTCCATCTTACTATTAATATTGTGGTCCCACCAAAAACTAATTCATTTAATCTTCACTAGCTATGTTCTAAATAATTTAGATATGGTATCATGTTTTTCTTTTATTTCACTCACTTAAAAAGTGTTTTGTTTTCAGTTTGATAACACTTCCTTTGTTCCATCATTTCGCACCTACAAAAATGCAAGGGTACCAATTTCATTTTAAATATATTACTGTGTAATTCTACATCAAGTAAAGAATTACTTTGAAAAAAATTTTTTTTTAAATATATGATGTGGTTCTAAATGAAATTTTTAACTGAGAAAATAGAAATACTTACTTGGCTGGCAAGTTATTTTGACAAGACTTATATTATTATGTTTAGTTTGTTTGTTGTTGTTTTTTTTAACAAAAAAAAAAAAGTTGAAATTCGCTTAATTCTCTCTAATATTTAAAAACTATCTTGCTGAGGTTTTATTATTTAAAATACCCTATAATTGTATAAATAGAGTATATATTAAAGAATACATACATGTTGTGTACTATAAAAGTAAAATATTTGAGCTTCTAATTTTAAAATAATGATTTCAGGATAAAACAATAGACACAAGCAAGAGAATTCTTGTAAAACTGCAGGCTAAAAAAGATATTGCAGACATTTTACCATTGGAACACCATCTACCATTCATGAATTTTATGAGGCAGCTGTTCAGGAAAAAGAGGGCACGCACAATCCCAATCATGGAGTAAGTCTTCTAACACCAAGCTTTTATTGACTTCAAATAATTATGACAGTACACAGAAACATTGGAAGCGCATGATGACTGAGTCCGAAGTCTCAAATTAATTTTCTAGAGCTGGACTGCATGATGTCCACCCAACTCTGATGGGTATCTGACTTAGTAAGTAAAAACTGCTGGACATAGGCAGAGGTACATTCAGATGCCATCAAGGACTGAAAGGGTGATTTTAAACAATAAAGTATTACATTGAAGAAAAAGTTTGTCATTTGAATTTCTGATTGACAGGATGTTGCTCCCTGGGTGTGGTCTAAGGATGCTAGATCTTGGTTTTACTATGATGGACCTAATCCTAACTTCACAGCCAAGAGAGTTTCTATCTCTATACAAGGTATGACTAGCCTACGGTGGCTGGATAAAGTATTTCAACTCTGTATTTTAATTGAAACAAACTTCTAAATGTGCAGATGCAAATTTGACATTCTCAACCAACATCACCTGCAAAATTTTAACACTGGTATTACATGTATAACTATTTCTTTTTTTGTAGCATATGATTGAGTGGCCTGAGTATAAAACATCTCCCCTCCGAAGTCACATCATGATGAAAACAACCGGAACTAATGATGATTTGACAGATACTGAATAAATACTAATGTTTCTCTTTATTTTGTGCTGATAGTTATTGTTTTTGTTTTTTAATATTAATTAGTTGTGTTTGTTTCTATGGGGTGGGGAACCTTTCTGTGGTTTAATGTCATCTATTGGTGTAGGGAACACAACAACTGCATACACATTTACAAAACATTAAGATATATAGGACATAATTTCACTTATTAATAACATCAATGGAAAATTTGCAAATAGTTGAACATATTTATGTTTGAGTTATCTCCCTTGGTTCGGAATTTTCTCTTTAAAGATTTTTGTGGTTGTTCTTGGTTACAACAGTTAACACTAACTTCTATGCTGTTAAAAAAAAGCCAAAAAATATATATTTACGACTTGTTTTTACCAAGAAATTATTTTCTTTATACTGATGGCTTTAGCCAAATTAAAATAAGTTCTATCTCCCGCCCTACCCCAGTGTCCTATCTTTTACTTCTCTTTCTTTATTAAAAAAAAAAGACACCCACGATTATTAATTTAACTGACACCTCATATTAGACCTGGGTTTTAGCGGGGAATTATTTTTTTGTCAATGGCAAGCAAATATTTCGTGGCTATATTTCTCCCACAACTTTGGACTTCCCCCTTACACCCCCCCCCCCCCCCCACCTTCAAGGCTGACTGCCTGTCAACCTCACCCTTCATAGGTGACTGCTCTCCCCCCCCTCTCTCTTTTCTAAAGAATCTTTTTCCACGCAACTAATTAGCCTAGTTTTCTGTCACATGACTTTAACCCCCCCCCCCCCTCCTCCTCAATGTAAAGCCATTGCCCCACACAAAAAAGTTATAATTGTAACAGGAAAATCCCAACATTGTGCGGTTGACTGCTTCTGTACATTCCATGTTTTGATAAGCTTAGATTATTGTTTGTTTTGTGACGACAGCCAGCTCTCTCTCTCTCTCTCCGCCAAAAAACTCATTCAGTGTATTAGATATTTATACCTACCTGTCAGTGTTTCTTCAAGACTTGTTTCTCCGGGGGGGGGGGGGGGGGGGGCACTTAAAATTTTCGGGGGGGGGGGGGGGGGGGGGCGGTAGACTTTCTTCGGGGGGGGGGGTGGACACTGTTAAAAGTATATATTTTCTATATAAATTATATAAATTTCATAATTTCATTTCGTTCGGGGGGGGGGAGCGGTAAACTGTTTTTTCAGGGGGGGGGGGGCGAAGCCCCCCCCCCCCCCCCCCCGAAGAGATGCCTGGAAGAAACTCTGCTACCTGTGGCTTTAGTTAAGCGTTACAAATGTTTTAGTTTATTGTTCAGTCGTGTGTAATTGAGATTGGGGGGGGGGGGGTATTTTAAAACCACAAATCCCACCTTTTCATCCATGTTTTGACAAATATCATAAGAATGAGGTCATCGTCGTTTGTTTTGTAGGATATTGTGAAATCTATAAGCAATAAACATGATGAAATTCGTAACCCCAGCCCACGCCTGTTATTTTGTTGAAGAACGTGTGATGACGGCAGGAATTGCCCAGCTCGAGATTTCTAGACGCTGCGCTTTCCGGCCCGTGACGTCATCGGGGCATCAAAGCTGTAGCCCCACCCTCGGGTACAATGGACGTCCAAGGGAGTTTTGCTTGCAGGTTGCGATGTTATGGCGGGAAGCAGTCGTCCATAATTTCATACATCACGTCACGCTCCGTGTGTGTGTGGGGGGGGGGGGGGGGGGGAGTCCGAACTTTGGTGACGATTGTTACGCCCAGGTTTGATTCAACTCAGGAAACGATTCGTGGCTATCTTCAATACTTTTATTTGGACTCAATTCTGCACATAACAGAGTAGCCCTAACCGCTACCAACTAACCTTTATAATCATTCACTCCAGCTTTTATACCGCATTCGACTTTGGGATAACAATACATGAACACACCGGGGTTAACAATACTCTAGGGTAAACTCAACTCACACACGCACTCTCCCCTAATTCTAGATTATTCTAACCTATTTCTATCTAACCTACAGCTGCCCCGTAACAACGGTACCCTTTTGCATTTAATAAAGTAATGACAGAAATTGAATTTTAACACTACAGGGGCTTTCCGTATCTTCTAATTGGCCTGTAAATATGTGATAAGGGATGGGTTTAGAGTGACGCCACATTTTTACTTAAAAAGTTACTCAGTCATTGTAATTTAAAATTGACCGATTTACACAATCCTGGCCCATATTAGTTCATATTTTAGAAAGAAATGGCATTTTCGATAACAAATAATGCTTTGGGGTGGGGAGGCAGTGGGCTTAAGCATGACGTCATTTGGATGTTTTTGTTTCAATGGGGAGGGGATGGAATATAAGGCGCGCCGTCATTTATGGTCAATTCGTAGAAAGTCATAAGGGTGGACTTAGAGCAACCCCCCCCCCCCCCCCCCACCCACCTTATCCGCGCCGCTCCTTTCTTTTACTCAACTAGGAAAACCAATGTAATATTAGTAAAAATAAATGGGGGGGGGGGGAAGGGTGTTTGTGGTGTTTGCTATAATTTGTCTTCGGCCTAGTTATATTCTTAAAGGATTGTCATTAGAGAAGCTGATGTTGACAGATTTCCGATAATCTCTTAATCTTTTTTTTTTACTGGCGACACAGTTGAGAAGATCACCCTAGTCTAGCCTACGTGTTCGTTATCTTGGGTATTTCCTTTCGTCACATGCTATAGGCTGTGTATTTTTGGTAGGTTCAAGTGCCACTATACTTCCGCGGGAAACGGAAAGTATTTTTTGTGATGGGGGGGGGGGGGTATGAACAGAATATTTTACCTGACAAAGCTAGAAAGGTGGAATTTGAAAATGAAAAGAAATTTTCGCCCGGACTTTTAGGCATACGTGTTAATCGAAACTGAACATGGTATTTTTGTAATGCGGAAAGGGGGGGGGGGATTCCAGAAAGAAAATGGCGATGGGTTGGTCACACGAACAGAAAAGCAACTGGCAACAGTCAGACAGGCTTTTGAATGGAACCTTCAGGACAAACAACATGTCAGACAGGCTTTTGAATGGAACCTTCAGGACAAACAACATGTCAGACAGGCTTTTGAATGGAACCTTCAGGACAAACAACATGTCAGACAGGCTTTTGAATGGAACCTTCAGGACAAACAACATGTCAGACAGGCTTTTGAATGGAACCTTCAGGACAAACAACATGTCAGACAGGCTTTTGAATGGAACCTTCAGGACAAACAACAAAACATGCCAGACAGGCTTTTGAATGGAACCTTCAGGACAAACAACAAAACATGTCGGTGGAGACCGAAAGGATAAACAGAGCTTAGTGAAATGTGTGTCGGGGGGCAGTGGAGAACTTTAACCAAGGCCCTATGTTTCACAAGAAATAAATAGGAGTAATGATGGCATATGACTAGCCGCCCCCATTATCCAAGAATACCAGAACTCGGACAAGGAGCCCCTACTCCCCCAACACCAAAAACTCTCACTAGCCGCCCTTACCCCCCCCCCCCCCCACAGTGTTTCTTCCAGACTTTTTTCTCCGGGGTGTACTTGAAATTTTCGGGGGGGGGGGCGGACTCAAATTTCCCGGGGGGGGGGCGGACACTGTTAAAAGTATATATTTTCTATATAAATTCCATTTCGTTCGGCGGGGGGGGGGGGGGGGCTAGACTTTCTTCTGTGTGGCTCCGCCCTCCCCCTTCCGAAGAGATGCCTGGAAGAAACTCTGCTCCCCCAACGTCAGAAACTCTGACTAGGTTGCCCAACTCCCCCAACACCAGAACCTCTGGCTAGCCGCCCCTACTCCCTCAACACCAGTCAAGTTCTCCCTCAGCCTCCCCGCTTTTGGCGTTTTTTCTCGTTTTTTATAAGGGTGTGTCTTGTTCACACCGTAGCCATTACGACTCAACTAAGGTGTCGCCTACCATTACGACTCAACTAAGGTGTCGTATACCATTACTACTCAACTAAGGTGTCGTATACCATTACTACTCAACTAAGGTGACGTGTACCAACTAAGGTGTCGTATATCATTACGACTCAACTAAGGTGTCCTCTACCATTATTTCTAAGCCAGTGTTTCTTTGAGACCTTTTTTTTCTCCGAGGGGCGGGGGGAGGGGGGCTTGAAAACTGTCGAAAGGGTGGCGACATAAATTTCTGGGGAGGCGGACGCTGGTTAAAGTACATAATTTGCATATATATTAAATTCCGTTCGGTGTGTATTGCCCCTCCCCCCCCCGTAGAGATGCCTGAAAGAAACTCTGCCTTCAACTTTGAACGTCTGTGTAACCTCACAATTGATACAGATGCCGTGCTATGTATAACGTTCACGTAAGCATACGAAAACAATAGCTACTTTTGTGGTATTTAGCCATTTTATAGATAACTAAGCTAGATAGAAGGTGGAGATCTGCCAATCCACTAAATAACATTTCTTGACTAGGCTTGCCGGACGGGGTCATTGTTAACTAAAAAGGACCTACACTCTTAATTATTACTAAAAAATGTCTATTCTGCTTCTTAATATAATTTTCATATGATCATTAGGCTACTTTCTGGCTTATCTATTAAGATATTAACATTTTATAAGCTCGTATATTTTCATCCTCTGTGGTTCTGTAATAAATAAAGTATTAAAAACGTTTTTTTGTTTTGTGAAAGAAATGTTGGTATGTTTATTTTTAGTATCGTGCATGTTCTGGTAGTCCAAAACCCAAAGGTAGTGTTCGTGGTTTTCCCGTGACGTTCGGATTTAGGCCTCGTTTAAACACGCAGGGTGCAATTTACTTCCGCAGTTGTCCCTGGATACTAAAGATCCGTGTGCTCTTGTGGTGGAGAGATTTGTTTTTAAGCCCGTACTATCATCGAGTCGTGAATGCTGTTGGCTAAAAATGGAAGGTGCAAGCAAAAGGTGTTTTTTTCTTTTAAATGTAGGCCTATTTACTACATGTCCCTATTATATTATATTTATTAGTGATTTTATTCCCCAATGATACTAATCCAGACGTCAAAGGGGAGAGGGGGATTTGGACATATGTGAC